TTCGGGCTGCTGGAGGAGACGGCGCTGGCGGCATTCCTGTCCTACTGCCCGGGCATGGGGGTGGCGCTGCGCATGTACCCCCTCAAGTGAGGGTCACCCCAAATCCCGGCCCCAAAAAACCCCCCAGGCCCCTCCAAATCCCCCCAAAAATCTTAACACTGCTCCAAACCCCGAAAAAATCCCGATTTCCCCAAAAATCTCCCCATGCCCCCTCCAAATCTCCCCCCAAAAATCTTATAAATGCTCCAAACCCTAAAAAAAAATCCCAATTTCCCCAAAAATCTACCCATGCTCCTTCCAAATCCCCCCAAACCTCTCAAAATACCCCAAAAAACCCCAAATACACCAAAAACCGCCCATGCCCCCTCCAAATCTCCCCAAAAAATCCTAAAACTGTTCCAATCCCTAAAAAAACCCAATTTCCACAAAAATCCCCCCATGCTGCTTTCAAATCCCCCCAAATCCCCAAACCTCTCCAAATACCCCCCAAAAAATCCCAAAACCCCCAAAATTTCCCCAATTCCCCTCTAAAACCTCATCCAAAAAACCCTAAAATGGCTCCAAACCCGCCGAAAAAAATTCCAAATCCCCCAAAAATCCCCAATTCCCCTCCAAAAAAAATCCACAAACCGCTCAAAGTCCCCAAAAAAATCCTAAATCCCCCCAAAAAATCTCAAATTTTGGGGTTTTTTGGGGCAGGGTGACCTGGTGGTTTTGTGCCTTCCCCTATTCCCTGCTGATCTTCGCCTACGACGAGGTGAGGAAACTGATCCTGAGGCGCTACCCCGGAGGTGAGCACCCCAAAAATGGGGGGGACACCCCAAAAATGGTGGGGGGGAACCCAAAAAATTGGGGGGGAAACAAAAAAATTGAAGGGGAAACAAAAAAAATGGGGGGGAAACAAAAAAAATGGGAGAGAATCCCCAAAAAATGCGGACGAAACCCTAAAAAATTGGGGAGAAGCTGAAAAAATGGGAGAGAACCCCAAAAATGGGAGGGCACCCCAAAAAGAGGAGGGGAAACCGAAAAATGGGGGGGAACCCCAAAAAATATGCGGGGGAAGAAAAAAAATGGGATTGAACCCCAGAAAATAGGGAGAACACCCTAAAAATTGGGGGGCACCCTAAAAAATGGGGGAGACCCGAAAAAATGGGAAACAACCCAAAAAATGGGGAGAATACCCCAAAAAATAGGGAGGAACCCCAAGAAATGGGAGAGAACCCCCAAAAATCGAAAATTTCAGGAGAAATTCCCAAAAAAAACTGGAATCCCAAAAAATGGGAACCCTAAAAGAATGGATTGAGGGATTTTGGGGTTTTGGGGTTTTGGGGTTTTGGGGTTTGGGGATTTGGGGTTTGGGGATTTGGGGTTTTGGGGATTTTGGGGGTTGGGGGATTTGGGGGTTGAGGCTTTGGGGATTTGGGGTTTTGGGATTTGGGGGATTTGGGAATTTGGGGATTTTGGGGGTTGGGAGATTTGGGAATTTGGGGATTTGGGGATTTTGGAGGTTTGGGGCTTTGGGGCTTTGGGATTTTGGGGGTTTGGGGTTTGTGGTTTTGGGGATTTTGGGAATTTGGGGTCTCCTTGACGCCCCCTCTCCTTTTTTGCAGGCTGGGTGGAGAAGGAAACCTATTACTGATCCGATTACTGATCCTATTATCGATCCTGTTATCAATCCTATTATCGATCCTTTTATCGATCCTATTATCGATCCCCTTCCCCCCCTTTTAGGATCCCCCGGAGCCCCCCCCCGCACCCCAAAACTAACCCCGGGGTGGGTCGGGACCCCCCTGAATTTGGGGGGCACCCAAACCCCCCCTTGCAGAGCAATAAACCAGTTTAACCCCCCCGTGTACTGGGATGGACTGGGAGGGGAGACGAGACCCCTGAATTCCCCCAAATCCCCCCAAATTCCCACAAATTCCCACAAATTCCCCACAAATTTCCCCACATTTCCCACAGATTTCCCCAAATTCCCTCAAATTTCCACAGATTTCCACAGATTCGCACCAATTTCCCCAAAATTCCCCCAAATTCCCCCAAATTCCCCATATTTCTTCCCAATTCCTCCAAATTCCCCAAATTCCCCAAAATCCCCCCAAATTCTCCCCAAATTCCCGCGCCCCCCCCGAGCCCCTCAATGTCCCCCGATGTTGCCATGGAGGTGGTTACTATGGGATGCGGTTGCCATGGAGATGGTTGGCATGGCGAGATGGTCACTATGGGATGCGGTTGCCATGGGGACAGGTTGCCATGGTGAGATGGCTGCCATGGCGACCCAGTTGCCATGGGGATGCGGTTGCCATGGTGAGATGGTTGCCATGGTGAGATGGTCGCCATGGTGATCCCGTTGCCATGGGGATGTGGTTGCCAAGGCAATGGTTACCATGGCAATCCCGTTGCCAAGGGGATGTGGTTGCCATGGGGATCCCGTTGCCATGGGGATGTGGTTGCCAAGGCAATGGTTGCCATGGTGATGTGGTTGCCATGGCGATCCCGTTGCCATGGGAACGGTCGATTCTCCCCCCTGCCCACCTCCCCTCTCCCCCCTTTCCCTCCAGGCGGTCCCGGGGGTGCCCTCAGCGCTCCGTGGGGGTCCCGTGGGGGTCCCGGGGGGGTCCCGGGGGGGTCCCGGGGGGGTCCCGGGGGTCCGGGCTGGGGGAGGGGCGCGGCCGAGCCCCCCCGTGCCGGGCAGGGCGGGAGCCGCGGGTGCTGACGGGAAATTCCCGTTTTTAATCCCCCCCGGATCATCCCCCCCCCCCCCCGCGGCCTCAATCCCGAGGGACACCGGGGACCCCCCCGCGACCCCCCCCGAGCGGCGACACCGGGGGGGACACTGGGGGGACCAGCCCCGTCACCCCCAACCCATTCCCGGCTGCTCCGGCCCCCCCAAATTCGGCAGCTCGCGGGGGAGGGGGGCAGCGGTGTCTTGGGGGGGGGGAAATTTGGGGGTGACCCTGACCCCCCAAAACCCCCCCAGGGAAATTCAGAGCACGGCCGGGGGGGGGGCGGGGCGGCATCCCCCTCCCCGGGACCCCCAAAACTCGGGGGACACTGGGGGGACACTCGGGGGACACTCAGGGACACTGGGGGGACACTCGGGGGACACCCCACGTCATCGTAACCCCCCCGTGTCACCCCAATGTCACCCCCGCGGTCAATGGCGCTGACCACGTGAGTGCCATCCCAATGTCACCCCCCCACAGTGTCCCCAAGTGCCACCCCAGTGTCACCCCCGTGTCACCCCCGTGGTCAATGGCACCGACCAAGTGTCACCCCAACGTCACCCCAATGTCCCCAAGTGTCACCCCAGTGTCACCCCCACGCGCAGTGGCACTGACCACGTGAGTGTCACCCCCCACACCGTGTCCCCCCAATGTCCCCCCGTGTCCCCACATGGCAACGATGAAGATGACGATGACGATGAAGATGACGATGACGATGACAATGATGAGGAAGATGATGGCGACAGCAATGGTGACAATGACAGCAATGGTGACAGTGACGGCAATGACTGACGATGACAATTACGGTGACAATGACGAAGATGACAGCAATGACAATGATGATGATGATGACAATGATGATGATGATGACAACGACATCAAGATGACGATGATGATGACAATGACGATGATGATAATGACGACAACAAATACGACAATGAAGATGATGGATGATGATGATGACGATGATGAAGATGATGATGAAAATGACGATAACAATGATGACAATGATGACGATAATGATGACGATGATGATGATGATAATAAAAATGACGATAACAGTGATGATGACAATGACACTAATGATGATGATGATGATGATGATGATGATGATGATGATGATGATGACGACGATGATGATGATGACGATGATGATGACCAGGCCATAAAACCCCCAGAGCACCAAGAGTCTCCCCAGGGGAATGGGGATCCCTGGGGATGGGTGGGATTCCAGGGCCAGATCCCAGTTTGGAATCCCAGCTTGGGATCCCAGTTTGGGATCCCTGTGCCAGATCCCAGTCTGGGATCCCAATATGAGATCCCACTGCCAAATCCCAGTTTGGGATCCCAGTGCCAGATCCCAGTACAGAATCCCATTACCAGATCCCAGAGTGGATCTGGACTGCATCCACTGGGATCTGGGCACGTCCCAGTATGGGATCCCTGCTCTAGGTCCCAGTTTGGGATCCCAGTACCAAATCCCAGTACCAAATCCCAGTTTGGGATCCCGTTACCAGACCCCACTATGGGATCCCAGTACAAAATCCCAGTTTGGGATCCCAATACCAAATCCCATTTCGGAATACCATTACCAGACCCCAGTTTGGGATCCCAGTGCCAGATCCCAGTTTGGGATCCCAGTACTGGATCCCAGTTTGGGATCCCAATACCAGACCCCAGTTTGGGATCCCAGTACCAAATCCCACTTTGGGATCCCAGTACCAGATCCCAGTACCAGATTCCAGTTTGGGATCTCAATGCAAGACTCCAGTTTGGGATGCCATTACCAGATCCCAGTTTGGGATCCCATTACCAAATCCCAGTTTGGGATCCCAGTTTGGGATCCCAGTACCAAATCCCAGTTTGGGATCCCATTACCAAATCCCAGTTTGGGATCCCAATACCAAATCCCACTTTGGCATCCCAGTACCAAATCCCACTTTGGCATCCCAGTACCAAATCCCAGTTTGGGATCCCAGTACCAAATCCCAGTTTGGGATCCCAGTTTGGGATCCCAGTACCAAATCCCAGTTTGGGATCCCGTTATCAAATCCCAGTTTGGGATCCCGTTACCAGATCCCAGTACCAAATCCCAGTTTGGGATCCCAGTTTGGCATCCCCGCCCCCGATCCCCCCCGGGGCCGTGTGTGACAACGCCCCCCCTTGTCCCCCCCAGCCCGGGCGGTGACACCGCGGGGACCCCGGGGGGGGGGGGCGGCTCCTCCCGGCTGACCCCGCCCCTCTAAGCCCCGCCCCCGCCGGCCCCACCCCGTTAAGCCCCGCCCACCCCGCTCCGAGCGGCGGCACCGAGAGCCCGAGCGGCGGCACCGGCACCGGCAGCGCCCGCGGCCGGTAAGTGCGGGGGGGTGGGTGGTTGGGGGGGGGTCTGGACCCACCGAGCGACCCCCGGACCCACCGAGCGACCCCCGGACCCACCGAGCGGCCCCGGCACCGGATGGACCCCGCGGCCGCCGCCTCCATCCGCTCCCGGGGCCGCTCCCGGTGCCGCTCCCGGTGCCGCTCCCGGGGCTCTCCGCCAGCCCCGGACCGCGGTGATCCCCCCCCACTCTGCGTGACCCCCCCACGCCCACCGGAGCACCCCCCCCCCCGCTCCGGTGATGCCCCCCGGGTGGGCAGGAAGGGGTTAACGGCGCCGGGGGTCCCGGACGGGCTCCCCCCGGTGCCCCCCCCGTGTTTCACTTCCCCTTTGGCTGCCGGGGGGGCTCCAACCCGTGACACGCGTGGGGGGGGACACACGGTGGCTCCCGGTGCCCACGCGGGACGCGGGACCCGCCACCCCCCCGTGTCCCCATCGGCACCGTCCCCGTCCCGCTCCCCACGCGGGACACGCCGCCCTCCCCCCGTTCTCTGCCGCGGGACCCCCACCCCACGCGTGTCCCCCCTCCGTGGATGTCCCCGTCCCGTCCCGCGGTGCCTCCCAGTGCTCCCAGTGCTCCCAGTACCGCCGCATCCCCCGGGACTGGCGTGACCCCCCCACCACCCCCCACCCCAAAACACGTCCGGGGACATCTCGAGGTGGGGGTGGGGGTCCCACGCGTGGCCGGGGCGCGTGAGGCGGTCACGCGCCGCCGGCGGGGGCCAAACTGGGGCCAAACTGGTCCCGAACTGGGCCGCGGGCGGCGCCGCTTCCGCATCCCCGCGCCGGGACCGGGCGGGGCCCGGGAAGGGACCGGGGGGGGACCCGGGACTATCGCCCCCCACCCCACCCGTGCCCCGTCCCACGGAGCGGCCGCGCGTGGGGAAACTGAGGCACGATGGGTTCGGGGGGTGTGGGAAGGATCGCGCCCAGATGTGCCCCAGATGTGCCCCAGATGTGCCCCAGATGTGCCCCAGATGTGCCCGGGGATGCTGCGGCCGCCGGGGCAGGGCGGGACCCCCGCGACACGCGTGGGACCCCCGCGACACGGCGGGGCAGGAGGGCGGCGGTGGCCGTGGGGCAGGGTGGGGCCCCGGGGGGACACGCGGGGACCGGAGCCGTGGCCGTGGGGCCGGACAGTGCGTTAGGGCCGTGTCAGTGGGGTCAGGGCCGTGTCCGTGGGGCCGGACAGTGGGTCAGGGCCGTGTCCGTGGGTCAGGGCCGTGTCCGTGGGGCCGGACAGTGGGTCAGGGCCATGTCCGTGGGGCCGGGGCCGTGTCAGTGGGGCCGGACAGTGGGGTCGGGGCCGTGTCCGTGGGTCAGGGCCGTGTCCGTGGGGCCGGACAGTGGGTCAGGGCCGTGTCCGTGGGGTCAGGGCCGTGTCCGTGGGGCCGGACAGTGGGTCAGGGCCATGTCCGTGGGGCCGGGGCCGTGTCCGTGGGGCCGGACAGTGGGGTCAGGGCCGTGTCCGTGGGTCGGGGCCGTGTCCGTGGGGCCGGACAGTGAGGTCGGGGCCGTGTCCGTGGGTTAGGGCCGTGTCCCTCAGGCCGGACAGTGGGGTCGGGGCCGTGTCCGTGGGGCCGGGGCCGTGGGTCAGAGCCATGTCCGTGGGGTCAGGGCCATGTCCGTGGGGTCAGGGCTATGTCCGTGGGGCCGGGGCCGTGTCCGTGGGGCCGGGGCCGTGTCCGTGGGCCAGGGCCGTGTCCATCAGGTCGGACAGTGGGTCAGGGCCGTGTCCGTGGGGCCGGGGCCGTGACTCGCATGCCGGGGGGGCCCGGGGGGGCCGGAGGCGGCCGCGCCGCTCCCCGGGCCACAAAGGGCCCCTTGTCCCCACGCTGCGTGGGGGGGGCTCGTGGGGGACCCTCCCCCCGCGTCCCGCTCTCCCCACCCACCCCAAAAACACGCGGGGGGTGCGCACGGCGGGGGGGGGGGCACAGCGATGACATCTGCACCCCCCCACCACCCCCACGGGGGACACAAAGGCCGGACGGGACCGTCCCACCCGTGTCCCCCCCCACGGGCGCCCCACTGAACGGGCCCCCGCGGGGCCACGCCCCTCGTGAATATTCATGAGTTGATTTGCATGAGAAACGTGAATGGGGTGGGGGGGGGGGGAATACCCACGACCCCCGCCCCGCTCCCACCCCGGTCCTTTTCCCGTGGATTCCCCGCGGGATCGGGACGGGGGGGGAGGGGCAGGACCGGCCCGGGGTGGGGGGGGGGGGGGGGGGGTGGGGGGGTCCCGGTGCCCTCCCCGCCCCCCCGGCGGAAGCCCCGTGTCCGGCCGGGCTGAGTCACGGGCGGCCTTAAAGGGGCCGCGCTCGGACACGGGGGGAGGGGGAGGGGATTTTGGGGGGGGGGAGGGGTTGTTGTTGGAGAGGAGCGTGGGGGGGACGCGTCTGTGCGTGGGGGGAGCGTCTGTTCCTGGGGGGAGGGGCGTGGGAAGGTGTCGGTGAAAGTGGGGGGGCTCACGTGGAGGGAGGGGGGGGTTGTTTACCAAGTGCGGTCACGAGTGGGGGGTGGGAGGGGTGGGGGGGTTGTTTGTGGTTAGTCACGGGTGGGGGTGGTCGTGTCTTCCCACCCCCGTGTGTGTCCGTGGGGTCTCCAAGCCCCCCCCCCCCCCCCCACGGTGCGGGGGGGGTTTGGGGGGGGAGGGGCAGGCGGGTGATGCGTTGCCGTGGAAACCGCATCCCTGCGTGGGTGGCGGCGTCGCCATGGCAACGGGAGCGGCGGGAGAGGGGGGGGGGACAGGGACCCCCCCCATAAACACACAGAGGGATGAGACCCCCCCCAAAAATCCCGGAATGGGGGAGAGAAGGGGGGGCAGGGGGGATTGGGGGGCAGGGGGAATTTGGGGGGGTCAGTGGAATGGGGGGGGTCAGTGAAAATTTGGGGTGAATTTGGAAAGGGGGGGGTCAGTAGAATGGGATCAGTGAATTTGGGGTGAGTGTGCAAGGGGGGGGTCAGTGGAATGGGGGGTGACTGAATTTGGGGTGAGCTTGGTGACACGGGGACAGCCTGGGGACACGGGGACAGCGGGGATGGGGACACGGGGACAGCGGGACTGGCACTGGGGACAGTCGTGACACCCAGGACTGAGGCTGGGGACAGTCGTGACTCGAGCAGCTGAGCTTGGGGACATTGGTGACACCAGGAACCGGGGCTGGGGACACTGGTGACTGGTCCCCGATGTCCCCCATGTCCCTGCTGTCCCCTGATGTCCCCCATGTCCCCAGCCATGGCCGAGTACCGCAGTCTGCTGGAGGAGCTGGCCCAGCACAGCCATGTCCCCCATGTCCCCGATGTCCCCCATGTCCCCCATGTCCCTGCTGTCCCCTGATGTCCCCGATGTCCCCGCTGTCCCCAGCCATGGCCGAGTACCGCAGTCTGCTGGAGGAGCTGGCCCAGAACATCACGGCCGAGGACCTGGAGCAGCTCAAGTCCGCGTGTCGCGAGGACATCCCCAGCGGGGAGGGCGACGCCATCGCCACCGGCCACCACTGGTTCGCCTTCCTGGAGCGCCACAGCAAGCTGGACCGAGGTGGGAGCTGGGGACAGCCCGGCAGTGCCACCGGCATGTCCCCTCCCCGCGCCCCGGGGCTGCTGCGGCCCTGGGCTGGTCCCTGTCCCTGTGACCTGAGCCTGTCCCTGTCCCTGTCCCCATCACCTGAGCCTGTCCCAGTCCCTGTCCCCTGAGCCTGTCCCTGTCCCTGTCCCCTGAGCCTGTCCCTGTCCCAGTCCCTGTCCCCATCACCTGAGCCTTGTCCCTGTCCCCTGAGCCTGTCCCTGTCCCCTGAGCCTTGTCCCTGTCCCCTGAGCCTGTCCCTGTCCCCTGAGCCCTGTCCCTGTCCCCTGAGCCCTGTCCCTGTCCCCTGAGCCTGTCCCAGTCTCTGTCCCTGTCACCTGAGCCTTGTCCCTGTCCCAGTCCCAGTCCCTGTCCCCTGAGCCCTGTCCTAGACCCTGTCCCCATCACCTGAGCCTGTCCCAGTCCCTGTCCCCATCACCTGGTCCCTGGCCCTGTCACCTGAGCCTGTCCCAGTCCCTGTCCCCATCACCTGAGCCTTGTCCCTGTTCCCTGAACCTGTCCCAGTCCCTGTCCCTGTCCCCTGAGACTGTCCTGGTCCCTGTCCCCATCCCCTGTCCCAGTCCCCGTCCATCTTGTCCCCATCCCGTCTCCATCCCTGTCCCACCCCCATTCCTGCCCCTTGTCCCCATCCTCATCCTGTTGCCATCCCTGCCCCTGTCCCTGTCCCTGTCCTCATCCTGTCCCTGTCCCCATTCCCATCCCATCCCTGTCCCTCCCCTGTCCCCCTCCTGTCCCTGTCCCCTGCTCATCCCTGTCCCCATCCTGTCCCTGTCCCCATTCCCATCCCATCCCTGTCCCTCCCCTGTCCCCCTCCTGTCCCTGTCCCCTGCTCATCCCTGTCCCCACCCTGTCCCCTCCCCACCCGTGTCCCTCCCCTGTCCCCCATGGCCACAGCGCGGGTGACCTGAGCCCAACATGTGTCCCGCGTGTGTCCCACGTGTGTGTCCTGTGTGTGTCCCACGTATGTCCCGTGTGTGACCCACGTGTGACCCACGTGTGACCCGCGTGTCCCCACACCACAGACAACCTGTCCTACATCGAGCACATCTTCGAGATCTCGCGCCGGCCGGACCTGCTGACCAAGGTGGTGCAGTACCGCACGCAGGTGCTGAAGATCTCCGAGGAGGACGAGGTGGACACCAAACTGACGCGCATCCCCAGCGCCAAGAAGTACAAGGGTGAGCGGGGACCCGGGACAGCAGGGACAGGGACAGCAGGGACAGGGACAGCAGGGACAGCAGGGACAGGGACAGCAGGGACAGGGACAGCAGGGACAGCCCAGGATGGGGACAGGGACACCAGGGACAGCAGGGACAGGGACAGCAGGGACACCAGGGACAGCAGGGACACCAGGGACAGCAGGGACAGGGACACCAGGGACAGCAGGGACAGCCCGGGATGGGGACAGGGACAGGCAGTGACACCAAACTCACGCGCATCCCCAGCGCCAAGAAGTACAAGGGTGAGAGGGGACTGGGGACAGCAGGGACAGGGACACCGGGGACAGGGACAGCAGGGACAGCAGGGACAGGGACAGCAGGGACAGCAGGGACACCAGGGACAGGCAGGGATGGGGACAGCAGGGACATCAGGGACAGGGTCAGCAGGGACAGGAACAGGCAGGGATGGGGACAGGGACACCAGGGACAGGGACACCAGGGACAGCCAGAGATGGGGACAAGGACAGTGACACCAGCTCCAAAAAGTACAAGGGTGAGATGGGACCCAAAACAGGACAGGGACACCAGGGACAGCTGGGGATGGGGACACCAGGGACAGCAGGGACAGCAGGGACAGGGACAGCCTGGGATGGGGATGGGGACAGGGACAGCCAGGATGGGGACAGGGACACCAGGGACAGGGACACCAGGGACAGCCAGGATGGGGACAAGGACAGTGACACCAGCTCCAAAAAGTACAAGGGTGAGATGGGACCCAAAACGGGACGGGGACAGTAGGGACAGGGACAGCTGGGGATGGGTGACAGGGATGGGGACAGGGACAGGTGGGGACAATGCCAGCTGGGGACGGGGACAGCCGGGGACAGGGTCAGGGACAGGCAGGGACAGGAACAGCCAGAGATGGGGACAGGGACACCAGGGACACCAGGGACAGCCGGGGATGGGTGATGGGGACAGGGACACCAGGGACAGGGACACCAGGGACAGGCAGGGACAGGCGGGGACAATGCCAGCCGGGGACGGGGACAGACGGGGACAGGCGGGGACAGGGACAGGGACACCCAGGGGCTGTCATTGTCCCCAGGCAGGGACAGAGACTCCTCCCCGATCTGCCCAGGGCTGGGACAGGGACCCCCGGGAAAGGCTGGGGACCTCCAGGAATGGTTGGGGACCCCCGGGCAGGTTTGGGGACGCCCAGGAATGGTTGGGGACCCCCAGGAAAGGTTTGGGGAACCCCATGAAGGGTTGGGGACCCCCAGGAATGGTTGGGGACCCTCAGGAAGGGTTGGGGACCCCCATGAAGGAAAAGTTGGAGACCCCCCAAGAAGAGCTGGGGACCCCCAGGAAAGGTTGGGGACCCCCGGGCGGATTTGGGGACCCCCTGGGTGGGTGGGGAGCACCCCCAGCCCCCCCTGACCCCCCGTGTCCCCCCAGACATCATCCGGCAGCCCTCGGAGGAGGAGATCATCAAACTGGCCCCCCCCCCGAAAAAGGCCTGAGGAGGAGGAGGAGCCCCCCCAGAGCCCCCCCAAATCCCCCTCCCCAATTCCAGCCCTGGGGGGGGGGAGGGGCACCGAGAGCATCTGAACCCCCCCCCCCAAAAATTGGGGAAATTGGGGGGAGGGGGGGAAAATTCCCATGGGACCCCCACCCTAAAAAGGCCTCGATTTTGGGGGGGGGAGGGGGAGGGATGGGGACCCCCCCCAATGTGGGGAAGTTGAGGGGGGGCACAAAAAATGGGACCAAACCCCCCCCAGCCTAATTTGGGGGGTTAAAAGTGTTGGGGACACCCCCACCCTAAATTTTGGGGTCACAGGGAGACCCCCACCCCAATTTGGGGGGCTCGGACCCCCCCCACATGAAATTTTGGGGTCACAAGGAGACCCCCACCCCAATTTGGGGGGCTCAGACCCCCCCACATTAAATTTTGGGGTCACAAGGAGACCCCCACCCCAATTTGGGGGGCTCAGACCCCCCCACATTAAATTTTGGGGTCCTCAATTTGAGGGGGGGGGTCTGTGACAGGGACTGAGACCCCCCAAATTTGGGGGATACAATTCCTGAGACCCCCCCCACCCCAATTTTGGGGGGTCAGAGGCATCGGGACCCCTGACCCCAATTTTGGGGGGTCACGAGCACCCCCAAATTTTGGGGGGGGGGCACAGGAGGGCAGGGGGAGGTCGGGAGGGCGCCGAGGATGGAGCGGATTTTGGGGGGGGGGTCTCGGACCCCCCCCGGAAGGGCAGGAGGGGACGAGGAGGTGACAAAAAAAGAGGGGGACAGTGAGTGGTGACCCCCCAAAATTGGGGGAAAAACCCCAAAATTCCCATTTTTGGGGAGGCAGGAAGTGGTGACCCCCCAAATTTGAGGAAAAAACCCCAAAATTCCCATTTTTGGGAGGCAGGAAGCGGTGACCCCCCAAAATTGAGGAAAAACCCCCAAAATTGAGGTAAAAACCCCAAAATTGAGGTAAAAACCCACAAAATGGAGGAAAAAACCCCAAAATTCCCATTTTTGGGGGGGGGGGCATAAAGCAGTGACCCCCCAGAATTGATAAAAACCCCAAAATCGAGGGAAAAAAAATTTTAAAAATCCCATTTTTGGGCGATAGGCAGCAAGAAATGACCCCTAAAACTGGGGCAAAACCCCCCAAAATCCCAATTTTTAATAAATTTTTTTTTTGGAGGGGGGCGGGGTTTCTCCCAGTACCAAACTGGGAGGGAGGAGCCCCCAAACTGGGCAGGGGGGGTTGGGGGAGGGGATTTTTGGGGTTCAGGTTTAGTTACTAACCCAAGGGGATGGGGGGGGGGGCAGCAGAGTTAATTAAATGTTAATTAATTAATATATTTTATTTAATAAAAGCTAAAACCCGCAGCAGCCGCCGGCTCGTGTGTCCCCCAAACCCCCCAAAATTTATCCTTGTGCCCCCCAAATTTATCCTTGTGCCCCCCCCCCAAAATTTATCCCTTCCCCTCCCCCTTCCTTTATTTATTGTCCCCAAAGCTCTGTGAAAAACGCTGGATTTGGTTAAAAATTGACATTTTTGACCCCCCTCCCAACGTCGGGATGGGTTTTGGGGGGTCCCCCCCACCCCAATTTCCCTCCCCCACCCCAAATCCCCTCCCCAAATCCCCTCCCCCCAGACCGTGCTGACTGTGTATCGATAAAGATGGAAAAAAGCTGCTCTGTGCCAGGGTTTTTGGGGGAAAATCCGGGGAAAACGGGAAAAAAAATAAAAAAAGGAAAAATGGGAAGGTTTAGGGGGGGTGGGAGAGAAATTTTGGGGAGTCTGGGGCTCGTTGAGTCGTTTTTATTGCATTTATATATAATATATATCCCAACTTTTACAGCTCTGCCAGGGAGAACTCCCGGGCCCTTTTGGTTTTTTTAATACAATATAAAATTAGGCCTCTAAACAGGGAAATTTTGGGGTTTTTCCCCCAAAAAAAACCCCCCTGAACCCCTCCCCCGTGAAAAGAAATGGGAAATTAAAGGGGGTTTTTGGGGGGTAAAAAGGGGCCAAACCAAGTGCAAATCACGGCTATGTACAGAGGGAGGAAACCCCCCTGGAAATGGGGGAAAAAAGGGGAAAAATGGGGAAAAATGGGGGGAAAGTGGGGGAAAATTGGGGGGGGAAAAGGGAAATAAGAGGGGAAAAAAAACGGGGGGAAATGGTGGAGAAATGGGGAAAAGTGGGGGGGAAAAGGGAGAAAATAAAGAGGAAAAAAAGGGGGGGAAGAGAGGGGGGAAATGGGGAAAAAAAGGGGAAAATGGGGGAAAAAGGGGAAAAATGGAAAAAAGGGGGAAAGAAAAATGGGGGAAAAAGAAAAAGGGGGAAAATGGAGGGAAAAAAGGAGAAAAAAAAGGGGGGAGGGGAAAAAGTGGGAAAATGAGGGAAAAAGGTGGGAAAATTAAGGAAAAAAAGGGGGGAAATTAGGAAAAAAGGGAAAAATGAGGAAAAAGGGGTGGGACCCCCCTTCCCCAAAAAGGGGGCGCTTCAGGGTGGGGGAGGGGTCCCAAAAACACTGGGAGGGGGAGGCAGTAAAGAACCCCCCCCCAAATATTCCCCAAATTGAGGGGGGACCCCAAAAAAGGGGGAAAAACGGGGGGGGGACCCCCAAAAAAGGGGAAAAAAGGGAGGAAAAGGGGAAAAAAAAGGGGAAAAAAAGGGGAAAAAGGGGAAAAAAGGGGGAAAACCGGGAATTTGGGGGGGCTGAATAGGGTCAATACAAAGCTCCAAGTGTTAGTGGGGCGGGGCCCCCCCTTTTGGGGTTTTTTGGGGGTTTTTGGGGTTTTTTTGGGGGCTCACGAGGGCATGCACTGCACCCGGTCCGGCCCCTCCTCCTCATCGTCCGACGTGTCCGAGGAGCTCCCGGAGTCGTCCGAGGGGGACTCGGCCCCGGGGTCCCGGCGGCGCTGGGGGAGAAACGGGGTGAGAAACGGGGATTTGGGGTCAGGAACGGGGGTTTGGGGGCAGGAACGGGGGTTTGGGGGCAGGAACGGGGGTTTGGGGTGAGAAATGGGGATTTGGGGGCAGGAACGGGGATTTGAGGGCAGGAACGGGGGTTTGGGGTGAGAAATGGGGTCAGAAATGGGGATTTGGGGTGAGAAACGGGGGTTTGGGGCAGGAACGGGGGTTTGGGGTGAGAAACGGGGATTTGCGGTGAGGAATGGGGATTTGCGGTGAGGAACGGGGGTTTGGGGTCAGAAATGGGGTCAGAAATGGGGATTTGGGGTCAGAAATGGGGTCAGGAATGGGATTTGGGGTCAGGAATGGGGGTTTGGGGTGAGAAACGGGAGTTTGGGGTCAGGAGAGGGGATTTGGGGTGAGGAGAGGGGATTTGGGGTGAGAAATGGGGATTTGGGGTGAGCAGAGGGGATTTGGGGTGAGAAGCAGGGGTTTGGGGTGAGAAACGGGGATTTGGGGTGAGAAAGGGGGATTTGGGGGCAGGAAAAGCAGGAAAAAAGCAGAGAAAAAAGCAGGAAAAAAGGCAGGGGAAAGGCAGGAAAAAACAGGAAAAGCAGGAAAAGCAGGAAAAAAACAGGAAAAAAACAGGAAAAAAACAGGAAAACACAGGGAAAAGCGGGGAAAAGGCAGGGAAATTTGGGAAAAGCAGGAAAATGAGGAAAATTGGGAAAGCAGGGCAGGGTACCCGGTGGTGGCGGCGCTGGCGCAGGTGGTGCATGAGGAACCAGAGCATGTGGCTGTCGAACATGTCCGTGTGGTGCAGGCTGTCCTCGTCCCGCTCCGCCTTGTTCTTCTTCATCACCTGCGGGGAAAGTCCGGGGAAAATTCCAGGGAAAATTCCAGGGAAAAACCGGGAATGGGGTGGGAATGGGGCCACATTCCAGGGAAAACCGGGAAACATTCCAGGGAAAAACTGGGAAACATTCTAGGGAAAATTCCACGGAAAAACCGCGAAAATTCCAGGGGAAAATTCCAGGGAAAAACCGGGAAACATTCCAGGGGAAAAGCAGGAAACATTCCAAGGAAAAGCGGGAAACATTCCAGGGAAAAATTCCAGGGAAAGACTGGGAAACATCCCAGGGAAAAGCAGGAAACACTCCGGGAAAAACCAAGAAACATTCCAGGGAAACATTCCAGGGAAAAGCGGGAAACACTCTGGGAAAAACCGAGAAACATTCCAGGGAAAATTCCAGGGAAAACCGGGAAAAATTCCAGGGAAACATTCCAGGGAAAAACCGGGAAACATCCCAGGGAAAAGCGGGAAACACTCTGGGAAAAACTGAGAAACATTCCAGGGAAAATTCCAGGGAAAACTGGGAAAATTCCAGGGAAAAACCGAGAAACATTCCAGGGGAATTCCGGGAACACTGCAGGAAATGTCCCCACCTCCTTGAGGCCGCGCAGCTCCGTGGGCGCCTCGGCCGTCGGGGCCCAGATTTTGACGTCGTGGTCCAGCCCGCTGGTGGCCAGCACCGGCAGGTGCGGGTGCGGCTCCAGGCAGTTCACCTGGGAAAGCGGGAAAATCAGGGAAAATCGGGAATTGGGGGCTGGGAATGGGGGAGTGGGCCTGAGGGTGGTTCTGCTGGGGGAAATGGGGGAAAATGGGGGGAAATGGGGGACAAGTGGGGGACAAGTGGGGGGAAATGGGGGCAGAAAACGGGGGAGAAAAGGGGGCAAAATGGGGAGAAAATTGGGGGGGGAAAATGGGGAAAAAATGGGGAGAAAAAGGGAGAAATTGGGGGAAAATGGGGAGAAATTGGGGAGAAATTGGGGAAAATGGGGGGAAAATGGGGGGGAAATGGGGATAAATGGGGGGAAATGGGGGGGAAATGGGGGAAATTGGGGGGGAAATTGGGGGGGAATTGGGGAGAAACTGGGGAGAAATTGGGGAGAAATTGGGGAAAAGGGGGGGGAAAGGAGGGGAAAAGGGGGGAAAGGGGAGAAAAGGGGAAAGAATGGGGAAAGAATGGGGAAAGAATGGGGAAAGAATGGGGAAAGAATGGGGAAAGAATGGGGAAAGAACGGGGAAAGAACGGGGAAAGAACGGGGAAAGAACGGGGAAAGAACGGGGAAAGAACGGGGAAAGAACGGGGAAAGAACGGGGAAAGAACGGGGAAAGAACGGGGAAAAAATGGGGAAAAAATGGGGAAAAAATGGGGAAAGAATGGGGAAAGAATGGGGAAAGAATGGGGGAAAAATGGGGAAAAAATGGGGAAAAAATGGGGAAAGAATGGGGAAAGAATGGGGGAAAATGGGGGGGAAATGGGGAAAAATCAGGGGAACAATGGGGAAAAATCAGGGGAAATGGGGTAAAATCAGGGGGAAAAGGGAAAAAATGGAAATACAAAGGGATTAGGGAATTTTGGGGCTCACCACGCCGCCCTTGTCGCCCTCCATGAACTGCACGATCTGGCAGGAGGATTTCTCCCAGAGGAAAATGTGGCCGCAGTCGCTGCCGCTCACCACGAACTCGCTCTTGGGGCCGTAGAAATTCACCCCTTTCACTGGGAAAATGGGGAAAAAACAAGGGAAATTGGGAAAAATGGGGAAAATGAGGGAAGAAACAGGGAAAAAATCAGGGGAAATGGGGAAAAAACAGGGGGAAATGGGAGAAAATCAGGGAAAATGGGGGGAAATCAGGGGATAATTTGGGAAAATCAGGGGAAAAAAAACAGGGGAAAACGGGGGAAAATCAGGGGAAAAAGGGGAGGTTGGGGCTGTCTCCAGTGGAATTCCTGGTCAGGAAGCCAAGGAAATGTTTCCCAAAAGGATTTTTAGGGATCTCCAGGGGGGATTTTTTGGGGGGTTTAGGGGGGTCTGAGGGAAATGTTGGAGGTGCCAAAAATTTGGGTAATTCTGGGCTTTGTCTGGGGTTTTCAGGGAGTTTCTGGACTATTTTTGGGGTGATTTGGGGCTGTTCCGAGGCTGGTTTTATGGCTGGTTTTGGGGTGATTTGGGGCTGTTTCTGGGCTGGTTTTGGGGTGGATTTGGGGCTGTTTCTGAGCTGGTTTTGGGGCTGGTTTTGGGGCTGTTTTTGGGGCTGTTCCCAGGCTGGTTTTGGGGTGATTTTGGGGTGTTTTAGGGCTGGTTTTGGGGCTGGTTTTGGAGTGATTTGGGGCTGGTCCCAAGCTGGTTTTATGGCTGGTTTTGGGGTGATTTGGGCTTGTTTTAGGGCTGATTTTGGGGTTGGTTTTGGGGTGATTTGGGGCTGTTCCTGGGCTGGTTTTGGGCTATTTTTTGGGGTGATTTGGGGCTGGTTTTGGGGTGATTTGGGGCGTTACCCGTGGCGTTGTTGCGGTGCCCCTTGTAGCGCCGGCTGTACTGCGCGCCGTCGCTGTGCGCCGAGTCGAACAGGTAAATGTCCTCGTCGTTGTACGAGGCCAGCAGCTCTGCAGCGGGGATGGGTGGGAGAAAATGGGAAAAAACACAGGAAAATGGGAAAAAAACAGGAAAACGTGAAAAAAACGGGAATAAATGGGAAAAACCACAGGAAAACAGGAGTAAATGGGGGGGAAATGGGAAAAAACACGGGAAAACGGGAGTAAAAACAGGAAAACCACAGGAAAACAGGAATAAATGGGGGGAAAATGGGAATAAATGGGAAAAAACCACGGGAAAACGGGAGTAAATGGGGGGAAAATGGGAATAAATGGGAAAAAAACACGGGAAAATGGGAATAAATGGGGGGGAAATGGGAATAAACGGGGCGAAATGGGAATAAATGGGGGGAAATGGGAATAAATGGGGGGAAATGGGAATAAACAGGGGGAAATGGGAATAAACAGGGGGAAACGGGAATAAATGGGGGGGACAATGGGAAAAACACAAAAATGGGAATAAATGGGGAAAATGGGAATAAACGGGAAGAAATTGGAATAAATGGGGGGGAAACGGGAATAAATGGGGGGAAATGGGAGTAAACACAGGGAAATTGGGAAGAAACATAGGGAAATGGGAAATAAGTGGGAGGAAATCAAGGAAAAGCACCAAGGAAATGGGAAAAAATAGTGTGAAGATGGGGAAAAACAGGAGGAAAATGGGAAAAAACAGGAGGAAAATGGGAAAAACAGGAGGAAAATTGGAAAAAACAGGAGGAAAATTGGAAAAAACAGGAGGAAAATTGGAAAAAAAAAAAGGAGGAAAATGAGAAAAACCAAGAGGAAAATGGGAAAAACAGGAGGAAAATGGGGAAACCCGGGAGGGTCTGGAGCTCAACAGAATTTTTTTGTGGGGGAAATTATTTTTATTTTGGAAAACACAGAATTTGGTGAGGGGAAGTCAGTTTTTTTTGGGGGAAGAGGTGTTTGTTTGAGGATAAACAGGTTTATTTTTGGGAAAACGGGTATTTTTTGGGAAAACCTAATTTTTTTTTTTGGTGGGAAATGAGGGGGTTTGAGGGAGTGGGACCCCCCAGAACTCCCCAAATCCCCACCTGGACTCACCTGAGCCGTCGTGGCTGTAGACCAGGCAGGTGATGTTGGCTTTGGACTCACAGTTCACCTGGAAAAATGGGAAAAAACCTCGGATCCAGCCCCTTTTCCTGGGAATTCTGAGTGTTAAAGTCCCAGAGGAGGATTTAGGGAGGCAGAAAATGAGGTTTGAGGAAAAAAAAACCCGAAAAAATAAAGATTTCTGGGAGTTTTTTCCAGCTTTTCCTGAAGGGTTTTCCAGGAAAAGAAGCAGCCTCTTCCCATGGGATTGATCTGGGGTGATCCCAGTGCTCCCAGTTCCCTCCCAGTGCTCCCAGTACCAGGTGGTGGGGGCAGAACTTCTTCAGGACTCCGTTGTTCTCGTTCTCATCGATTTTCCTCTGGTCATAAATCCTGCAGGAAACAGGGGGAAAAAAAACAAAAAAAGAAAAAAAAAAGGTTGGAGTCGCTCCAGGGAGGCCTTTTGAACCCCAAAATTCCTGTTTTGAAATCCCAGGGCTCAAAATTCCATCCTAAAATTCCCTGGGGATTTGGGGCAGGAATGATGTTCCCACACCCGAAATTCCATCCTAAAATTCCCTCGGGATTTGAGGCAGAAATGCTTTTCCCATGACCAAAATTCCATCCTAAAATTCCCTGCGGATTTGGGGTAGAAAAAACATTCCCATGCCCCAAATTCTACCCTAAAATTCCCTGGAATTCTGTTCTGGATACACCCAGATTTGGGAGCTCCCAGTGCTCCCAGTTTGGCTTCACCACAAAAACTGGTCCCAGTACTGGATTTGGGAAGGGGAAATTGGGGATTCAGGAAGGGAAAGAGGCGAATTTGGGAATCCCTGGATTTGGGAAGGGGAATCCCTGGATTTGGGAAGGGGAATCCCTGGATTTGGGCTCTCCCAGTGCTCCCAGTTTGGCCTCGCCTCCCAGACTGGTCCCGGCCCCTCATTTAGGACAGGGAAACTATGGATTTGGGAAGGGAAAAAGTTGGGATTTGTGAAAGGGCAATTGGGCGGGGGAAATCATGGATTTGGGATAGGGAAATGCTGGATTTGGGAAGGGAAATCCCTGGATTTGGGCTCTCCCAGTGCTCCCAGTTTGGCCTCACCTCACGAACTGGTCGCGGCCGCCCACAGCGAACTGGGAGGTGTTGGCAGGGTTGACAAAGATGGTGTAGAGCCCGACCTTCTTCTCCTTCTCCTTCGTCACCACCAATTTCCTGGGAAAAATCCTTGGGATCAGCCCCAGTCCCAGCCCAAATTCCGGGAGTGGGGGAGAAAAATCCCAAAACTCAGCAGGATTTGGGCACCGAGGGTGGGGAATGCTCCTGAGGTGGGGAATTTCCCCCAGGAAAAAATCTGCAGGGTTTGGGGTGCACTGGGAGAGTTCCCAAAGGGAAAATGGGATTTGGGGATGTTTTCCCCTAAAAACAGCTGGGATTTGTGGGAATTTGGGCCATTCCAGGAATTAAATATTCAGGGTTGGCTCCGCCAGGGTGAGAATTCCAAAGGCATCTGGCCCAAAGGACAGGGAGGGGGCTGGGAATTCCCAAGGGAAATGTGATTTCCCAAAAAAAACCCCTGATTTTTCCTCAAACTCCACCTGTTACGCCCCAAATCCTGCCTGTTTCCACCATCAAATTCCCGTTTTCCCAAAAAAAATCCCCATTTTCCTGTCACAATCTTCATTCTCCTGTCCACCACTGCCCATTTTTCCCTCCAAAATCCCCATTATTCCCCCCAAGATCCCACTTTTTCCCCCAAAATCCCCATTTTCCCCCCCCAAAAAAAACCCGTTTTTCAAAACAAATCCAAATTTTCCCCAAAAAAATCTCTGAAAACAGCTGGGATTTGAGGGAATTTGGGCCATTCCAGGAGGGAAAAGTCGGGGCTGGCTCTGCCAGGGTGAGAATTCCAAAGGGATGCAGCCCAGGGAGGGGGTTGGGATCAGCTCCAGCCGTGGATTCCGGCGGGATCAGGGATTAAAGGGCTCGTCCTGGTTATGAAACCCTGGGATTTGGGCTGGATCAGCCTCCGGAATGACAGCTCAGAGGCTTGGAAAAATACAGTGAGACAGAAAAACTGTTTTACCCCAAAAAAATCCCTGCTTTTCCCACCAAAAAACACAGTTTTGCCTCTAAAAATAATCAAGTTTTGCCCAAAATTCCCTGGTTTTCCTCAAAAAACTGTGCTTTTTCCCAAAAAAAACAACCTCCTTTCCCCCAAAAAAAATATTTTCTCACAGAATTACTCTGGTTAAAGGAAAAAAAAAAATCGCTCTTCCGCCCAAAATATCCATTTTCCAAAAAAGCTCTATTTTTTCCTCAAAAATATTCATTTTCTTACAAAATATATCAAATTTTCCTGCAAAAATATCAAATTTCAAAAAACACCCAAGCTGTTTTCCGACAAAAATAACCTGACTTCCTTAAAAATCCCTGATTTCCCAGAAAAAAACCCTGATTTTTTTCCCAAAACCCACCTCTTCCCATTTCCTGCCCAGAATTCCCACATTTCCCCTCAGAATTCCAGATTTTCTGGTCTTTCAAGAGGCAGGCTGGTCCTGCTGCAGATTGATGGAATCCCCATTTCCCACCCCAAATCCCCTTTTTTCTCCATAGAATTCCCATTTCCTACTCAGAATTTTCACTTTTCTCCTCAGAATTCCCAATTTTCCCCTCAGAATTCCCATTTTCCCCTCAAAATTCCCATTTTCCCCTCAAAATTCCTGATTTTCCCCTCAAAATTCCTGATTTTCTGGTCACTTCCGAGGCACAGCTTGTTCTGCTAAAGATTGATAGAATCCCCATTTCCCACCCCAAATCTCCTTTTTTCCCCCTCAGAATCCCCATTTCCCACCCAGAATTCCCACTTTTTCCCTCAGAATTCCCATTTCCTGCCCAGAATTCCCACTTTTTCCCTCAGAATTCCAAATTTTCCCCTCAGAATTCCCACTTTTCCCCTCAGAATTCCCATCTTTCCAGTCACTCATGAGGCACAGCTGGTCCTGCCACATATCAATGGAATCCCCATTTCCCACAACAAATCTCCTTTTTTCCCCCTCAGAATCCCCGTTTCCCACCCAGAATTCCCACTTTTTCCCTCAGAATTCCCATTTCCTGCCCAGAATTCCCACTTTTCCCCTCAGAATTCCCACATTTCCCCTCAGAATTCCCACTTTTCCCCCACTCACGAGGCGGGCCGGTCCTGCCGCAGGTCAATGGAATCCCCATTTCCCACCCCAAATCTCCTTTTTTCCCCACAGAATTCCCACTTTTCCCCACAGAATTCCCACATTTCCCCTCAGAATCCCCATTTCCCCCTCAGAATTCCCACTTTTCCCCTCAGAATTCCCATTTTCCCCCTCAGAATTCCCACATTTCCCCCACTCACGAGGCGAGCCAGTCCTGCCGCAGGTCGATGGAATCCCCATTTCCCACCCCAAATCTCCTTTTTTCCCCTCAGAATCCCCATTTCCCCCTCAGAATTCCCACTTTTCCCCTCAGAATTCCCACTTTTCCCCTCAGAATTCCCGTTTTCCCCCACTCACGAGGCGGGCCGGTCCTGCCGCAGGTCGATGGTGAAGACCACGGCGTCCTCCCCCGCCGACAGGAACGTGCAGGGCGAGTCCGGCTCCAGCGCCAGCTGGGATTGGGGGAAAAAAAAGGGAAAAACCAGCGGGAATAGCTCCCAAAAATCCCAAAATCCAGGAAAATCCGCCTGGAAAAACCTCAGGTTTGGGGATTCTTGCTCTGAACTGCAGTGATGTCATCTGGGTGACATCAAGGGGACAACAGCACAGCCAAGGGTTTGAATTGCACCCAAAAAGTGGGAAAAATCCCAAAATTCCTGGATTTTAATGGAGCTGAGTGGCTGAACCCACCCCCCTCACCCATGTGGTGATGTCGAGGTGACAATGGCCACATCCAAGCCTTGAAATAGTTGGGAATTGATTTCCCACAGAAAGTGGGAAAATCCCTTCCTTTCTCCCCAAAAACCCCTCGGATCTCTGGGAAAAGGAGATCTCCCTCATTCCCAGGCACCCCAAATCCCGGGATTTGGAATTCTGGGATCCCCCTCAACTTGTGCTGGGCTCAGTGCTGTGACAGCACCGGGGGTCACCTCTGTGGTGACATCCCCTGCTCCCACCATTGCTCCCATTCCCATTCCCACTGCGTTCCCCCATTCCCAGGCACCCCAAATCCCGGGATTTGGAATTCTGGGATCCCCCTCACCTTGTGGGAAGCCCCCTTGTGCTGGGCCACGCGCTTGGTGCTGCGGCAGCACTGGGTGGCCGAGAGCTCGGCCACGCGCACCTGCCCGTCCCGGGCACACATGGCCAGCGTGGAGTCACCACTGTTGGGCAGGAACTTGGCCTGGAAAACACGGAAATCAGGGAAAAAAATGGGAATAAGGGACAGGGGGAAAGGGGGGAAGGAAAGGGGGAATGGCAGAGGAGGTGGGGAGGGGAAAGGGATGGGGGGATTGCTGGAATTGTTGTGGGAATTGTCCCGGTTCTCTTAGGAATCAACCCAAAATCTCCCCTGGGAATTATCCCAAAATCTCCTGGGAATCATCCCAAAATCTCCTGGGGTATCCTCCCAAAATCTCCTGGGATAATATCATCCCAAAATCTCCTGGGATATCATCCCAAAATCTCCCAGGGATCCTCCCAAGTTCTCTCAGGAACCATCCCAAACTCTCTCCTGGGAATCATCCCAAATCTTTTCAGGAATCATCCCAAACTCTCCCCTGGGAATCATCCCGGCTCTCCCAGGAATCCTCCCGGCAATTATCCCAAGGTATCCCAAGAACAGTACCTGGAATGATCCCAAACTCTCCTAGGAATCATCCCAAACTCTCCCAGTGGATGGGGAAACCCATCTGGACAAAGGATCCTGAGGCACCCCTTTGGGATTCCACCCCAAATCCCACCCAACCTGCTCCCACATCCCTTCCCAATAATTCCCTTTCCCCGCTGAGCTTCTCCTGGGACCCTCTCCCACCCCAAACACGGACCCTCAGCCCGATAAACTCCAGCCCACACCGTGAACTTCAGGAAACCCATCTGGACAATGGATCTTGGGGCTCCCCTTTGGTATTCCACCCCAAAACTCCAACCCAAGGTGCTCCCACATCCCCTCACTCCAGTGCCACCTTGCCCTGTCCCAGCTCAGCTTCTCCTGGGACCCTCTCCCATCCCAAAAAGAGACCCTCAAGATGAAATCCATCAAGATGATGGATTTCAGGGCACAGCTGTGGGATTTGGAGACCTGTTCCTAGATCCTTTCCCAACCATTCCCTGTCCCAGCTGAGCTTCTCCTGGGACCCTCTCCCACCCCAAACAGGAACCCTTAGAACAACACCTAAACAAACACCCAGGAACTTTGGGAAACCCATCTGGACAATGGATCTTGGGGCTCCCCTTTGGGATTCCACCCCAAACCCCACAGTGCCCACCTGGAAGACGTTGCTCTTGTGCCCGCTGTCGAACTGCAGCACGGGCCGGCGCCGCAGCCAGTCCCACACCAGCACCTTGAGGTCGTCGCTGCCGCTGGCCAGGCGGGTGCCGCGCTGGTTGAAGTGCAGCGTGTTGACGCAGCCCGTGTGGCCCTCCAGGCCGTGCTGCAGCCGGAACTTCTGCACGAAGAGCCGGGCGCCGCAGGCCTGCGCCACGAAGCGCGAGCAGCCGCCCAGCTGGCGCTGCCGCAGCGCCGGGATCGCCCGCCAGCGCGGCCGCGGCAGCGCCCACGTCTCCGAGGCCACCTGCGGGCACACGCGGCTGTTGGCAAGGGGCGCGCCCGTCACCTGCCGCAGGTGAGGGACAGGGGCCTGGTACATGTACAGGAGCCTGTCACCTGCTGCAGGTGACGTACAGCGCCCTGTCACCTGCTGCAGGTGATGGACACATGTACAGGAGTCTGTCACCTGTTACAGGTGATGGACAGGGGCCTGACACGTGTACAGGAGTCTGTCACCTGCCGCAGGTGAGGGACAGGGGGCTGGTACATGGACAGGAGTCTGTCACCTGTGACAGGTGACGTACAGCGCCCTGTCACCTGGCGCAGGTGATGGACAGGGCTCTGTCACATGTACAGGAGTCTGTCACCTGTTACAGGTGATGGACAGGGGCCTGGCACGTGTACAGGAGTCTGTCACCTGCCACAGGTGATGCACAGCGCCCTGTCACCTGCCGCAGGTGATGGACAGGAGCCTGGCACATGTACAGGAGTCTGTCACCTGTTACAGGTGATGGACAGGGCTCTGTCACATGTACAGGAGTCTGTCACCTCTTACAGGTGATGGACAGGGCTCTGTCACATGTACAGGAGTCTGTCACCTGTTACAGGTGACGGACAGGAGCCTGACACATGTACAGGAGTCTGTCACCTGTTACAGGTGATGGACAGGGGCCTGACACATGTACAGGAGTCTGTCACCTGCTACAGGTGACGTACAGCGCCCTGTCACCTGCCGCAGGTGAGGGACAGGAGCCTGACACATGTACAGGACTCTGTCACCTGTTACAGGTGATGGACAGGAGCCTGACACATGTACAGGAGTCTGTCACCTGTTACAGGTGATGGACAGGGGCCTGACACATGTACAGCGCTCTGTCACCTGTTACAGGTGATGGACAGGGCTCTGTCACCTACACAACGTCACAATTTTGTGACATCTGTCACAATCTTCCACAATCAAGTGTAAAAACTGTGTGTTTTTACAGAGAAAACCGACATTACTGCAGGATTGCTCGTGTCTCACAATGCACTGAGACTAAAAATGGAAATAAATCTTTTAAAACCTCATTTTAAACCTCTTCTAAAACCGAATTTAAAACATCTTTTAACCATCTTTTAGAACCCCTCAGCCTCCCCCTGCAAGCACAGAACCAGCAGCCACCTAGCTTCACATCTCCTGAGTCACACTATGCACTGAGACTAAAAACAGAATTAAATCTTTTAAAACCTAAATAAAATAATTTAAAACCTCTTCTAAAACCTTTTCTAAAACCTCATTTAAAACCTCTTTTAACATCTCTTTTAGAACCCCTCAGCCTCCCCTCTGTAAGTGACAGAACCAACAGTGACCAAAGTTTATATCTCCTCTGCCTCATTATGCATGGAGATTAAAAATTAAATAAAATCTTTTAAAACCTCTTTAAAACCTCAGTTAAAACCTCATTTAAAACCTCATTTAACACCTCTTTTACCATCTTTTAGAATCCCTCACTCCCCCCCTGCAAGCGACAGAACCAACAGCCACCCAGGTTTACATCTCCTGTGTCTCACTATGCACCGAGACTAAAAACGAAATTAAACCTTTTAAAACCTCAGTTAAAACCTCTTCTAAAACCTCATTTAAAACCTCTTTAACCATCTTTTAGAACCACTCAGCCTCCCTGCTGTAAATGTGACAGAACCAACAGCCAGCAAGGTTCACATCTCCTGTGTCTCACTATGCACCGAGACTAAGAACGGAATTAAACCTTTTAAAACCTCTTTTAAAACCTCAGTTAAAACCTCAGTTAAAACCTCATTTAACCATCTTTTAGAATCTCTCAGTCTCCCCTCTGTAAATGTGACAGAACCAACAGCCACCCAGGTTTACATCTCCTGTGCCTCACTATGCACTGAGACTAAAAACGGAATTAAATCTTTTAAAACCTCAGTTAAAACCTCATTTAAAACCTCTTCTAAAACCTCATTTAAAACCTCTTTAACATCTCGTTTAGACCCCCTCAGCCCCCCCTGCAAGCAGAACCAGCAGCCACCCAGTCCTCCAGCGCCTGCTCCTCGTCGGACGAGTCGCGCTCGTGCGTTGGCCGCTTGCGGGGCGCCCTGCGCCGGGCACGGGGCTCTTCCTCCTCCTCCTCCTCCTCCTCCTCCTCGTCCTGGCCGTGCCGCGGCTCCTCGGGGATGGAGTAGTGGCCGGTGTCGTCCATGCTGTCGCTGTCCTTGTCCCCGGAGCTGTCGCTGTCGCTGGTGCGGCCCCGCGCGGCCCCGGCGTCGTCGCCCGTCAGGCTCAGGCTCAGGTCGGACGCCTCCACCTCGATCCCCGAGGACGTCTCGCGGCCCTCCTCGGCAGACATGTCCTCGGGGCTGCTGGACAGGCTGCCTGGGGACAGGGACAGCAGTGTCACCGCTGTCACAGTGCCATGGGGACAGCAGTGTCAGCGGTGTCACACTGCCATGGGGACAGGGACAGCACAGTGACACCGGTGTCACACTGCCCTGGGGACAGGGACAGGACAGTGACACCGGCCCTCCTCAGCAGACATGTCCTCGGGGCTGCTGGACAGGCTGCCTGGGGACAGGGACAGCAGTGTCACCGGTGTCACACTGCCCTGGGGACAGCAGTGTCACCAGTGTCACAGTGCCCTGGGGACAGCAGTGTCACCGGTGTCACACTGCCCTGGGGACAGGGACAGCAGTGTCAGTGGTGTCACACTGCCCTGGGGACAGCAGTGTCACCAGTGTCACAGTGCCCTGGGGACAGCAGTGTCACCGGTGTCACACTGCCCTGGGGACAGGGACAGCAGTGTCAGTGGTGTCACACTGCCATGGGGACAGCACAGTGACACCGGCCCTCCTCGGCAGACATGTCCTCGGGGCTGCTGGACAGGCTGCCTGGGGACAGGGACAGCAGTGTCACCGGCGTCACAGTGCCGTGGGGACAGCAGTGTCACCGGTGTCACACTGCCCTGGGGACAGCGGTGTCACCGGTGTCACACTGCCCTGGGGACAGCAGTGTCATCCGTGTCACACTGCCATGGGGACAGGGACAGCACAGTGACATCAGTATCACACTGCCATGGGGACAGGGACAGCACAGTGTCATCGCTGTCACACTGCCCTGGGGACAGCAGTGACACCAGTGTCACACTGCCATGGGGACAGGGACAGCAGTGTCACCGGTGTCACACTGCCATGGGGACAGCAGTGTCACCAGTATCACACCGCTGTGGGGACAGCAGTGTCACCAGTGTCACATTGCTGTGGGGACAGCAGTGTCACCAGTATCACACTGCCCTGGGGACAGCAGTGTCACCTGTGTCACACCACCATGGGGACAGCACAGTGCCACAGTGGGGACAGGGACATAGGGACAATGTCACCAGTGTCACTGCTGGACAGGCTGCCTGGGGACAGGGGGACACAAGGACAGCGTGGTGGCACCGTGGCTGGTGCCTGCGCTGACACCCTGCCACCATCACTGTCACCACCACGGTCACTTTGCCACCGTCACTGCCACCCTCGCTGTCACTGTTCCCTTGTCACCATCGCTACTGCCACCCCGTTCCCGTCACTGTCACCCTGCCACCCTCGCTGCCACCCTGTCCCCCCAGCTGTCCCCTCACCGTTGACAATGTCCGTCCTGCCGTCCATGGTGCCACCCTTGTCCGACATCGCCGCCTCCCGCGGGAATCCCTGCGGGGACAGGGGACAGGGACACAGGGACACCAGGACATGGAGCTGGAGCGGCCACCACAGGATGTCCCCTTGTCCCCAACCCACCCCGGCACCGTGGGCGCTCCCAAAATTCCCATTTGCCATGGAAAAAACCACCTGGGAATGCCCCAGGACATTCAGCATCCCAGGAAAATCCAATCCTGAGGGATTTGTCATCTCAAAAATCCGTTTTGGAACATTCCCACACGAAATTCCCATTTTTCCACCTGCCACAGAGCCCCACCTGGTTGAGTCTGTTCCTAAAATTCCCATTTTCCATGGAAAAACCACCTGGGAATGCTCCAGGACATCCAAGCCCTGCTCAGCATCCCGGGAAAAGCTGATCCCAAGAGATTTGTCATCCCAAAAATCCATTTTGGAACATTCCCACGCGAAATTCCCATTTTTACACCGGCCACAGAGCCCCATGGGGTTGAGTCTTTTCCCAAAATTCCCAATTTTCCACGGAAAAACCATTTGAGAATGCCCCAGGACACCCAAGCCTGGCCTGGCTGTTGCCAAAATTCCCATTTTCCATGGAAAAACCACCTGGGAATGCTCCAGGACACCCAAGTCCTGCTCAGCATCCCGGGAAAATCCGATCCTGAGGGATTTGGGATTCTAAAAATCCATCTTTAAACACATTCCCACCAAAAATTCCCTCTGGGATCTCTCCGGGAGAGCTGTGCCAGTCCCCCAGCCTCCCAAAAAAAGCCATTTCTGTGGGAATGGGCAGCAGCAGAGCCCTGGAATTCCATGGAATTCCCTGGAATTCTGCTGGAATCCCTCACAACCTCAGGAATTACCCCTCCCCCTTCAAACCCCACCATTTTTTGCCTCCAATCCCCGGAATTTTTTGCTCCCATTCTCAGGTGAGGGATGGGGAAGGAGCTTCCCAATTTTTGGAATCCATTCCTGATCCAGAGAGGGGAGTGGGAAATTTGGGAATTGCAGGGAATGCTCCCAAAATCCCGGGATTCCGCGGCTGCCGGAGCGCATCTGGACAGGCTCAGGCTGACGCTGCTGCTCCCAAAAATATCCCAAAAACATCCCGGGGCATTCCAGAGCCTCTGGAAGCGGGATCCGGCCTCCCTGCTGCCCCTCCAAACTGGGAGAGACTGGGGAAAAAAATGGGAGAAAACCTGGGAGAGAATGGGGAAAAAATGGGATAAAATTTGGGAGAAAAACTGGGAGAGACTGGGGAAAAAATGGGAGAAAAACTGGGAGTGAATGGGGAAAAAATGGGAGAAAAACTGGGAAAGAATGGGGAAAAACGGGAGAAAAACTGGGAGAGAATGGGGGAAAAAATGGGAGAAAATCTGGGAGGAAAAACTGGGAGGAAAAACAAACTGGGAGGAAAAACTGGGAGGCCCCAAATCCTCAGGGATGGAGCCCCCAAATCCTTTAGGATAAAATCCCCAAATCCCTTGGGATGGATCCCTCAGATCCTCAGGAATGAAACCCCCAAATTCCACAGGATGGAGCCCCCAAATCCTTTGGGATAAAGAACCCAAATCCCACAGGATGGAGACCCCAAATCTTTTGGGATGGAGCCCCCAAATCCTTTAGGATAAAATCCCCAAATTTCTCAGGATGGATCCCCCAAATCCTTTGGGATGGATTCCCAGGAACATTCCCAAAAGTTTCCCAAACCCTCCCAAATCCCAAAATCCTCCCAAAACCCCAAAAACCCCCAAAATCCTCCCAAAACCCCCCAAAAAATCCCCCAACTCTCCCAAAAATCCCCCAAACCCCGGCGCACTCACCTGGGCCAGGTGCCGGGGACAGCGGGGCTGGAGCTGGGGGGGAGTGCGGGGTCAAAGGTCAGGGACCCCCAAATTTGGGGACCCCCCCCAAATTCCCGGAAAATCTCGAGGGTCCCTCCAAAACCCTTTTAGGACCCCCCAAAATCCCCCAGAGTTCCCCAAAACCGCCCCCAGAGCCTCAGGGACCCCCCAAAAGCCCCCGAGGGACCCCAAAAAACGCTCAGGGTCCGCCAAAACCCCGCCAGAGCTTCAGGGTCCCCCCAAAAGCCCCCGAGGACACCCCGGGACCCCCAAAATCCCCCAGGGTCCCCCCAAAATCGCCCTCAGAGCCTCAGGGTCCCCCCCAAAGCCCCCCAGGACCCCCCAAAACCCCTCAGGGTCCCCCCAACCCGCGCCGGTCTCACTCCGCGGCTCGCCCCGAGCCCCCCCGACCCCTCGGGGTCCCCCCAAATCTCCCCCCGGGCCCGTCCCGCCCCTCCCGGGATCCCCCCCGGGGCCGGGCCAGGCCCGAGCCCGCGGCGGCCGCGGCCGCAGCGGCCCCGGCGGAGGCCGCGCACCGACCCGAGCGTCACCGAAGGCTCCCGGCCGGTGCCGGGGGGTGCGGCCGGGCTCAGTGGCGGCCGCCGCGGGTCCCCCCGGCCGCTCCGGCGCCGCTCCCGGGACCGGGCCCCGCCGCCGCCATCTTGAACGCACCGCCCCCGCCGCCGCGCTTGGCGGCACCGCGCGGCGCTTTTGCGGCACCGCGGACGACGCTTTACGGCAGCGGCCGTTGCGCAGCAGCGGCGGGGGCACCCCCCACCACCCACGGCGTTGCCATGGGAACGGCGCCATTCTCCCCCCCCCGACCCCGGTGTTGCCATGGGAACGGCGCCGTTCCTCCCACCCCCCCCCGGGATTGTGGGGCCGCTGTGGGGTGTCCCCAATGGGGCTATGGGGTCACTGTGGGGTCACCCCAATGGGTTATAGGGTCACTGTGGGGTCCCATTGGGGTTATGGGGTCACTTCGGGGTCGGGGTCACCCCAATGGGGCTATGGGGTCACTGTGGGGTCACCCCAATGAGGCTATGGGGTCACTGTGGGGTCACCCCAGTGGGGCTATGGGGTCACTGTGGGGCCCCATTGGGGTTATGGGGTCACTGTGGGGTCCCATTGGGGTTATGGGGTCACTGTGGGGTCACCCCAATGGGTTATAGGGTCATTGTGGGGTCCCATTGGGGTTGTGGGGTCACTTCGGGGTCACCCCAGTGGGGTTATGGGGTCAGCCTGTGTTTAGGGTCACTGCAGGGTCACCCGTGTTTAAGGTCACTGTGGGGTCACCCCAATGTTGTTGTAGGGTCACCCCTGTTTAGGGTCACTTCACGTCCCCTCCAGTGCAGTAGGGTGGCCTGTGACCCTCAGTGTTGTTGTAGGGTCACTGTAGGGTCACCCTGTGCTGTTGTAGGGTCACTGTAGGGTCACCCTGTGCTGTTGTAGGGTCACCTTTGGTGTTGTGGGGTCACCCTGTGCTGTTGTAGGGTCACCCGTGCTGTTGTAGGGTCACTGTGTGTCCCCCGTGCTGTTGTGGGGTCACGCCCGCTTAGGGGCACTGTGGCCACTTCAATGTCCCTGTAGGGTCACCCCATTTCTGTAGGGCCCCTAGTGTCCCTATAGGGCCCCAAATGTCCCCATAGTGTCCCCAATGTCCCATAGGCCCCCCGATGTCCCCATAGTGTCGTCCCTGATGTCCCCATAGTGTCCCCCCCGATGTCCCTATAGTGTCCCCCCAGATGTCCCCATAGGCCCCCCGATGTCCCCATAGTGTCCCCAATGTCCCCATAGTGTCCCCAATGTCCCCATAGTGTCCCCCCCTATGTTCCCACAGTGTCCCCCCCAATGTCCCCATAATGTCCCCAGTGTCCCCATAGTGTCCCCAATGTCCCCATAGTCTCCCCCCGATGTCCCCATAGTGTCCCCCCCGATGTCCCCATAGTTTCCCCAATGTCCCCATAGTGTCCCCCCAATGTCCCCATAGTGTCCCCCCCAATGTCCCCATAGTGTCCCCCCAATGTCCCCATAGTGTCCCCCCCAATGTCCCCATAATGTCCCCAATGTCCCCATAGTGTCCCCCACTATGTTCCCACAGTGTCCCCCCCGATGTCCCCATAATGTCCCCAGTGTCCCCATAGTGTCCCCAATGTCCCCATAGTGTCCCCAATGTCCCCATAGTGTCCCCCCCGATGTCCCCATAGTGTTCTCAATGTCCCCATAATGTCCCAAATGTCCCCATAGTGTCCCCAATGTCCCCACAGTGTCCCCAATGTCCCCATAATGTCCCTGATGTCCCCACACTGTCCCCCCGCTGTCCCCACCGCAGCGCAGCCGTTCCTGTCACCAGCTCTTTATTGGGGTCACGGGGGTGAGGGGGGGACCCGTCCCTGTTCTGGGGGGTCCCTGCGCCCCCCACCCCCCAAAACCCCAAAGTTGGGGTGCGGGGAGGGTCCCGGGGGGGTCCCAGTCCCGCCGGGCTCCTCTTCGGCCTCGTTCGGGGTCGGACGTGGGGCACCCCAAAAGTGCCCTACATGAGGCGGCACTGCTCCCCCGACAGCCCCCCCGGCAGCTCCAGGCCTGCAGGCTGTGGGGACACGGGGTCACCCCAAAAACGGGCACCCCAAAGCCACGGGGCAACCCAAAAACGGGCACCCCAAAAACGGCCACCCCAAAGCCATGGGCACCCCAACAACGGGCACCCCAAAAACGGGCACCCCAAAGCCATGGGGCAACCCAAAGCCATGGGCACCCCAAAAACGGGGCACCCCAAAGCCATGGGGCACCCCAAAACCGGGGCACCCCAAAAACGGGCACCCCAAAGCCACGGGGCACCCCAAAAACGGGCACCCCAAAGCCACGGGGCAACCCAAAAACGGGCACCCCAAAGCCACGGGGCAACCCAAAAATGGGCACCCCAAATCTGGGCACCCCAAAGCCATGGGGCAACCCAAAACCTGGGCACCCCAAATCTGGGCACCCCAAAACCATGGGGCACCCCAAAAAAGGCCACCCCAAAAACGGCCACCCCAAAGCCATGGGGAACCCCAAAAATGGCCACCCCAAAAACGGCCACCCCAAAGCCATGGGGCAACCCAAAAATGGGCACCCCAAAACCCAGCACCCCACAGCCATGGGGCACCCCAAATCTCTTACATCACCCCACAGCTATGGGGCACCCCAAAACTGGGGCATCCAAAAACTGGGGCACCCCAAAGCTGGGGGGCTCCCCAAATCTATTACATCACCCGAAATATATGGGGTCACCCCAATTCTATCGACTCACTCCATTTCTATGTGGTCACCCCAAACTCTTTGGGGTCCCCCAAATCTGTAGGGCCACCCCAAACCCTTTGGGGCCCCCCAAATCTATAGAACCACCCCAAACCCCTTGGGGCCCCCTGAATCTATAGAACCACCCCAAACCCTTTGGGGTCCCCCGAATCTATAGAACCACCCCAAACCCTTTGGGGTCCCCCAAATCTATAGGGCCACCCCAAACCCTGTGGGGTCCCCCAAATCTATAGGGCCACCCCAAACCCTTTGGGGTCCCCTGAATCTATAGGGCCACCCCAAACCATTTGGGGTCCCCCCAGTTCCCCACCCCAAACCCTTTCGGGGTGTCCCCACACACTCACCGTGTCCCCTGCCAGCTCCTTGGGGGGGTGGCCCAGGTCCTGCAGCTGTGAGGGGACACAAGGAGGGGACACGGGGACATGGGGGGGACAGACGGACATGGGGGGGGACAGAGGGTGGGACAGAGGGACATGGGGGGGACAGAGGGACACGGGGGGGACAGACGGACATGGGGAGACAGAGGGACACGGGGGGGACAGAGGGACACGGGGGGACACGGGGGTGGGACAGAGGGACACCGGGGTGGGACAGAGGGACACAGGGGTGGGACAGAGGGACACAGGGGTGGGACAGAGGGACACGGGGGGGACAGAGGGACATGGGAGGGACAGAGGGACACGGGGGGGACAGAGGGACATGGGAGGGACAGAGGGACACGGGGGTGGGACAGACGGACACGGGGGGGACAGAGGGACATGGGGGGGACAGAAGGTGGGACAGAGGGTGGGAGAGAGGGACACGAGGGGCACAGAGGGACACGGGGGTGGGACAGACGGACACGGGGGTGGGACAGACGGACACGGGGGTGGGACAGAGGGACATGGGGGGGACAGAGGGACAGAGGGTGGGACAGAAGGACACGGGGGTGGGACAGACGGACACGGGGGTCAGGGCGGCCCCGGTCGCCGCCCCGCCCGGGCCCTACCTGCTGCATCAGGTCCAGCAGGGTCTCGAAGCGCTCCCGGCGCTGCCCCTCGGGCTCCTCCGGCCGCTCCCGCTCCAGCTCCGCGCAGATCCGCAGCATCAGCGCCTGCTGAGCCCCGAACCGCGCCCGCTGCTCCGGGGACAGCGACCCTTCGTGCTGCCGGAGCCACTCCGGGTACTGGGGACATCGAGGGACAGCGAGAGACATCGAGGGGACAGTGGGGTCACTGTCAGAACCCCCAAATCCCAGCCGATCCCAGCCCCATCAGCGCCCCAAACTGCACCCGCTGCTCCGGGGACAGGGACCCCTCGTGCTGCCACAGCCACTCCGGGTACTGGGGACATCGAGAGACATCGAGGGGACCCCAAAATCCCTCATGGAACCCCCAAATCCCAGCCAATCCCAGCCCCATCAGCGCCCCAAATTGCACCCGCTGCTCCGGGGACAGCAACCACTCGTGCTGCCACAGCCACTCCAGGAACTGGAGACAGTGAGGGGACATCGCAGGACACCGTGGGGACATCGAGGGGACATCAAGGGGACTGGAGGAACCCCCAAATCTCAGGCAATCCCAGCCCCAAACTGCACCCGCTGCTCTGAGGACAGGGACCCCTCGTGCTGCCACAGCCACTCCAGGCACTGGGGACAGTGAGGGAACCCCCAAATCCCCCGTGGAACCCCCAAATCCCCCACGGAAACCCCAATATCCTGGATAAAATGTCCCAGGACGGCCCTGGGGGTGACAGGGACAGACCCCACAAGGGGTCAAGGGGCAAAGTACATCCTTGGACAGTAGGGAATGCACCATGTCTCCCAGGGACCCTCCCCAGGTTTTTTGGGATGCCCTCCCGGTTTTTGGGGTCCTATCCCGGTTTTTGGGGCTCCTCCTGGATCTTGGGGTGTCACCTTCTCAGTGATGTTCTTCAGAGAGGGGCAGAGCACATCCTTGGACAGCAGGGACTGCACCATGTCCCCTTTGGAGTTTCCCACATCCCAGACAATCCCTCCAGGATTTCAAGGACCGCCCCCCCAGGTTTTTTGGGGTCCCCTCCCAGTTTTGGGGGTTCTTCCCGGCTTTTGGGGTCTCACATTCTCAGTGATCTCCTTGAGGGAGGGGTAGAGCACATCCTTGGACAGCGGGGACTGCATGAAGTCCCCATGACCCCTACTCATTGTCCCCAAGGGACACCCCCGGAGTTTTGGGGACACCCTTAAGTTTTTTGGGGTGCCCTCCCGGATTTTGCGGTTCCTCCCGGATTTTGGGGTTCCTCCCGGATTTTGGGGTTCCTCCCGGATTTTGGGGCCCCACCTTCTCGGTGATCTCCTTGAGGGAGGGGCAGAGCACATCCTTGGACAGCAGGGACTGCATGAAGTCCCCATGACCACCACACATTTCCCATGCCCCAAGGGTTCCCCCTAGGTTTTTTGGGGTCCCCTCCCGGATTTTGGGGTTCCCCCCGGATTTTGGGGCCCCACCTTCTCGGTGATCTCCTTGAGGGAGGGGTAGAGCACGTCCTTGGACAGCAGGGACTCCATGATGCTGCGCATGACGGGCAGGACGCCGTCCCCGCCGCCCTCCTCCAGCCCCAGCCCCTCCAGGGCCTTGGCCAGCTCCTCCTCGGAGCCCGGGGAATTCTGCGGGACACCGGAGCCCTGAGCCCCGGGACAGCCCCGGGAGAGCCCCGGGAGAGCCCCGGGAGAGCCCCGGGAGCCCCGGGAAGGGCTGGCAGGGAGTACCTGGAGGTCATTGGCGTTCTTGGCCAGCCCGCTCAGGGTCTCCTTGAGGCAGGAGGTGAATTCCTGCTGCGAGGCCGCGTCGCTGCCTGCGGGAACGGGGTTTGGGAATGGGAATGGGGTTTGGGAATGGGGGTTGGGAATGGGAATGGGGGTTGGGAATGGGAATGGGGGTTGGGAATGGGAATGGGGGTTGGGAATGGGAATGGGGTTTGGGAATGGGAATGGGGTTGGGAATGGGAACGGGAATGGGGTTTGGGAATGGGAATGGGGTTGGGAATGGAGTTTGGGAATAGGAATGGGAATGGGGTTCAGAATGGGATTTGGGAATGGGGTTGGGAATGGGGTTTGGGAATGGGTTGGGATGGGGTTGAGAATGATTTGGGATGGGGTTGGGAAGGGGGTTGGGATGGGGTTTGGGAATGGGGTTGGAAATGGAGTTGGGAATGGGGTTTGGGAATGGGGTTTGGGAATGGGAACAGGGTTGGGAATGGGATTTGGGAATGGGGGTGGGAATGGGAACAGGGTTTGGGATGGGGTGGAAATGGGAATGGGATGGGGTTTGGGAATAGGGTTTTGGAATGGGAACGGGGTTTGGGAATGGGAACAGGGTTTGGGAATGGGAATGGGTTGGGAATGGGTTGGGATGGGGTTGGGAATGGGGAATAATGGGAATAATGGGGTGTCCCACTGGGGTATTGTCCCCAGTCCCAACTGGATGGAACAATTCCAGATGGAATTGAGAATAGTGGGAATAGCGGGGTGTCCCACTGGGTCGCTGCCCCCAATCCCAAACCGGGGCACATCTCCAGGTGTGCCAGGGAGCAGGGCAGGCCCGGGACTCCCATTCCCACCCGGAATGCCCCCCAGTGCCCACCCCCCTCACCGACTTTCCCCGCAGCCTCCGAGAGCTTCTGGAACTGCTGCACCAGCTGGGGCTCCTGGCGGGCCAGCTCCTGCATGGCCTCCTGGAATTCGGCGGCCGCCTGCGCCGCCAGCTCGCCCTCGAAGAGCTCCTGGAAGAACCTCTCCTGCGAGGAGAAGAGCGAGCCCTGCAGCGGGGTCAGCGCGCCCCGCCGCTGCCCGCCGCGCCCCGCGGCCTTTTCGGGGTGCCCACCTCGGAGGAAGGCGGGGAGGGGGGTCGGACGGAGCCGGGAGCGGGGGGCGGCGCGGGGCGGCTGCGCTCGAAGTCGTCCAGGGCACCTGCGGGGGGTTGTGGGGTCAGGGGAGCCCCAAAACGGGGTGGGGAAAGGGGGGAGGTACCCCACAGAACCGGCTGGATGGAGCCGAAGTGTGTGTGGGTAAAACTGCGCCCCAAATTGCACCCCAATATCAGCACCCCCAAAACTGCACCCCAAAAATCACCACCCCCAAAACTGCGCCCCAAACTGCACCCCAATATCAGCACCCCCAAAACTGCACCCCAATAATCCCTACCCCAAACTGCACCCCAATAATCCTTACCCCCAAAACTGCACCCCAGTAACCCCAGACCCCCCTCACCCCAATAATCCCAGACCCCCCCTCATCCCAATAACCCCAGACCCCCTCACCCCAATAACCCCAGACCCCCTCAACCCCAATAACCCCAGACCCCCTCACCCCAATAACCCCAGACCCCCCCTCACCCAAATTACATCCCAGACCCCCCCTCACCCCAATAATCCCAGACCCCCCCTCACCCCAATAACCCCAGACCCCCTCACCCCAATAATCCCTGACCCCCCTCACCCCAATTACCCCAGACCCCCCTCACCCCAATAACCCCCCAGACCCCCCCTCACCCCAATTACCCCAGACCCCCCCACCCCAATAACCCCAGACCCCCCTCACCAATAACCCCAGACCCCCCTCACCCCAATAACCCCACACCCCCTCACCCCAATGATCCCTGACCCCCCTCACCCCATGACCCCCATCGCTCCCAACGCCGCGCAGCCCCCCCACCCCGCAGTGCCCCCCGTTCCCCCGGTTCCCCCCGGTTCCCCCCGGTTCCCCCCGGTCCCCCCTCACTCTCCAGCAGCTCCTCCAGCTCCGTGTCCGGCCCCGCGCCCGGGCCCGGCTCCGCCGCCATCTTGGCCGCTCCGCCCGCCGCCGCCAGAGGGCGCTGCCGCTGGCCACGCCCCTCCCCGCCCCGAGGACACGCCCCCTCCGCTGGCCACGCCCCCTGGAAAACACGGAACGGAACCTGAACGGGAGCGGGAATGGGAATGGGAATGGGAGCGGGAATGGGAATGGGAATGGGAGCGGGAAATGGGAATGGGGATGGGAACGGGAATGGGAAATGGGAATGGGAATGGGAATGGGAAATGGGAATGGGAATGGGAATGGGAGCGGGAATGGGAATGGGAATGGGAATGGGAATGGGAACGGGAATGGGAATGGGAATGGGGGAAGGGGAATGGGGGAAGGGGAATGGGAATGGGAATGGGAAATGGGAAAGGGAGCGGGAATGGGAATGGGAACGGGAATGGGAATGGGAGCGGGAACGGGAATGGGAATGGGAGCGGGAACGGGGATGGAAATGGGAATGGGAATGGGAATGGGAATGGGAATGGGAATGGGGAACGGGAACAGGAATGGGAATGGGAATGGGAATGGGAATGGGAATGGGGAACGGGAACAGGAATGGGAATGGGGAATGGGAACGGGAAATGGGAATGGGAATGGGAGCGGGAATGGGAGCGGGAATGGGAATGGGGATGGGAATGGGAATGGAATGGGAATGGGAATGGGAACGGGAACAGGAATGGGAATGGGGGTTCCAGGAGTGGGGGGCTCAGGGGGTTTGGAGAGCCAGGGATGGGTGCCCAAAGGAATGGGGGTCCCAGGGATGGGGGTCCAGGGGAATCGGGGTGCCATGGGAATGGGGGGTCCCAGGGATGGGGTCCTTGGGCACTGGTGGCACCGAGGGGGTGGGTGACAATGGGGGGACGGGGGTCCCTTGGAGCTGTAGAGGCCTCAAGAATTTGGGAATGATGGGGAACCCCTGAACTGTGACCTTGCCTGGGGGTCCTGCAGGGATTTTGGGGGTTCTCTCACCCCTGGGGGTGTTTGGGGGGTCTCTGTCCCTGCCGAGCTTTGGGTTGTTGAGGCTGAGGGGTGTTCATGAATTCTGGGGGGCTCCAGGGAGGTTTGGGGGTCCTGAGGGGAATTGGGGGTCCCGTGGGGGTTCAGGAATCCTGAGAGGGGTCAGTGCTCGGGGACCCCACAGCGACCCCTCCCCTCTTTCCTCTGCAGCCGCCAGGGAACACCAGGAAAGGTGAGTGGGGGTCTCCAGGAACGATTCCCCTTTTACCCCCACCCCACAACTCTCCATCCCTTCCCACACATCCCCTTTATCCCCTCAGGGCCCCCCCAAATCCCCCCCTTATTTTAAGCTTTTTTAGTGCTCTTTCACCACCCCAAAGCTGTAAATTTTATCCTTTTTTTTTTAATCCTATTATTAAACTTTTAAAAATTCTTGGTTTTCACAGGCACTCGGAATTTCTTGGATTTTTCTTTTTTAATCCTATATATTTTCTGTGCAGTAGCATTGCCATCTGCTGCTCGATATTCTGAATTACAGTGCTTATTTTGTATGTTTTATTTTGATTTTATACAGCTCTGCTCGATATTCTGAATTACAGTGCTTATTTTGGGTGTTTTATTTCGATTTTATACAGTTCTGCTCGATATTCTGAATTACAGCGCTAATTTTGTGTGTTTTACTTCGATTTTGTACAGTTCCATCATCACATCCTTTGGTGATGTCACTTTTTTTATTTGAATTTAAGGTTTGAACCCCTCGTTTTCATCATCTTAAAGTTTAAACTTAAGATGATGAAAATAAGGGGAAAAAAACAGGGGAAATCCAGTTGCCTTTCCTTATTAAGGGTTTAAATTGAGAAAATCCCCCTTTCCCCATAATTTGAGAGATTTAAATTAAGGGAAATGCCGCTTTTTTTAGGGGGTTATTGCATATTTTAGGGGATAATGCATATTTTAATAATATATATTTTAATAATATATTTTTAATAATATATACTTTAATAATATATATTTTAATATAAAAATATATTATTAAAATATATATTATTAATATATAACATATACTTAAGATATTATTTTAGAATATAAATTTTAAATTTTTATATATTACAAAATATATATTTTTAAAATAACATATTTTAATAATATAAAATAAAATATTTAATATTTTAGAGGATAATGCATATTTTAACAATATATATTTTAATAATATATATAGTATATATTTGAAATATTAATTTAAAATATATTTAAATATTTAATATATTTAAATATTATAATTTAAATATAATTATTTTAATTATAAACCTATTAAAATGTTATACATTATAAAATATATATATATTTTAATAATATATTTTAATAAAATAAAATAAAAAATATGCAATATTTTAGGGGATAACGCATATTTCAGGGGATTAAATTGGTTAAGAGAACCCATTTATTTGTCAATTTATAGGGAAATTTTTTTTTTTTTGCGGTAAATTTTTTTCAGGTAAAACTTTTTCAGGGCAAAAAAATGCACGAAAGGAAATAACGGCTTTTTACCGGAAAATACAGAACAAAACAACACAAAACCCGAATTTTCTCACCTGTTTTGGGGTAAAAAAAAGATATTTTTTCATCTTTGGTGCAGTTACATGCACGGCCAGAAGGGGGCGCTGCGATCTAGCGGCAAAGCCACGCCCCTTTTGTCGTGGCCACGCCCCTCATTGACCCACCCAATTGTTGTAGCCCCGCCCCTTTATAGTGGCCACGCCCCTTTTATCGTGGCCCCGCCCCTCTGTGCGGCCATGGGGTCCCTGTTTCCCCCCCCCCGACCGGGGGTCCCCAAATTTTAACCCACCACGACCCCCTCTGCCCTCCCCCAGCCCCAAATCACGACCAGGCCCGGAAATAAGAAGTGAATCCATTTATTGGGGCACAGGGGTTGCTCCCCAAAACTCTGGGGGGGCCTCCAGCAGCCCCCCAAGGCACTGTGGGGCATTGGGGTGGGCACAGCGGCACCGCCCCCACCCAGCCAAATAATAATAATTATAATAAAAAAATGACTTTGGTCCTGATAAAACTGGCGAGGGGGCGGCTGCCCGGGTTTGGGGGGCACCCGGTTGGTCCACGGTGAAGGGGTTAAGGCGGTTTTGGGGTGGGGGGTGCCCAGCAGGAGGGGCTCAGAGGATCTGGCGGGGCATCCCGTAGCCCGTCATGCCAGCCTGCGAGGCGCCCCGGTTGGTGCCCATCTGCAGCCCGATGACGCTCTGCCCCTCCTTCAGCTTGTCCTCGGAGAAGACACGCCGGTTCTCCTGCGACTTCCTGCGGGCACACCACACGGGGGTGTCACCATCCCCTGAGAGACCCCAAAACCCCGATTCCTCCCCCTCCAGCACCTCCTCCACCTACTTGGGGAACCAGTTGGGGTCTCCAACGAAGAGCCCGTCACCCTTGGCCACGGCCAGGCTGCCCAGGTTCATCAGGGTCCTCTGCACGCACGCCATGTTCTTGCCTGGAAGACCCACATCAGGTTCAGCTCCATCTCCATCCCACCCCACCCCAAATCCCGTGGGTCTCTCACCTTCCCACAGATCCACGGTCTGGAAGATGTCGGTGGCGGCGATGCCGTAGCGCTCGGCCGCCTGCAGGAACTGCGAGATCTGCTCCATCTGCTTGAAGGCCATGGCCGACGCTTGGATTTTGGCCACGGGCGCTTGTCCCCGCGGGTGGAGGCTGTTGATGAGGCGGCACAGCACCTGCAGGAAGAAACGGGGTTTAAAGGTAGGTTTGGGTGTGTGGCACCCATGCCAGCTGGGTTACTCACCGTGCCATCCTTCAGCCACTGCTGGAAGCCGTCCCTGCCAGGCGCCGGTTGTGCCACCGCGGTGTCACCGCACTGTGCCAGGATCCAGCGCACCAACACCTGCTCCAGCTCGGGGTCGTACTGCCGGTCGATCTTCTGCTGCACCTCCCGGCTCAGCCCGTAGGACGGGCCCCGGTTGGCCATGCTGACAGCGGGGGGTTCTGCGGGGGTGGCACCCGTGGGTGGCTCTGGTGGCACCGCGCCGCCCGCGCCGTCACCTCGGCGTGTGTTGGGATCTGTGGGTATTGGTGATTTTGAGATTGTAGAAAGTCTCTGTCTTTTTGCTCCGTTGTCAAAGAAGATTTGTGCTGTTTTTAAGGTTGTTTATTTTGTTTTATTTATAATAAGTTCTGCTGCCCTGCCGCAGCTCTGTCCTGCAGGGCAGCGTGTGGGGCTCTGCCCTCAGCGGGATGGTACAAACATTATATATCAGAAACTACGTGTACTATATTTATAATAATATATTAATATCTATCATTTACGTTGAACAGTGTGTTCTTAGCCTAAACTAATAGAAAAATGCCAACACCACAGTGAAACATGGAGGGCATGAAGAAGGAGAAAAAGGACAAGGCACACCCAATTTCTCCATCTTGTCCCCTTTGAACCCCTCATCTAGAAACTTAAAATTTTACTTCTGCACCCGTGTTACACTTAATTATTATTCTTATCAAACACTCAGAGCTTGTAATTCATCCTGTAAGATTGAAAACTCCTCTCCATGGACAGAGATCACAGCCAGTGTCTCTGGGGGCTCTGTCCAGGGGGGTTCTGACCCCTGCCAGGGTCCCAGGGCAGCCAGAGGGAAGCTGGGACCTTATCGGCCGTGCCAGGCGCTGCCCAGGCTCTGCCCTCTTCCTGCCCAGCTGGGTTTGTGCCCACCCGAGGGGCGTTGTGACACCCTCCGTGCCACCCTGAGCATCGGTGCCACCCTGAGCATCGCCGTGTGCCAGCTCGGCGGGCGCCGGGGGCCGGTCGGAGCTTGTTTGCGGATCTCGCCCGTTTGCTCGGGCTCAGAGCCAGATCCGGGACTGGCACGGGAGCGTGGGGCCAGGGCTGATGGTGGCAGTGTCCCCACCCCACCCCGGCCAGGTGCTGTGCCAAGGCGCCGCTGGAGCGGTGCCACCCGCGCTGGAGATAATGCCCACGGGGGACACGAGCAGAGTGGCCCTGCCCGTATGGTCCCGAGCTGCCCACGGGGGTCTCTCCATCCCCTCTGCCCCACAGTGTGGTGGGCACACGAGGCTGCCCACCCGTGCATCGCCCTGCTGGCATTTGGGGGCACCAAGAAGCCACAACACGTGTGGGTGGCCACGCCTGCCCGGTGTCCCCGTCCTAACCGGGCACATGTGGCACTTTCCCAGCCCAAATCGGGGGTGCCAGGCTCGGTTTGGGGGTCCTGCCACCAGGAGCACCCCAAGGACAGGAGGAAAAGCCACCCCAGCCTGGTGTGCCCACAGAACCAACGCTTTGTGCCACCGTGGATGTCCCCAGGACCAAGCCTGGCATGCGGGGACCCCGCGGGGGTGGCGTGGGGAGCGGCCGGCGGGGGGCCAAGGAGTTGGGAAACAAAGAGGAGCTGAACTGGGATCGTTTCCCGACCCAAGCGGAGCCTGCCCGGGCGGGATGGGGACACACCCGCACCCGGCCCCGCTGCCCCGGCGACCTCCGGACTGGGCGGGAGCGGCCGCACCGGACCCACCCGGAATGTTGGGGACCCTCCGGCCACCGTGGTCCCACTTATGGGGGGCACCACCCCAGGGACACCCCGAGCACCCCCAAATTCTTTCCTAAGAGCGGCAGGGAAAGGGCTGTACCCATCCCCGGGGATCCCCGAAATCCTCCAGCGGCGACAAGAAGGGGACCCCAACCGGCACCAAGCCACCCTGGGGACCCCCGCCACACCCCGGGGACAGCAGCCAGGGCTGCACCCAGCGCTCCGCCACCCAAGGGTGCCCAGAGCCCCGCGGGGACAGCGGGGAGGGGACACGGCGGGGACGGGGAGGGGAGCGGAGCCACCCCCGCGGGCGCGCCCCGGGGCTCCCGGTACGGCGGGGCCGGAAGCCGCACCCCGGTCCCGTTTCCCGGGCGCGGCCGCGTGTCCCGGTGGCTCCGTGGGTGCGGTTCGGCCGTAACCGCTACCGGGATGGGTGGGGGGGACACACCGGGGGATACCGGGGGACACCGGGGCACACCGGGGACTGGTGGCTGGTGCTGAGCCCGTTCCCATCTCCGCCCTGCCGCTGTCCTCCCGGTGCGCATCTCCCTCCCGGTGCCCGCGCAGCTCCCGGTGCCATCCCCATCCATCCCCGGTGCCCGGTGCCCGGTGCCCGGTGGCAGCCCCTCCCTACCTGCGGCGCCGGTCCCGCGCTCCCCGGGGCGGCAGTGCCGGATGCCGCCGCCGCCCGCGCCCTTTTCACGGCTGATGTCACCGGCACCGCCCGGTACCGCCCGCCCCCGGGGCGGGATCCGCCGGGGCCGCGGCGGGGTCGGGAGAGAGCGGGACCGCGCCCCGGGGCTGCCCCGCCCCGGGAGGGGACACGGGGGAGCGGGGACGGGGTGGGGACAGGGTGGCCATGGTGGCAGGGGGACACAGGGACAGTGGCTGTGATGGGGACAGGGTGGCCGTGGTGGGGACAGGGTGGCCACGGTGGGGACAATGTGGCTGTGGTGGGGACAGGGATTGTGGCAGGGACAGGGTGGCCGTGGTGGGGACAGGGTGGCCGTGGTGGGGACAATGTGGCTGTGGTGGGGACAGAGTTTGTGGCAGGGACAGAGTGGCCGTGGTGGGGACAATGTGGCTGCGGTGGGGACAGTGTGGCTGTGGTGGGGACAATATGGCCATGATGGGGACAATGTGGCCGTGGTGGGGACAGGGAGGCCACGGTGGCAGGGAGACACAGGGATAGTGGCTGTGGTGGGGACAACGTGGCTGCAGTAGCAGGGACAAAGTGACACGACGGGGACAGGCTGGGCTTGACCCCCCTGAGCATTTCGCTGGTGACAAAACCTCTCACGGTGGCAGCAAGGGGACAATGCCCACGGTGGCACCTGGCGGCTGCCAGGACCCTGCTGTGACGATGATGGGGACAAGCAGGGGCTGGCTCTGGTGACAAGGGGACAGCTGAGGGTCAGGGAGGGGAGGACGTGGCCCCGCAGTGTCCCCGGTGACGATGGCGTTGGCACATGTCCCGTCTCCATGGCGAGCGCCACCAAAACAACCAAACAAAACCTCGGCTCGGGGCCACCGCCGCCTCCGGAAGGGGTGGCAGGGCCACCGCTGCAGTGTCACTGTCACCACCACTGCAGTGTCACTGTCACCACCACTGCAGTGTCACTGTCACCGTCCCTGCAGTGTCACTGTCACCACCACTGCAGTGTCACTGTCACCACCACTGCAGTGTCACTGTCACCGTCCCTGCAGTGTCACTGTCACCACCGCTGCAGTGTCACTGTCACCGTCCCTGCAGTGGCACTGTCACCGTCCCTGCAGTGTTACTGTCACTGCCACCACTGCTGCAGTGTCCCCGTCACCGTCCCTGCACTGTCACTGTCACTGCAGTGTCACTGTCACCGTCCCTGGAGTGTCCCTGTCACCGTCCCTGCAGTGTCACTGTCACCGTCCCTGCAGTGTCACTGTCACCGTCCCTGCAGAGTCCCCGTCACTGCCACCACCACTGCAGTGTCCCTGTCACCGTCCCTGCAGTGTCCCTGTCCTGTCACTGCCACCACCGCTGTAGTGTCCCCATCACTGTCACCATCCCTGCAGTGTCACTGTCACCACTGCCACCCCTCAGCACACAGCTTGGCACCCGGAGCTCAGCTGGGGTGGCACTGTCACACAGCTGGGATGGCACTGTCACACAGCTGGGATGGCACTGTCACACTGTTCTGCCACCAGAGCTCAGTTCTGATGGCATTGTCACACGGCTCTGATGGCACTGTCACACTGTGGTCCAGCCCAGAAGTGTCCCCTCGCCCTCCCTGCACCCACGGGTGCCACAGGGTGGGGTGACTTTAACCATCTAAGGACTGTGGGTGTCCCCTGGGGATTTCGGGTGGCGTTTCCTGTGCCTCTGGGGACAGGGAGTGGCACTGGGTGACCCATGGGACACGGGGTGACACAGGGGGGACAAAGAGGCGCAGGAACAGGGTAGGGTGACACAGGGACAGGACCTGGGGGTGACAAAGGAGATTTTGGGGTGACAAAGCAGCAGATTTTGGGGTGACACAGGGAGAGGACAGGGGTGGATGTGACCAGGGGACACGATGGGGGACATGAAGTGGGCGGGGCAAGGGGACACGGGAGGAACTGAAAGGGGACATGGGGGGACATGGGGTGGGTGTGGCAGGGGGACACGAGGGGACACTGGGGGGACACGGGGGGACATGAGGGGATACTGGGGGGACATGGGGGGACTTGGGGTGGGTGTGGCAGGGGGACAGGAGGGGACACTGGGGGGACATGGGGTGGGTGTGGCAGGGGGACACGAGGGGACACTGGGGGGACATGGGGGGACATGGGGTGGGTGTGGCAGGGGGACACGGGGGGACACGGGGGGACATGGGGTGGGTGTGGCAGGGGGACACGGGGGGACACTGGGGGGACATGGGGGGACATGGGGTGGGCGTGGCAGGGGAACACGAGAGGACACAAAGAGGGGACACGGGGACACGGCAGGGGGACAAAGGGGGACACGATGGGGGGGTACGGGGTGATGGGGGGGGGGGTGCCCAAAATCCGTGACCCGACGCGACCCGCGCCGGAACCCCACGCGCGAACCCCCCCGGGGTGACGTCACCGCCAGGCCACGCCCCCTCGGTGACGCGATCCCGCGCCGTGACCATATAAGGGCATGTGCTGATTGACCACGCCCCCTCCAGCACGGACCACGCCCCCTCGCCCGCTGGCCACGCCCCCTCCCGAATTTGGGGGGGGGGAGAACGGAGGGGGAGGGGAGCGGGGGAAACTGAGGCACGAGGGAGGGGACGGCGACATCGGAACGGCGGAGGGGGACACTGAGGAAATGGGGGAGGGGTAGGAGAAGATGGGGGGGGGACACCCCGAGGGAGGAAAATGAGGAAAATGGGGGTACGGAGCAATTTTGGGGGGTGGGGGCACGAATAAATGGGAGGGGGGGGTGGGATTTAATAGGGGGGGTTGGATTTAATAGGGGGGGTGGGATTTAATAGGGGGGTGGGATTTAATAGGGGGGGTGGGATTTAATAGGGGGGGTGGGATTTAATAGGGGGGGTGGGATTTAATAGGGGGAGAGCGAGTGGGGAATGGGAAAATGTGGGCGGGGGGATGGGGAAGATGATGGGGGGGACACACAGGAGAATTGGGGAGCAATTGAGAAGATGGAGGGAGGGTTTAAAAGGAGGGGGCACCTCTTTATTTCCCCCCCACACCCCACGCGGGACCACCTAGAGCAGCGTGGCCACCTCGAAGCGCTCGGAGCAGCACCCACGGGTGCCCACCCGCTGTTGGGTCCCTTCCCTGCGGCGCCTCGCCCCCAACCCCTCGGTTCGGGGGGTCTGGCTGCGTTCCGGGGGACCCCCCATCCCCAACGCCTCCGCCGACACGGAGCTCACCGGGACCGAGCCGGGCTCTGCGGGGAGATAAGCAGCGTCCGGTCCCTCCGTGGCACCCGGTGGGGCGGCCACGGGGGGTACGGGGGGTACCGGGGGGTCGCACTCACGGTGCCGCTGGAGGTCCCGCAGGGCGATGGAGGAACGGGGCCGGGCCGGGGCCGCGCCCCGGTAAAGCTGCAGCGCCTCCAGGAGTTCGGATTCCAGCGCGAATTCCGCGTCCCACTCGTAGTTCTCGTCCACGGAGGTGTTTCTCCTGCGGGGAGGGGGTGAGGGGCACGGACACCCCCGTCCCGAGGGGGTGAGACCCCCCAAAAAAAGGGAAAGCTCTGGGGATGGGTGTGGAACCCCAAGGATGGAGAGCCCAGGGCAGATTCTGGGGTGTCAGATGCCAGGGATGGTGTGGAACCCCAAGGATAGAGCCCAAGAGAGACCCCAAAAAAGTGAAAGCTCTGGGGATGGGTTTGAAATTCGGGATGGAGAGCCCAGGGGATGGATACCAGGGGAGACCCCAAAAAAAGTGAAAGCTCTGGGGATGGGTGTGGAACCCCAAGGATGGGGAGCCCAGGGGAGACCCCAAAAGTGAAAGCCCGAGGGATGGGTGTGAAATCCTGGGGATGGGGAACCCAGGGATGGGGAGCCCAGGGGAGACCCCAAAAAAGTGAAAGCTCTGGGGATGGGTGTGGAACCCCAAGGATGGAGAGCCCAGGGATGGAGACCAGGGGAGACCCCAAAAAAAGTGAAAGCCCGAGGGATGGGTGTGAAATCCTGGGGATGGAGGTCAGGGGAGACCCCCCAAAAAAGTGAAAGCTCTGGGGATGGGTTTGAAACTCGGGATGGAGAGCCCAGGGATGGAGGGTCAGGGCAGATTTTGGGGTGTCAGATGCCAGGGATGGTGTGAAACCCCAAGGATGGAGCCCAGGAGACCCCAAAAAAGTGAAAGCTCGGGATGGGTTTGAAATTCGGGATGGAGAGCCCAGAGGTGGGTACCAGGGGAGACCCCCCAAAAAAGGGAAAGCTCTGGGGATGGGTTTGAAACCCTAAGGATGGAGGTCAGGGCAGATTCTGGGGTGTTAGATGCCAGGGATGGTGTGGAACCCCAAGGATGGAACCCAGGAGAGACCCCAAAAAAGTGAAAGCCCGAGGGGTGGGTGTGAAATCCTGGGGATGGAGAGCCCAGGGGATGGAGGTCAGGGCAGACCCCGAGGTCTGGCAGGTCTGAGACCACCCCGTGTCCCCCCATAATGGCCATGAGACCCCCAGGATGGATGCCAGGAGACACCCCAAGCCCCAGGTGCCCAGGGACGGGTGGCAGGGGCACATCCCAATGTCACATCCCAGGGGGGAGAACTGGGGTGGGGTCTCTGGGGACAGGGAGCAGAGGGAAGGGGGTGTCCCCATGGCACTGCAGGGACAGCCATCCCTGCCCAGGGCTCACCTCTTCCCGGTGCCAACATCCATCCTGCCCTCCGCGATGGGGGTGCCCAGAAAGGTGCCCCCCAAGGCCGGTGCCAGCGAGGGGGGCCGCAGGAAGGATCCGCTGCCCCGCCCGCTGCTCTGGCTGGTCAGGCTGCCCCGCGGGAGCTTCTCGGGGTGGGGAGGGGCGGCAGCCTCCGGTGGCCGCCCCGGTGTTTCAGTCCGGTGATGCGGGACCGGCTGCGGGGCAATCCCGGTGATGGGGGAACCGGGCAGCGAAGCCTTGGCGGGGCCCGGGGGGAACCGGGGGGGCTCAAGGAGAGCGGAGGAGGAAGAGGATGATGAGGAGGAGGTGGTGTTGGCACTTGGGTCAATGCAGTCCGGGCACAGCGTCTGTTCGGTGGGTGGGGGGCTGGCGGGGGGCTCCGGTGGGTCGGGGGGTTCCTCCGGTTCCTCCGGTGGGGGCCAATCGCCATCCACACACATCTCCTTGAAGAAGGGCAGGCTGAGGTACTGCAGGATCCCGCTGATTCCCGGGGCACCGGGGGGTACCGGGGGGCCGGGGGGTACCGGGGGGCCGGGGGGTACCGGGGCACCGGGGGGTACCGGGGCACCGGGGGGTACCGGGGCACCGGCAGCCGGTTTGGGGGAGCCCCGGTGGGGCGGTGAGTCCCAGGGGGAGCCGTGGCGGGGCTCGGGGGGCTCCGGGACGGCGCTGTAAGGCAGAGTGGCGGCGGTAGAGACCACGGGGCTGACATCGGTGATGCTCAACGCCACCGCCTCACCCACGGGGCTGCTGTAACCGAAGTAACGACCGTGACGGTGACCGGAGCCTCGGGAGCCCCGGTGGGGTTGCCCGGCGGGTTGGGGGCGCAGCGAGACCCCTCTGTGCCACACGGGCTGGTTGTCTTCCTCTTCCTCATCATCATCATCATCATCATCATCCTCCTGGGCGGGCAGCTGGTGGTAGGGCTGCGGGGGGACCGGCGGAGGCTCCGGGGATGGAGAGCCCAACACGAAACGGCCGTCGGGACCGCGGCAGATCCGTTCCAACGGGACGTTCTCCCGGTCCTGGCTCTCGTAGGCGGGATAACGGGAACCGGCGATGCTCAGCCCCAGGCTGGTACCGGCTTTTTCACCCCACAGCAGCGTCCGGTGCAGGCTCCGGTACGGGGATGGTTGCAGCTTCAGCCTGACCGTGCTGGTGGGGCCAGCAGGGCCACGAGCATCGCTGCAAGGGAGAGGTGGCAGCTGCAGCAGCCTCTGGTTGTGCTGCCAGGCTCTGCTCCTGAATTTCCTGGTTTTTTAACTCCAGAAAAGGAGCACAAGGCGAGCCCCGGTGGCAGCACCCCGCAGGGAGTGGCTGTCCCCAAGGTGTCCCCAAGGTGTCCCCAAGGTGCTACCCCAGGTGGTGGCAGAGGGATGATGAGGAGGGCAGTGGGATGGACAGGGAGGGAGAGGGATGGAGGGGAGTGGGAGAGGGAGGGGAGTGTGGCATGGGCAGGAGTGGGTGAGAGGGAGCAGGATTTGGGGAGGGGGGGAAAGGCAGAGGTGGGATGGGAAGGGAATGGGATGTGGAGGAGCAAGAGAGGGACAGGGAGGGAGTGTGGCATGGCAGGACAGGACAGGACAGGGAGGGTGGCATGGCATGGCATGGCAGGACAGGGAAGGAATGTGGCATGGTGGGAGCAGGACAGGACAGGGAGGGAGTGTGGCATGGGGGGAGCAGGATAGGGAGGGAATATGGCATGGCATGGCATGGCATGGCAGGACAAGGAGGGAATGTGGCACGGAGGGAGCAGGATAGGGAGTGAGGGTGGCATGGCATGGCAGGACAGAGAGGGAGTGAGGGAGTGTGGCATGGCATGGCATGGCATGGCATGGCATGGCATGTCAGGACAGGGAGGGAATATGGCATGGCATGGCATGGCAGGACAGGACAGGGAGGGAACATGGCATGGTGGAAGCAAGACAGGGAGGGAATGTGGCATGGCAGGACAGGGAGGGAGTGTGGCATGGGGGGAACAGGACAGGGAGGGAGTGAGATGGAGGGGAGCATGGCATGGCATGGCACGGCATGGCAGAATAGGACAGGGAGGGAATGTGGCACGGTGGGAGCAGGACAGGAAGGCAGTGGGGATGGAGGGACCACAGCAGTGACGTGGCAGGACAAGGAGGGAGTGTGGCATGGCATGGCACGGCATGTCAGGACAGGGAGGGAACGTGGCACGGTGGGTGCAGGACCGGGAGGGAGTGAGGGAGTGTGGCATGGCATGGCATGTCAGGACAGGGAGGGAGCATGGCATGGCATGGCATGGCATGGCATGTCAGGACAGGGAGGGAGCATGGCATGGCATGGCACGGCACGGCATGGCATGTCAGGACAGAGAGGGAGCATGGCATGGCATGGCATGGCACGGCACAGCATGTCAGGACATGGCAATGGCGTGGCGTGACTTACTGTGGAGGTGGAAGCTTCTTGCTGGGGGAGAAGACGAGTGGTGGATCTGGAAGGCCACGAGAACACAGGGGGGAATCACACGGCGAGCAACTCAAAAGGTGATGAGGAGGAAACAGCAGCACCCACTCTGTCCCCCCACCCTGGCTGGCCTGTCCCCATTGTCCCCGTTGTCCCCGTTGTCCCGGTACCTTGGTGGCGCTTGCGGAGGCGCGCGGCGCGGCGCCGGTTCATGATGCAGGCGGCCGTGGTGCTGAAGATGACGGCCACGCTGAGGAAGCAGATCCCCCCGACCACCCCCGCCAGCACCGGCTGTGGCAGCAGCTCGGGCAGCTGCGTGCGGGACGGGTACACCTCCATCCCTGCCGGGCACGGGGCACCCCATCAGACGGGCACAGCACCCCAAAATGTGTCCCAAACATCGTGGGGACGCAGCTCGGGGCTGTGCCCACCACCCTGGCCACCAGCAGAAGGGATGCTCTGCACCCAGCAGCTCTGATAATTTTAATCTTGAGTGAACAGCACAAAATGGGGGTTCTCCTTTGGGAATTTGGATGTTTCCCACCTCTGTTTTCCACCCCCAGCCTCACCTGCCGTGGAGACGTTCACCGTGTTGCTGGGGTCGCTGATGTAGCTGCCAGCAAAGGCCACCAGGCGGAACTCGTAGAAGGCGTCCTGGGGAGGACACGGGGCCATGAGCCACCAAACCCGAACCTGTCAGAACTCAAAATGTCCCTCAGCCACTTTTTGGGTGTTCCTGGTCCAGCTCAGAAGCATTTGAGACCCTGGCAGGCAGCTGGAAAATTTTGGGTTTCAACCATGGAATGATTTACCAACCTTACAGGATGAACAAAAAGTCACAAAATTTAGATATTATAGTAGAAGTAGTCAGAAAGTAAAGAAAATAATTTTTGAGTGCTGTACAGGGGGGTTTTGGTTTTGTACATGGGGGTTTTGGTTTTAAAATAGAGGGATTTGAGCCTGCCCTGTCCTCCCTCTCTCTTCTTCCTCACCTCCATGTTCTTGGTGCTGTTGGCACTCACAGATTGGTTTAGAGTAGAAAATCACCATTTAATATAGGTAATGGGCATTGGGGAAAAACTATAAACATTTAACATGTAATGTATCGTATAAAAGATAGAAAGGCACCATTTAATGTAGGTAACAGGCATTGGGAAAAAAACTATAAATATTTAACATGTAATGTACCACATAAAAGATAGAATGGCACTATTTAATATAGGTAATAGGCATTGGGGAAAAACTATAAATATTTAACACGTAATGCACAATATAAAAGATATCAGCAGCCCTGGGCGGGGAGAGAAGAAGAAATCAGGAGTCAGAGAGGATGTCAGGGTGTGTGTGTGCCTCTGCCTGAGCTGTGAGCAAACCACAGCAGCCTGAGAAGAAAATTTTTTAGATAAAACTTGCAATAAACTGCCTTGAGACTGAACAACAGAGACTGCTGAGCCTTTCTTTGGCAGCACGGGGTGGAGGATGTCAGAATCTGAGGTATTGGTGATCCTAAGATTGTAAAAAGTCTCTGTCTTTCTGCCCTGCTGCCAAAGAAAAAGTTATAATTCATCTGTGCTGGTTTTCAAGGTTGTTTATTCTTATACATATAGGAATATATGTATATATATTCTTATATGTATAAAAATAAACTTATCTATAACATGTTCTGCTGCCCTGCCGCAGCTCTGTCCTGCAGGGCAGCGTGTGGGGCTCTGCCCTCAGTGGGATGTTACAAACATTAAATACCACAAACTACCTGTGCTATATTTACAATAATGTGCCAATGTAACACCCCTCAGTGGGATGGTACAAACATTAAATACCACAAACTACCTGTGCTGGATTTACAATAACGTGCCAATATCTGTCACCTACGTTGGACAGTGTGTCCCCAGCCTGAACCAACAGAAAAATGCCAACACCACAGTGAAACATGGAGGGCATGAAGAAGGAGAAAAAGGACAAGACACACCCAATTTCCTCCATCTTGTCCCCTTTGGACCCCTTATCTAGAATCCTAAAATTTTACTTTTGCACCCGTGCCACACTTAATTATGACTGATATCAAACCCTCAGAGCTTGTAATTCATCCTGTAAGATTGAAAACTCTTTTCCATGGACAGAGATCACAGCCAGTGTCTCTGGGGCTCTGTCCAGGGGGGTTCCTGACCCCTGCCAGGGTCCCAGGGCAGCCAGAGGGACACCCTGGGTTCCCACAGGAGGAGAGATTTTTCCACCACACGGAGCCACCCCTGACCTAGAGGTGATCTCTGGCACTAACCCACCTTGGCACCTGGCCTGACCTCACCTTGATGAGCCCTGGCACCAGCACCTGGGTGTCAGTGGCGGGGATGGAGCTCTCCAGCACCTCCCAGCCGCCCTTGTCCTGCCGCAGCTCCAGCGCGTACCCGCTCAGCGCCACTGAGGCACGGGCAGGGGGGTCCCAGCGAAGCAGAACCCCCCTGACGCTCTCGTTGGCCCTCAGAGATCGTGGTGGGGACAGGAAGACGTGCACAGTGATGGCTGGTGGCTCTGGAGGCACTGTGGTCACTGGGAAGCCTGGGGAGAAGGCAGAGGTTGAGGGAACGGGAGCATCCCGAGTTTTTGGGGGGGAACTGGGGGTGTTTTGGGGGGCTCCACTCACCCCTGGGCACGGAGGTGACAATCTGGCTGAAGGGACCACTGCCCAGCTTGTTCTGGGCCAGGACACTGAACTGGTAACTGGTGTCTGGCTGCAGGTTCTCCACCAGAAGGTGCCGAGCCCCCGCTGGCACCGACAGCGACACCCAGTCGTGGTGTGCCCGCGGTGGCTTCCTCACCCTGGGGACAGGAGGGACAGTGTGAGCCCAAAATTGGGGTCCCTGGGGGGCACACAGCAGAGGTGGGCACTCACAGTGGGGTGTACCAAACGCTGAACCTCTGGAAGTATCCCCCATCAAAGCCTGGCTCCCAGGAGATGTTGGCCGCCAGCAGCAGCGGGAGCACGGAGACGTTGGTGACAGCGTGGGGACTGGTACCTTTGGGCAGCAGTGACACATTGAGGGGCTTGGACCACCCTCTGCAGCATGTCACCCACCCCTGGGACTATCCCAGCCCAACAGTGACGAGCAGCTCACCCAGGACGTGGACGGAGGTGGCAGTGGTGACACTGGCCACCTGGTTGGTGGCAGTGCATTGCCAGACTCCGTGCTGCTCCTTGGTGAGGGGGTGGAGGACGAGGCTGCTGTTCCCATCCACCTGGGCACTGCTCTTCCCCACGCTGCCCACCTGTGGGGCACGGGCACGCTGATTTGGGGGTCACCACCGAGCCACCCCCACGCAGGGCTGGGACTGTGACACTGCCACACTTGTGGGGACAAGGGGACTTGAAAAGGGGGACCGTGCTGGGGCTGGTTTGGAGGGCAAGGGGCAGGTTTTTAGAAAAAAATATTTTTTTTGTCAGATTTTTAGAGGAAAGCCAAGCAAAGCAACCTGAGATCCTTCAGGAACCATGTGATGGGACCCCAGTTTGGGATGGAACCCAGTGGTGACACGAACATAACCCCAGGAGTGATGTAGAAACAAAAATACCACCCTAGAAATGATACCCTGGAGGCCAAAAGCAATCTCTGTCCCTGAGGGGGGCTCAGCTGACCCCAAAAAACAGCAATTCCTACCTTCACCCAGGTGATGGTGGGTGGGGGATCCCCGTGAGCTGCACAGGGGATCACCAGCTCCCGGCCCACCTCCTGGAAATATTCCTCCTTGGGCTGCACCGTGAAGGCAGGAGGGTCCTGCAAAGCATCATTTATTAAAAAAATGTGGATATTGATCTAGTATCAATATCTAACAGTGACAGAAAAAGCTCTCTAACAGTTTAAAGCTAGAAAGTGCATGTTTACAAAGCTCCTGCTCTGAATTATTAAATAAATATGGATATTGATCTAATACCAATATCTAATTGTGACAGACAAAATCTTTCTAACAGTTTAAAGTTAGAAAGTGCATGTTTACAAAGCTCCTGCTCTGAATTATTAAAGAAATATGAATATTGATCTAGTATCAATATCTAACTGTGACAGAAAAAACTCTCTAACAGTTTAAAGTTAGAAAATGAGTGTTTATTGCGTGTGGGATCGCTCCCAAATCCACACTGCACCCTCCAAGTGATTACAGAGCCCTTTTATCCATCCAAGTACTGAATACCCAAAAATACAAATAAATATTCATCATTTTGGTACATCCCATTCCTCTCTTTGTACGCTAATCATTTCAAAAGCTATTCAGCATGAAATTTGTTCCTTGAAATGGGTCCCTTCCATGGGGAGGGATCCCAAAATGAGGAAGTAAATGAAGTCTTCCTTCTTCTGACCTTTCTACCTTTTCAATGCCAATATGACAAATGAACTCTTGGTAGAACTCTCATTTTTTTGTCTTCAGTTGATTTCAGAACAGAGGAGGCCCACAATTGCATTAAGTTCCTAAAATCCATTTGTCAGTTTCTATATTCTTCATTATATTCTTCATTATAAACCCAGCTAACTCAACATTGTGCTGACAAGCAATCAATTATTAGTTAACTACTAACTCTTAATTTTATTAAGGCCTATTTATTTATTTTAATTAACTCTAGTACGGCTTCTATCGAACTAAAATTGTCGGAATCTGTGGGTATTGATGATCCTGAGATTGTAAAAAGTCTCTGTCTTTCTGTCCTGCTGCCAAAGCAGAAGTCATAATTCATCTGTGCTGCTTTTCAAGGTTGTTTATTCTTATACATATAAGAATATATGTATATATATTCTTATATGTATAAGAATAAGCTTATCTATAACATGTTCTGTCTGCCCTGCAGGGCTCTGCCCTCAGTGGGATGTTACAAACATTAAATACCACAAACTACCTGTGCTGGATTTACAATAACGTGCCAATATCTGTCACCTACATTGAACAGTGTGTCCCCAGCCTAAACCAACAGAAAAATGCCAACACCACAGTGAAACATGGAGGGCATGAAGAAGGAGAAAAAGGACAAGACACACCCAATTTCCTCCATCTTGTCCCCTTTGAACCCCTAATCTAGAATCCTAAAATTTTACTTTTGCACCCGTGCCACACTTAATTATTACTGATATCAAACACTCAGAGCTGGTAATTCATGCTGTAAGATTGAAAACTCTTTTCCATGGCCAGAGATCACAGCCAGTGTCTCTGGGGGCTCTGTCCAGGGGGGTTCCTGACCCATTTTATATGGGTTCCCATATAAAATCTGAGCTCCTCAAAAATCTCTAAATCCCTTAAAATGTACGTTTCGAGCAGAGGGGCAGTTTGGGGGTTCAGGGGACCCCGAGGGGCTCCTGACCTTGAGCAGGACACGCGTGGGCCGGGAGGGGCCGGCGGTGCCGTAGCTGTTGTAGGGCGTGCAGCGGTACAGCCCCGGCGCGTCGTCGTTGCCCGTGGCGATGACGATGGAGCCATCGGGCTGGAGGGACCAGCCGGGGAGCTGGGAGAGGGGAAAAGGTGAGAAAAAGGGATTTGGGATGGTGGGAAGGAGGTGGGAGAGGGGAAAAGGTGAGAAAAAGGGATTTGGGATGGTGGGAAGGAGGTGGGAAAGGGGAAAAGGTGAGAAAAAGGGATTTGGGATGGTGGGAAGGAGGTGGGAGAGGGGAAAAGGTGAGAAAAAGGGATTTGGGATGGTGGGAAGGAGGTGGGAGAGGGGAAAAGGTGAGAAAAAGGGATTTGGGATGGTGGGAAGGAGGTGGGAGAGGGGAAAAGGTGAGAGAAAGGGATTTGGAAAGGTGGGAAGGAGGTGGGAGAGGGAAATGGGTGAGAAAAAGGGATTTGGGATGGTAGGAAGGAGCTGGGAGAGGGGAAAAGTGAGAAAAAGGGATTTGGGAATGAGCTGGGAGAGGGAAATGGGTGAGCAGGAGGGATTTGGGAAGGAGCTGGGAGAGGGGAATGGGTGAAGAAGGATTTGGGAAGGAGCTGGGAGAGAGAAATGGATAAATAAGAATGATTTGGGAAGGAGCTGGGAGAAGGGAATGGATGAGCAGGAGGGATTTGGGAAGCTGGGAAGGAGCTGGAAGAGGGGAATGGGAGAGGAGAAGGAATTTGGGAAGGAGCTGGGAGGGAGGAACAGATGAAGAAGAATTTGGGAAGGAGCTGGGAGGGAGGAATGGATGAAGAAGGATTTGGGAAGGAGCTGGGAGGGAGGAATGTGTAATAGGAGGGTTTTGGAAGGGCACTGGGGGTGGCTCTACCTTGTCCAGCTCCAGCGGGCGGCCGTCCCTGGTCCAGGAGACGGAGAGCAGGGGGGGGTTGGCCCTGCAGGGGCAGCGGATCACGCCCCTCATGCCCTTGGGCAGGTGGGTCTCCGGGAGCATGGTGGTCACCTGCGCTGGGTCTGCGGGCACACACGGGGCTGGGGTCCCCACGGGGCACCCCTGTTCCCACCACAACCCCAAAAGCAGGGTCCCCCAGCCCTGGGGGTGCAGGAGGGGGTCTTACAGAGCACTGTGAGGAAGGCTGAGGCGGAAGGAGGCTTCCAGAGCCCGTTGCTGGGGGTGCAGGTGTATTTGCCAGCGTCATCCGGGGTGGCTCGCTGCAGCAGGAGGCTCCCGTCCACCAGGACACGGACACGAGCCTGGAGGTGGCTGGGAAGGGATGGCAGAGCTGTGAGTGGCACGGTTGGCACCCTGTTTGCCCCACCACACACCCAGCCTGGCACTCAGGGCTGGGTTTGGGGGTTCCTCAGCCCTGGTGCCACCCTGTTGCTGTCAGACCGAGCCTGGAGGTGGCTGGGAAGGGATGGCAGAGGGGTGAGTGGCACGGTTGGCACCCTGTTTGCCCCACCACACACCCAGCCTGGCACTCAGGGCTGGGTTTGGGGGTTCCTCAGCCCCAGTGCCACCCCGTTGCTGTCGTACCTGAGGTGGAAGACGTTGCTGCTGCCCTGGAACCAGGTGTAGGTGAGGTTCCCTGGGTAAGCCTCAGCCTGGCACGCCAGGAAGGCATCTTGGGAGACGTTAACGGTGACATTCTGCGGTGGCACCACGATGACAGGCGGCCCTGGGGGGGTGTGGGTCAGAGGGGCAGTGAGGATGGGCACAGGGACCATGCCAGGGCTCCATCTCCAACCACCCCTCCTTACCCTGCACCAGCACACGGGTGGTGTGGGTGACGGTGCCCTCCTTGCTGGTGGCGTGGCACGTGTAGGTGCCCGCGCTGGCACGTTCCACCACGGCGATGCTCAACGTCCCGTTCCTCACCTGTGGCACCGAGGGACAGCAAACGCGCCCCGTGAACGGGGTGGTGCCACCAGCCAGGTGACACCACAGCGGGGATGTGCATCAGAGCTTGGCTACACCCCACACAGCGCGTGTGTCACCCTCACCTGCACCGTGTCCCCGCTCTGGACGGGCAGGTCACTCCTCCTCCAGGTGACAACAGGCTGGGGGTTGCCGACAGCCCTGCAGGTGAGGCTCAGAGCAGCCCGGTCCCGCACCTCTACGAAGGCAGGGGGGGTCTCCAGGAAGGTTGGGGGTGCTGGAAGGCAAATTTAGATTTAATTTCACCCTCAGATCTGGCTCAGCTCGGTGTGGGAGCAGGTCGGGTTGGTACCGTTGACGGTGAGGTGGATCCAGGTGCCGTTCTGGAAGTCGGCGTCGCTGCTGTGGCGGTCGAGGAAGAGCACCCGGCACTCGTACCAGCCCTGGTCCTCGGCTCGCAGCAGGTCCAGGCGTAGGGAGGCACCTTCCTCCAGCCGCACACGGCCTGGATGGGCAGCGGCTCAGGGACAGCGTGGCCCCGGGTCACCCCTTCCCTGGGGTCACCCCCATCCCCCGGGTCACCCCCTTCCCCCGGGTCATCCCCTCTCCTGGGCCATCACCTCCCAGGTCACGCCCTCCCCGGGTCATCCCTCCCTGGGGTCACCCCTCTCCCGGGTCACGTCCTCCTCGGGCCACCCCCTCCCTGGGGTCACCCCTCTCTCGGGTCACCCCCTCCCTGGGGGTCACCCCCTCTCCCTGGGGTGCCTCTCCCTGGGGTCACCCCCCTCCCTGGAGTCACTCTTTCCTGGGTCTCCCCATCCCCTGGGTCACCTCCTCCTCGGGCCACCCCCTCCCTGGTTACCCCCTCCTTGGGGCCACCCCTCTCCCGGGTCACCTCCTCCCTGGTCACCCCTCTCCCGGGTCACCCCTCTCCCTGGGGTCACCACCTCTCCCTGGGGTGCCTCTCCCTAAGTCACCCCCTCCCTGGGTCACCCTCTCCCGGGCCACCCCCTCCCGGGTCACCCCCTCCCTGGGGTCACCCCCCTCATGGGTCACCTCTCTCCCGGGTCTCCCCATCCCCCGGGTCCCCCCCTCCCTGGGGTCACCCCCCTCATGGGTCACCCCTCTCCCGGGTCACCCCATCCCCCGGGTCACCCCCTCCCTGGGGTCACCACCTCTCTCGGGCCACCCCCTCCCGGGGGTCACTGCCTCTCCCTGGGGTGCCTCTCCCCAGGGTCACCCCCTCCCTGGAATCACTCTCTCCCGGGTCACCCCCTCCTTGGGGCCACCCCTCTCTCGCCCCACGCCCCGCGGCCTCTTTGATGAGGAGAGGGATAAAGGGAGAGCGGGCGCGGCCCGTTAATCCCCCGGGCTATTATCAGAGCCATAATCGGCTCACGGTGCAGCGGGAATTGGCTCAGCCCCGGCTGGGGTGTGCGGGCAGCGGCTCCCAGCGAACGCACCGGCACCCCCTGTCCTGGGCACCCACTGCCCTGAGCACCCCCTGTCCCGAGCACCCATTATCCCGGGCACCCATTATCCCGGACACCCCCTGTCCCGGGCACCCACTGTCTGGGGCACCCACTGTCCTTAGCACGCCCTGTCTGGAGCACCCATTATCCCGGGCACCCAGTGCCCTGGGCATCCCTTTCCCCGGGCACCCACCATCCCGGGCATCCCCTTCTCCAGGCACCCACTGTCCGGAGCACCCATTATCCTGGGCACCCACTGCCCTGAGCATCCCCTTCCCCGGGCACCCCCTTCCCCGGGCACCCACTGTCCTGAGCACCCCCTGTCTGGGGCACCCACCATCCCGGGCATCCCCTTCTCTGGGCACCCACTGCCCTGAGCACCCCCTTCCGTGGGCACCCAGTGTTCAGAGCACCCATTATCCCGGGCACCCACTGCCCTGAGCATCCCTTTCCCTGGGCATCCCCTTCTCCGGGCACCCACTGTCCTGAGCACCCATTAACCCGGGCACCCACTGCCTTGAGCACCCCCTTCTCTGGGCACCCACTGTCCTGAGTACCCACCATCCCGGGCATCCCCTTCTCCAGGCACCCACTGCCCTCAGCACCCCCTTCTCCGGGCACCCCCTGTCCTGAGCATCCCCTTCCATGGGCACCCACTGCCCTGAGCACCCCCTGTCCAGGGCACCCACTGCCCGGAGCATCCCCTGTCCTGAGCACCCCCTGTCTGGGGCACCCAGTGCCCTGAGCACCCCCTTCTCCGGGCACCCACTGTCCGGGGCACCCACCATCCTGGGCATCCCTTTCCCCAGGCACCCCCTGTCCCGGGCACCCATTATCCCGGGCACCCACTGTCCCGAGCACCCATTATCCCGGGCACCCACTTCCCCGGGCACCCCCTGTCCCGAGCACCCATTATCCCAGGCACCCACTGCCCTGAGCACCCCCTTCCGTGGGCACCCCCTTCTCCGGGCACCCACTGTCCTGAGCACCCTCTGTCTGGGGCACCCACCATCCCAGGCATCCCCTTCTCCAGGCACCCAGTGCCCTGAGCACCCTCTTCCCTGGGTACCCACTGCCCGGGGCACCCACTGCCCTGAGCACCCCCTTCTCTGGGCACCCAGTGCCCTGAGCATCCCCTTCCCCAAGCACCCATTATCCCGGGCACCCACTGTCCGGAGCACCCCCTGTCCTGAGCATCCCCTGTCCTGCGCACCCACTCTCCTGAGCACCCACTGCCCTGAGCATCCCCTTCTCCAGGCACCCAGTGTCCTGAGCACCCACCATACCGGGCATCCCCTGCCCTGAGCATCCCCTGTCCCGAGCACCCATTATCCCGGGCACCCATTATCCCGGGCACCCATTATCCCGGGCACCCGCTGCCCTGAGCATCCCCTTCTCCGGGGCACCCACCATCCCGGGGCATCCCCTGCCCTGAGCATCCCTTTCTCTGGGCAACCAGTGCCCTGAGCACCCCCTTCCGTGGGCACCCACTGTCCGGAGCACCCATTATCCCGGGCACCCAGTGTCCAGAGCACCCCGTCCCGGGCACCCCCTTCTCTGGGCACCCATTGTCCGGAGCACCCCCTTCTCTGGGCATCGCCTTCTCCGGGCACCCACTGTCCTGAGCACCCACTGTCCTGAGCACCCACTGTCCTGAGCACCCCCTTCTCTGGGCACCCACTGTCCGGGGCACCCATTATCTCGGGCACCCAGTACCCTGAGCATCCCCTGTCCTGGGCACCCCCTTCTCTGGGCACCCACTTGTCTGGAGCACCCACTGCCCTGAGCACCCTTTGTCCGGGGCACCCACCATGCCGGACATCCCTTTCCCCGGGCACCCACTGTCCGGAGCACCCATTATCCCGGGCACCCACTGCCTTGAGCCCGGCAAGGATGGGAGGAAGAGGAGGAGGAGGAGGAAAAGGAGTGGCAGGAGCCGGGCGGGTTTGGGCACCAAAATCCAACCCTGAGCTGTGCCAACCCCGCACACGAACACGCGTGAAACCTTTCCCGTCCCACCCTCAGCTGTGAGATGAGGGGACCGCCAGATTTTTGGGAAGTGGGACAGCTCTTCGGGAATATTTGGGAATATTTGGGAATCTTTGGGAATCTCTGGGAAGCTCCAGCAGCTGCCATCCCCCAGCCCCAGCCAGCCGAACAAAGGTCCCTTTGGAAGGGATCAGCTCAGCCCGGGGACGCCCCTCAGCCTCCCCCTAATCCCCCCGTGCCGGCCCCATCCCCCTCCTCCTCCTCCTCCTCCTCCTCATTGCGAAAACAACAAAAAAAAACCCAAAAAACAAAACCCTAAAGACCAACATCCCTCCCCCCCCTGCGCCTGGTAACCGACACTCAGCGGGACACAAAAGGGGGTGGGGGGACACAAAAAGGGGGTGGGGGGGACACAAAAAGGGGTGGGGGGACACAAAAAGGGGGTGGGGGGGACACAAAAAGGGGTGGGGGGACACAAAAAGGGGTGGGGGGGACACAAAAAGGGGTGGGGGGACACTAAAGGGGGTGGGGGGACACAAAAGGGGGTGGGGGGACACAAAAGGGGGTGGGGGGACACAAAAGGGGGTGGGGGGACACAAAAGAGGACGGGGGGGACACAAAAGGGGATGGGGGGACACAAAAAGGGGGTGAGGGGACACAAAAAGGGGGTGGGGGGACACAAAAAGGGGTGGGGGGACACAAAAAGGGGTGGGGGGGACATAAAAGGGGGTGGGGGGAAACTAAAGGAGGTGGGGGGACACAAAAAGGGGGTGGGGGGATAAAAAAGGGGGTGGGGGGATACAAAAAGGGGGTGGGGGGGACACAAAAAGGGGTGGGGGGGGCACAAAAGGGGGTGGGGGGACACTAAAGGGGGTGGGGGGGACACAAAAGGGGGTGGGGGGACACAAAAAGGGGTGAGGGGACACAAAAAGGGGTGGGGGGACACTAAAAGGGGGTGGGGGGACACAAAAAGGGGGTGGGGGGGACACAAAAAGGGGGTGAGGGGACACCGATCCCAATCTGCTCCCGCAGCCCCACGGGGGAGGGGAGCCCCTTCCCGGGTAACCGGAGCCGCCGCAGCCCCCGGGGCCTCTCGGTGCTCCGGTAACCGGAGCCCAACCCGGGAGAAAAGGTGCCTTGTCCTGCTCGGGGCTTCGTTTTCACCGCTGGGCCCCCAAAAACAAGTGGGAGCTGCTAAAAACATCCCCCAAAAATCAGTGTATTCTCCAGGGTGGAGAGTGGGTATCCTAATTAAGGTGATTTTTTAGGCACGGGATAATTTTTACAGCAAGGTTTGGGTCGCGATCCAGCTATTAATCCATCCCCAAAAATCAGTGTATTCTCCAGGATGGAGAGCGGATATCCTAATTAAGGTGATTTTTTAGGCACGGGATAATTTTGGCAGCGTTTGGATCGCGATCCAGCTTTGATTCCATCCCCAAAAATCAGTGTATTCTCCAGGATGGAGAGCGGGTATCGCAATTAAAGTGATTTTTTTGGCAGCGTTTGGGTCGCGATCCAGCTATTAATCCACCCCCAAAAATCAGTGTATTCTCCAGGATGGAGAGCGGGTATCCCAATTAAAGTGATTTTTTACCACGGGATAATTTTGGCAGCGTTTGGGTCACGATCCAGCTATTAATCCATCCCCAAAAATCAGTGTATCCCTCCGTTCTCCAGGGTGGTATCCCAATTAAAGTGATTTTTTAGGCACAGGATAATTTTGGCAGCGTTTGGGCCGTGATCCAGCTATTAATCCATCCCCAAAAATCAGTTTATTCTCCAGGATGGAGAGCAGGTATCCCAATTAAAGTGATTTTTTAGGCACAGGATAATTTTTGCAGCAAGGTTTGGGTCGTGATCCAGCTATGACTCCACCCCCAAAAATCAGTGTATTCTCCAGGGTGGAGAGCGGGTATCCTAATTAAAGTGATTTTTTAGGCACGGGGTAATTTTGGCAGCGTTTGGGTCGCGATCCAGCTATTAATCCATCCCCAAAAATCAGTGTATTCTCCAGGATGGTGAGGTGATATCCCAATTAAAGTGATTTTTTACCACGGGATAATTTTGGCAGCGTTTGGGTCGTGATCCAGCTTTGATTCTGCATCCCCAAAAATCAGTGTATTCTCCAGGGTGGAGAGCGGGCATCCCAATTAAAGTGATTTTTTAGGCACGGGATAATTTTTGGCAGCAAAATTTGCATCGGATTTCGGTGCGTGGGTGGCACACAACGCCAGAATTGGGCTCAGCCCCCGGGGCACCCCGGTGGTGCCACCCACGGGAGATACCCCAGCACCCATGGAGATGCCCCAGCACCCACGGGAGATGCCCCAGCACCCACGGGAGTGGGTTTGGGTGGGTTTTTATTCCCTAAATTTCACCCTGTGGGGGTCTGTATCCCCTTCCCCAGCCGGGCACCCACGGGAGATGCCCCAGCACCCACGGGAGATGCCCCACGGGAATGGGTTGGGTGGGGTTTTGGGGTTTTTTTCCCTAAATTTCACCCTGTGGGGGTCTGAATCCCCTCCCCACGGGGAACCCACGGGGAACCCAGGGGGACCTACGGGGAACCCACGGGAACCCACGGGGACCCCACGGGGACCCACGGGGACCCCACGGGAAACCCACGGGGACCCACGGGGAACCCACGGGAACCCCACGGGGACCCACGGGGACCCACGGGGAACCCACGGGAACCCACGGGGACCCCACGAGGACCCACGGGGACCCACGGGGACCCCAGGGGGACCCCACGGGGACCCACGGGGAACCCACGGGGAACCCACGGGGACCCACGGGGACCCACGGGGACCCACGGGGACCCACGGGAACCCACGGGGACCCCACGGGGAACCCACGGGGAACCCACGGGGAACCCACGGGGAACCACGGGAACACACGGGAACACACGGGGAACACACGGGGACCCACGGGGAACCCACGGGAACCCACGGGGAACACACGGGGACCCACGGGGAACCCACGGGGAACCCACGGGGACCCCACGGGGACCCCACGGGAACCCACGGGGATCCCACGGGGACCCACGGGGACCCCACGGGAACCCACGGGGAACCCACGGGGAACCCACGGGAACCCACGGGGAACCACGGGGACCCACGGGGACCCACGGGAATCCACGGGGACCCACGGGGAACCCACGGGGAACCCACGGGGACCCACGGGGACCCACGGGGACCCCACGGGGACCCACGGGGACCCACGGGGACCCACGGGGAACCACGGGAACCCACGGGAACCCACGGGGACCCACGGGGACCCACGGGGACCCACGGGAAACCCACGGGGACCCACGGGGACCGCACGGGGAACCCACGGGGAACCCACGGGGACCCACGGGGAACGCACGGGGACCCCACGGGGACCCAATGGAACCCACGGGGACCCACGGGAACCCCACGGGAACCCCACGGGGACCCACGGGGAACCACGGGGAACCACGGGGAACCCACGGGGAATCCACGGGGACCCACGGGGACCCACGGGGACCCACGGGAACCCACGGGAACCCACGGGGAACGCATGTGAACCCATGGGAACCCACGGGGAACCACGGGGAACACACGGGGAACACACGGGGAACCCACGGGAGCCCACGGGGACCGCACGGGGAACCCACGGGGACCCACGGGAACCCACGGGGACCCACGGGGACCCCACGGGGAACCCACGGGGACCCACGGGGAACCACGGGGACCCACAGGGAACGCACGGGAACACATGGGAACCCACGGGGACCCCACGGGGACCCCACGGGGACCCACGGGGAACCCACGGGGAACCCACGGGAACCCACGGGGACCCACGGGAACCCACGGGAACCCACGGGAACCCACGGGGAACGCACGGGGAACCCCACGGGGAACACACGGGGACCCACGGGGACCCACGGGGACCCACGGGGACCCACGGGGAACGCACGGGAACCCACGGGGAACCCACGGGGACCCACGGGGACCCACGGGAACCCACGGGGACCCACGGGGAACCCACGGGGACCCACGGGGACCCACTGGGACCCACGGGACCCACGGGACCCCACGGGAACCCATGGGGAACCCACGAGGACCCCACGGGGACCCACGGGAACCCACGGGGAACCCACGGGGACCCCACGGGGACCCCACGGGGACCCACGGGGAACGCACGGGGACCCCACGGGAACCCACGGGGACCCACGGGGAACCCACGGGGACCCACGGGGACCCACGGGGACCCATGGGAATCCACGGGGACCCACGGGGGACCCACGGGGACCCACGGGAACCCACGGGGACCCACGGGGACCCACGGGGAACCCACGGGGAACCCACAGGAATCCACGGGGACCCATGGGAACCCACGGGGACCCACGGGAACCCACGGGGGACCCACGGGGGACCCACGGGGACCCACGGGGACCCACGGGAACCCACGGGGAACCACGGGAACCCCACGGGGAACCCACGGGGACCCACGGGAACCCACGGGGACCCACGGGGACCCATGGGAATCCACGGGGACCCCACGGGGAATCCACGGGGAACACACGGGGACCCACGGGGACCCACGGGGATGTCCACCCGCCCCGTCCCCGCCACTCACCCGCGTACTCGGGGTCCACGCGTGGGGAGTAGAGCCCGAACTTGATGAAGATGGGGAGGACGAAGCCGAAACGGACCCACTCGATCACGTAGAGCGGCGGGCGAGTCTCGTGGGCGCTCAGGAGTCCACAGCCCAAAACCGCGCTGCCACCGACACGCCCCGCCACGGACCGGGGCTCGTTCCGTCCGCTGCCTGCGGGACCGGGACCGGGACACCGGTGAGACCGGGAGACACCGGGATACACCGGGATAGACCGGGATACACCGGGATCATTCCCCTGCCCACGGAATCCCCCGCCCACGCATCTCCGCGACACGGCGCTGGTCAAACCGATCCCACCGGACACACCGGGACACACCGGGATACACCGGGATACACCGGGACACACCGGGACACACCGGGATACACCGGGATCTTCCTCCCGCCCCCGCAGCACCCCGCCCCCGTTATCCTCAGCTATTCCCCGCCTCCTCACGCCTCCCCAGCACCGGTAGGACCGGCCGCACCGGACATACCGGGATACACCGGGACACACCGGGATACACCGGGATATACCGGGACCGTCCTCCCGCCCCCGCAGCCTCCCGCCCCCGTTATCCCCAGTTGTTCCCCGCCTCCTCACGCTTCCCCAGCACCGGTAGGACCGGCCCCACCGGAATACACCGGGACACACCGGGACACACCGGGACACACCGGGACCGTCCTCCCGCCCCCGTTATCCCCAGCTATTCCCCGCCTACTCACGCCTCCCCAGCACCGGTAGGACCGGCCCCACCGGACACACCGGGACACACCGGGACACACCGGGACCGTCCTCCCGCCCCCGTTATCCCCAGCTATTCCCCGCCTCCTCACGCCTCCCCAGCACCGGTAGGACCGGCCCCACCGGAACACACCGGGACACCCCCATACCCATTCCCCGCCCCCGAGTCCCGCCACCGGTCAGACCGGCCCCGCCGCTCCCCCCCACTCCCCGGGGCATCCCCCTCACCCCCGGTTCCGGCCAGCAGGCTGAGGACGGCGGCGCGCAGCCACCACCGCATAGCCCAAACCCCTGTGCGGCGGCTCCCGTGGGGTCACCGGGACCCGCGGAGCGGCGGCCACGACCGGGCAGCCCCGGGAGCACCGGCCCCGGGCGGGGGGCGCGGGGGGCTCCGCGTCCCGCCGCTCCTCATGCCCGGCCGGCCGCGCTCGGCTGCGCTCGGCTCTTCCCGCCTGCTTTCGGCTCTTTCCGGCTCGGTTCGGCTCCGTTCGGCTCCGTTCGGGCTCCGGTCGCCGCCGCCGCCGCCACCGGGCGGCCGCAAACAAACCGCGATGGCGGGAGGGGCCGCCCCGGCCACGCCCCCCGCCGCTTGTTGCCGTGGTAACAGCCAATCAGGAGGCGCCGCTGAGCGCTGAGCCCAAGCGGCCAATGGCGGAGCGAGGCAGGGGGAGAGAGGGATGCTGGGAGATGTAGTACGCGGAGTGGGGCGGGGGGTCGGGGGCGTGTGGGGTGACACGGAGGGGACAGGGGGGGACAAGCGAGGGGGACATGGGGGGACAAGCGAGGGGGACACATGGGGGATCACCGGGGCAGGCACGGGGGGCTGCGGGAGTGGCATCTAGAGGGAGGAAACGAGTGCGACACACGGGTGGGACATAGGGTGGGACACGGGGGTGGCGTGTGGGGTGACACGGAGGGGACATGGGGGGACAAGTGAGGGGGACACATGGGGGATCACCAGGGCAGGCACGGGGGGCTGCGGGAGTGGAGGAAACGAGTGGGACACACGGGTGGGACATAGGGTGGGGGGGTCATGAATAGGACACAGGGGTGGCGTGTGGGGTGACACGGAGGCGACATGGGGGGGACAAGCGAGAGGGACACATGGGGGATCACCAGGGCAGGCACAGGGGGGTGCGGGAGTGGAGGAAACGAGTGGGACACACGGGTGGGACACAGGGTGGGTCACGAATAGGACACAGGGGTGGCACACGGGTGGGACACACGAGTGGGACACACGGGTGGGACCGTGGAGGGGACGCAGATGGGTGTGACACACAGGAAAACACTCGTGGGACACACAGGGGTGGGACAAAGAGGGGACACACGGGTGGGACACACGGGTGGGACATGGATGGGACACGTGGGTGGCGTTTGGGTGTGTGATCCCCCCGTGGGACACCCCCCGTGGGACACAGGGACAGGCAGGTGGTGACAAGCAGCCCAGCACTAATCCCACCCTAAAACTGTCCCCACACGGGGACAAGCCACCCCTGCCACGTCCCCATCCCCAGCGGGCTGAGCCGGAGCTGGGCCACCCGCCAGCCAGGCTGGGGACAGGAGGGGACACAGGGGGACATCCAGGGACGTGCAAACCCCACGCGTGTGACACCGGAGCCACACCCGGGAGCGGCTGTGGGGTGATGCCCCCCAAGCTCAGCCCCACCTGGAGGGTTTTGGGGGTCCCTGGAGCCCCCCCAGCCCGGCCTGGCCCCCCAAGCGTGGGGGACTCTGAGGACAGCGCGGAGTCATCGGGTTAAGGGCAATAATTCTGCTGTAAGCAGCTTAGGCTGGGCATGGTTGGCCGGCGTTGTCACCGTGTCCCCACTGTGTCCCCATTGTCCCCGTGGTGTCCCCCACGCAGCACCGGGCACCCCCAAACTGGCCTCGCTGTGGCATCGCTGGGGGGGACACGGGTGTCCCCCAAAATGTCACCACGGGTCACCAGAGCAGAGTTTTGGAGTGACCCCACACCCTGTGGTGAGACCCTTCCCCAGTTCTGGGCACATCTGGATTGTGCCAGCGGTGCCACCACCACCCCAGTGTCACCACCCCAGTGTCACCACCTCGGTGTCACCACCCCGTTGTCATCACCCCGTTGTCACCACCTCAGTGTCACCACCCCAGTGTCACCACCCCGTTGTCACCACCCCAGTGTCACTACCCCAGTGTCACCGCCACCACCCCAGTGTCACCACCCCAGTGTCACCACACCGGTGTCACCACCCCAATGTCACCACCCCAGTGTCACCACCCCAGTGTCACCACACCAGTGCCACCACCCCGATGTCACCACCCCGTTGTCACCACACCGATGTCACCACCCCAGTGTCACCACCCCGGTGTCACCACCCCGTTGTCACCACCCCATTGTCACCACCCTGGTGTCACCACCTCGGTGTCACCACCCCATCATCACCTTGGTGTCACCACCCCGATGTCACCACACCAGTGTCACCACCCCGGTGTCACCACCCCAGTGTCACCCCCCCGTTGTCACCACCCTGGTGTCACCACACCAGTGTCACCACCCCAGTGTCACCACCCCATCATCACCACCTCGGTGCCACCACCCTGATGTCACCACCCCGTTGTCACCACCCCAGTGTCACCACCCCAGTGTCACCACACCAGTGTCACCGTCATCACCCCAGTGTCACCACACCAGTGTCACCACCCCACTGTCACCACCTCGGTGTCACCACCCCAGTGTCACCGTCACCACCCCATCATCACCACCCCAGTGTCACCACACCAGTGTCACCACCCTGTTGTCACCACCCCAGCACCTTGTCCCCAAGGAGGACGGTGACATCCTTGTCCCCAAGGAGAATGGTGACATCCCTGTCCCCAAGGAGGATGGTGACATCCTTGTCCCCAAGGAGGACGGTGACATCCTTGTCCCCAAGGAAGATGGTGACATCCTTGTCCCCAAGGAGGACGGTGACATCCCTGTCCCCAAGGAAGATGGTGACATCCTTGTCCCCAAGGAGGACGGTGACATCCTTGTCCCCAAGGAGGGTGGTGACATCCCTGTCCCCAAGGAGAACGGTGACATCCCTGTCCCCAAGGAGGACGGTGACATCCCTGTCCCCAAGGAAGATGGTGACATCCCTGTCCCCAAGGGGGACAGTGACATCCCTGTCCCCAAGGAGGATGGTGACATCCCTGTCCCCAAGGAGGACGGTGACATCGTGTCCTCCCAAAGGCATTTTTGGAGCTGCTGTTTGAGGCTGTGCCCCACTCGTGCCCGAGGCACTGCCACCCACGTGTCACCCCCCTGAAATGGGGACAGTGACACCGTTCCCAAGCGGGATTTAAGTGCCACCAGGGTTAGGAGGGGCTGAGAAGAGATTTCCAGGATGGGATTTTTGGATGGAGATGCCTCAATTCCGGCTAAGCTACACTTAAAGCGTCCACGGCCCCGCTCGGCCCCCGGCGCGGTGACACGGGTGTCACCCGCCACGTGGCAGCGGTGCGGGCGGGTGACAGAGCTGGGGGGGCTCTGGGGTCCCTGAGGGGGCCAAAGAGAGAGACACCCCACAGATGGGATCGCATGGGACCCCAAAAACAGCATTTGGGGGACACCAGAGACACGACCCAGAGCTGGGACCCCAAAACCAGAACCCAGAGCTGGGACCCCAAAACCAGAGCCAGGACCCAGAGCTGGGACCCCAAAGCCAGGACCCCAAAGGCAGAACCCACAGCTGGGACCCCAAAACCAGAACCCCAAAGCCAGAACCCACAGCTGGGACCCCAAAACCAGAGCCAGGACCCAGAGCTGGGACCCCAAAGCCAGGACCCCAAAGGCAGAACCCACAGCTGGGACCCCAAAACCAGAACCCCAAAGCCAGAACCCACAGCTGGGACCCCAAAACCAGAGCCAGGACCCAGAGCTGGGACCCCAAAACCAGAGCCAGGACTCAGAGCCCAGATCTGGGACCCCAAAACCAGAACCTGGAGCCAGAACACAGACCTGGGACCCCAAAACCAGAGCCAGGACCCAGAGCTGGGACTCCAAAACCAGGACCCCAAAGGCAGAACCCAGATCTGGGACCCCAAAACCAGGACCCCAAAGCCAGAACCTAGAGCTGGGACCCCAAAACCAGAGCCAGGACCCAGATCTGGGACCCCAAAACCAGGACCCCAAAGCCAGAAACCAGAACCCAGAGCCAGGACACAGAGTTGGGACCCCAAAACCAGGACCCCAGTGCCAGAACCCAGAGCTGGGACCCCAAAACCAGGACCCCAAAGGCAGAACCCAGATCTGGGACCCCAAAACCAGAACCCCAAAGGCAGAACCCAGATCTGGGACCCCAAAACAAGGACCCCAAAGGCAGAACCCAGAGCTGGGACCCCAAAACCAGACCTGGAGAGAAGGCACAGGCCAGTCCTTTAATGATTAGGGGACAGACGGAGCTGGGCACGCCTGGCACTGGAGGTGCCCAATGCCACCGATGCCATCCACGTCCTCAGGTCTCCTCGCCACCGGTGAGGCGGGACTGGGGACATTTGGGAGCCACAGCTGGTGGGTGGTGACACCCCGAGGAGGGTGGCACTACCTGAGGCGCTGGCAGAAGCGCAGCACGGCCTGTTCCTGCTCCGAGGTCTCGATGGAGCCGGGCCGGAGGCGGCGGATCTCGCGGATGGCATCGGCGGCGGGCAGGTGCCGCTCCTGGCACAGGTAACAGGCCAGCAGCGTGCCAGTCCTGCCGTGCCCCAGCATGCAGTGCACTGCCACGGCCTGGGGACAGCGACACGGCACGTGGGTGGCACCGCTGGGCACTCACACCCCACCCTTGGGTGACAGTGACACCCATTTTGGTGTGGTGTCACCATCTCTACCTTCTCCCTTCATCACCCCTCTGCAAGTGTCAACCCCGCTGAGATGTCACAGCCACCACTGTCACAGCCCTGCCACAGGTGTGCCTTCCCCTCCTGGTGTCACCACCCCAATTGTCCCCTCCAGGTGTCCCCCAAAGTGTCTTCTCACATTTGCCCCCCAACTATCACCCCAAGGTGTTCCTTCCCCTCCTGGTGTCACCCTCCCGAGGTGGCATCCCCCAAACCCTCCAGGTGCTCCCCACCCTGAGATGCCACCCCCTCGAGGTGCCCCCTAAGTGTCCCCTAAAGTGTCCCCTAAGTGTCTCCTAAAGTGTCCCCTAAGGGTCCCCTAAGTGTCCCCTAAAGTGTCCCCTAAAGTGTCCCCTAAGTGTCCCCTAAAGTGTCCCCTAAAGTGTCCCCTAAGTGTCCCCTATGTTTCCCCTAAGGTATCCCCTAAGTGTCCCCTAAGTGTCCCCTCAAATATCCCATAAGTGTCCCCTAAGGTGTCCCCTAAAGTGACCCCTAAGTGTCCTCTAAAGTGTCCCCTAAGGTGTCCCCTAAGTGTCACCTAAGTGTCCCCTAAGTGTTCCCTAAGGTTTCCCATAAAGTGTCCCCTAAGGTTTCCCCTAAGTGTCCCCTAAGTGTCCCCTAGGGTGTCCCCTAAAGTGTCCCCCTAAGTGTCCCCTCTCCTGGTGTCTTCCTCCAGCTCTTTCCCCCCCTGGATTTGCCCCCCTCCAGGTGCCACCACCCCAACTGTCCCCTCCAGGTGCCCCCCAAGTGTCCTGTCCCATTTGTCCCCAATTGTCCCCTCTGGCCGTACCTCCCCGCGGCCATTGGCCTCCTCCACGATGCTCAGGAAGCTCCGGATCTGTTCGGGGCTCGGCGGGGTGAAATCCGCCACCGGGAACCGGTGGAGCCGAATTTGGGGACAGCAGCCGTGGTGGGGCGGGGCGCGCTCGCTCAGGGACACCAAGTGCCGGACGCCGAGATCCCGCAGGTACCGGTAATGTCCCGGTTCCCGGGGCATCGCCAGCCCCGCCAGCCGCCCCTCCACCACCCACGAGAAGTTGGGGGGCTTGCACGCATCCATTGCCTGTGGGGACAGGGGACACTGCTGGTCTGGGGGACCCCCGGGGCGGATCCCCGAGGATTCCCCAAATCAGGACCCCCGACACCCCTATTTTGGATGCTGGGACCCCCGGGGTAGATCCCCCAAGTCACGACCCCCCAAAACCCCCATTTCGGATGCTGGGACCCCCCAGAACCCCCATTTCGGATGCTGGGACCCCCCAGACCCCCCCATTTCGGATGCTGGGACCCCCGGGGCAGATCCCCCAAATCAGGACCCCCCAGAATCCCCATTTCGGATGCTGGGAGCCCCGGGGCAGATCCCCCAAATCAGGACCCCCCCCCAGACCCCCCATTTCGGATGCTGGGACCCCCCAGAACCCCCATTTCGGATGCTGGGACCCCCAGGGCAGATCCCCCAAATCACGACCCCCCAAAACCCACATTTCGGATGCTGGGACCCTCCAGAATCCCCATTTCGGATGCTGGGACCCCCGAGGCAGATCCCCCAAATCAGGACCCCCAGAACCCCCATTCTGGATGCCGGGACCCCCCAGAACCCCCATTTCGGATGCTGGGACCCCCGGGGCAGATCCCCTCGGATCCCCCAAGTCAGGACCTGATCCTGCCCAGTTTCCCCCCAAAACCCCACCCTGGAGATCGTGGCCAGGGTACCCCAAATTTTCCTGACCAAGAATCCCAAATAAACCCCAAATTCAGCCCCCTCCACTGACACCCCTCACGTCAGGACCCCCACACCCCCCCTCAGAGAGTTTAACCGGCTCCCCCAGTTCAGCCCCCCCATCTCATCAATCAGCCCCCCGGGACCCCCGTTCAGCGCCCCGGGCCCCCCCGGCCCCGCCGTACCGCGGAGGCCGCGCCGGGCGGAGCGGGAGCGGGGCGGGCCCGAGATGAGGCGGAGCTGAGGCGGAGCTGAGGGGGAGCCGGGCCCGAGCTGAGGCGGAGCTGAGGCGGAGCTGAGGCGGAGCTGAGGCGGAGCCGGGCCGGAGCTGAGGCGGAGCTGAGGCGGAGCGGGGCCGGAGCTGAGGCGGAGCTGAGGCGGAGCTGAGGCGGAGCGGGCCCGAGCTGAGGCGGAGCCGGGCCCGAGCTGAGGCGGAGCTGAGGGGGAGCCGGGCCGGAGCTGAGGGGGAGCTGAGGCGGAGCTGAGGCGGAGCTGAGGTGGAGCGGGGCCGGAGCTGAGGCGGAGCTGAGGCGGAGCTGAGGCGGAGCCGAGGGGGAGCGGGCCCGAGATGAGGCGGAGCCGGGCCGGAGTTGAGGCGGAGCTGAGGCGGAGCCGAGGCGGAGCCGGGCCCGAGCTGAGGCGGAGCGGGACCGAACCGGGTCGGAGCTGAGGCGGAGCGGGCCCGAGCTGAGGCGGAGCCGGGCCGGAGCGGGGCCGGAGCTGAGGGGAAGCGGGGCTGGAGCTGAGGCGGAGCTGAGGCGGAGCGGGACCGGAGCTGAGGCGGAGCTGAGGCGGAGCTGAGGCGGAGCGGGACCGGAGCTGAGGCGGAGCTGAGGCGGAGCTGAGGCGGAGCGGGACCGGAGCTGAGGCGGAGCTGAGGCGGAGCTGAGGCGGAGCTGAGGCGGAGCTGAGGCCCAGCCGGGCCGGAGCTGAGGGGGAGCTGAGGTGGAGCGGGGCCGGAGCTGAGGCGGAGCTGAGGCGGAGCTGAGGCGGAGCTGAGGCGGAGCTCCACGACTGCACCCCCAGAGCTCCGGGTCTGAATCCTCCAGGATATGGGGCTGTGCCCCACCAGGACATGGTGTCGAGGCAGGACGGGAATGAGAAGACCAGAAAGCTGCTGAGAGTAAAACTTTGTTTTATTCAAAGAAGACTGACCAGAAGGCTGCTGAGAATAAAATTCCGATTTATTCAAAATACACCGCTCTTTTATACAGAGCTTCGTGAGGACCAACTCCAAAGTGAAAACAACTCAGAGCATTGGTGTACAGTGCTTGACAAACAGTGATAGAAATAAACAACGTGAAAAACAAGAGAGATAAAGAATTATTTACATTTTCTCCAGCTCTTTCCCAGTCTTCTGCCAGGCTAGAAACTCTCAGTTCTCTCTTTGACTGAATCTGAGCCCCACACATCCCCAGCTGGGGAACCTTCCTCGTGTTGGGTTGCGGAGATGAAACGCTGCTGCGTGCTGCGGAGATAAACAATGTGAACAACAAGAGAGATAAAGAATTATTTACATTTTCTCCAGCTCTTTCCCAGTCTTCTGCCAGGCTAGAAACTCTCCATTTCTCTCTTTGAATCTGAGCCCCACACATCCCCAGCTGGGGAACCTTCCTCGTGTTGGGTTGTAGAGATGAAGCGCTGCTGCAGAGATGGGCGTGCGAGTGAGGATGAGGATGAGGAGGTGACAGCGGCCACCAAGGCCACCCCAACCACAAACCCCACAAACCCTCAAGCCTGCAGAGCCTCCCGGAGCCGGGGTTTCACCACCACATCTCCCTTCACCTCGTAGCTGAGGCCGTTCCACGCCAGCAGCGCCGGCGGCAGGCGCAAGGACAGGAAAGCCGCGCGCATCTTCTCCGGTGACAACCCCGCGTCCCACAGGTAGACATCGGTCAGCTCCCCCGAGAAGGAATTATAGAGGTCAAAACCACCCCCAAAACTGTCCTGCTCCTGCCCCAGCAGGATGGACGCCGTGGCTCCCACCGTGTAGCCCCTCTGCAGCCCTTTCCTCGGCCAGGGCTTCCCGTTGAGCCAAAATTCGGCGATGCCGGTGGCGGATTCCCAACTGGCGCAGACGTGCTCCCACTCCCTGCGGCCTTCGGGGACGCGGAAGGTGACGAATTTTCCGCCCACGTAGAAGCGGTACTCCTCAGGTTTGGGTTTAAAGAGGAGGATCTCGTTGTCCTGGGCTTTGGTGGCGTAGGAGAAGAGGCTGTGGGGCCGTGTGAGGTCGGTGTAGGAGCGCAGGCAGACGGTGAAGTTGTGCAGGGGTTGCTGCAGCCGCGCCCGCAGCGCCACGAAGGCGTCGCTGGGATCCTTCCGGAACACGAACACCTTTCGGTACAGGTCTGGGGACAACACAGGGACACCTGGCTGGGAGCCTGGGGTGGCCCAAAACCCTCTCTGACTGTCCCCTGCTCCAGCATCCTCCAGCCCCACTGACCAACAGTGACCCAGAGCTGCTGCCACGTCCCCCTCTGGACCTGCCCTGCCCCGTGCTGCCTTCTGTCCCCCCACCCCGGTGTCCCCCGTACCTTCCTGGGCCACCATCCCCGTGAGCCCGGCCAGGACAAGCAGCCAGAGCTGCAGGTGGCCCATGGTGGGTGCTGGAGCCGGGCGGGCGCGGCGCTGCCACCGGGTTTATGTACCCAAAGAGGGGAGGGGACTGCTGGGGGTGGGGGGGGATGTCCCCAATCCCATCCTGGTGTGCCCCAGAGAGCGATTTCATGCCCATGGTGGGTGATTTCATGCCCAGGGTGGGTGATTTCATGCCCAGGGTGGGTGATTTCATGCCCAGGGTGGGTGATTTCATGCCATCACGCGGCCCAGCCACAAGATCTGGGGTCACCTGCCTGCACGGGGCTCCTCTTTGGAGCTTGGCTCTGAGTGTGTCCCCCCCTCCCAGGGGACAGGGACACCCCAGCCGTGTGTCTGCCTGGGTGGTGGGGTGGGGACAACCCAGAAACTCCTTCCCCAGGTGTGGCTGCTGTAGGCAAACCCCATTGGGGGGGACAGGGTTTGATTTGGGATCATCTGAGGTTCCCCTGACCCCCTGCTCTGAGCCACAACTTGGGGACACATCCCGGGCTCTGCTCTCCCGAGGGGACAGAGATGGACACGGGGTGGCTGAGTGTCCTGGAGTGTCCCCAAGGGGACAGGCAGATGGGAAGGGGGAAGGTTTTACCTGTCCCAAATGCCACAGCAGCCGGACTCTGGGCTGGGGGTGTAAAAATCCCACAGGGATTTGATGCATCCCAAATTTTGGGGGCAACATAGGCTCGTTCCCCCTGATCAGCCCCCCAATTTAGGGGAGATGAACCCCCCCAGCCCCTCCAGGGCTTGGCTGAGGCAGAGCAGCCCCGTTGTCCCCAGTGCTGTGCCCGTGTCACCCCCGTGACCGCACGCGCCCGTCCCTCGTGGGTATAAATGCCCCCAGCTCCCCCCAGAGCTTCCTTGGGAACTTTTCCTGCCAATTTGGAAGCACGAGGAGCACAAACCCCCCCCTTTTCCTGTCCCCATCCCCCCCATCACCTCCCAGTCCCATCCAGTCCATGAACTGGGAGTGCCTCGGGGCATTTGTGTTTATTTTGTGCAATTCCCGCTGGAAAAAATCCCAAAAATTCCAAAATCTCCGCCTGGAGCTGTGGGGGATGTCCAGGGCTGAGCCTTGGGGATCCCCCAGGAGTTTGGGGAGACCCCCCCGAGCAGCCTGGGGCACCCCAGGGATGTCTGTGTGGCCCCAAAGAGGGGCTGAGACCCCATGGGAGGGGACAGAGGGCACAGAACGGGGGGTCCTGGGGGAGTGTTGGCTGTGGGGGCACTGGGGGGTCAGTGCCCAGGGTGCCAAGGCTTGTGCCAGGTGGCCAGGGGGGCAGTGCTGGGGGGTCCAGGCCAGGCTGGGGGGCAGCGATGGGGTGGGGGGCACAGGGGTTGGTGATGGGGTGTCTCAGGCTGGTGCAGCGGGGTCAGGATCCAGGGTGCCAAATCTGGTGCCAGGGGTGCCAAATCTGGTGCCAGGGGTCCAAATCTGGTGCCAGGATGCCAAATCTGGTGCCAGGGGTGCCAAGTCTGGTGCCAGGGGTCCAAGTCTGGTGCCAGGGTGCCAAATCTGGTGCCAGGGTGCCAAATCTGGTGCCAGGGGTCCAAATCTGGTGCCCGGGGGCCGGGGCTCAGCTGGGGGGGTCCAAGTCCGGTGCCGTGGGTCCATTTGGTTCTGCGGTGCAGCCCCCGGAGCTCGGCGATCCCGGAGCTCGGTATCACCGGGAGCTCGGTATCACCGGGAGCTCAGCAATCCCGGAATTCAGCAGTCCCGGGACTCGGTAGTCCCGGAACTCGGCAGCACCGGGAGCTCGGCAATCCCGGAGCCCGGTAACCCCGGGAGCTCGGCAGTCCTGGAATTCAGCAGTCCCGGAGCCCGGTAGCCCCGGGGGCTCAGCAGCACCGGGAGCTCGGTATCACCGGGAGCCCGGCAATCCCGGAATTCAGCAGTCCCGGGACTCGGTATCACCGGGAGCACAGCAATCCCGGAATTCAGCAATCCCGGAGCTCAGCATCCCCCTGAGCTCAGCATCCCCCGGCAGCCCCGGTAGTCCCGGGGGCTCAGCAATCCCGGAGCTCAGCAGTCCCGGTGCTTGGCAGTCTCGGAATTCAGTAGTCCCGGAGCTCGGCACTCCCGGAGCTCAGCATCCTCCCGAGCTCAGCATCCCCCGGCAGCCCCGGTAGTCCCGGGGGCTCAGCAATCCCGGAGCTCAGCAGCCCCGGGAGCTCGGCAGTCCCGGAGCTCAGCAGCCCCGGAGCTCGGTATCACCGGGAGCTCAGCAATCCCGGAGCTCGGCAATCCCGGAGCTCAGCAGTCCCGGAGCTCGGTATCACCGGGAGCTCGGCATCACCGGGAGCTCAGCACTCCCGGAGCTCAGCATCCCCCGGCAGTCCCGGTAATCCCGGGGGGCTCAGCACTCCCGGCGCTCAGTATCCCCCGGCACTCCCGGGGGCTCAGCATCCCCCCGATCTCACATCCCCGGCACTCCCCGAGCTAGCATCCCCGGGCAGTCCCGGTAATCCCGGGGGGCTCAGCATCCCCCCGATCTCAGCATCCCCCGGTAGTCCCGGTACTCCTGGCGCTCAGCATCCCCCGGCAGCCCCGGTACTCCCGGCGCTCAGCATCCCCCGGTACTCCCGGAGCTCAGCACCCCCCGATCTCAGCATCCCCCGGTACTCCCGGAGCTCAGCACCCCCCGATCTCAGCATCCCCCGGTACTCCCGGATCTCAGCATCCCCCGCCATCCCCGGCCCCACGGCGGCACCCCCGGCCGAGCAGCACCAGCAGCGGCCCGATCCCGCAGTGCAGCACCCCCAGCGCCTCACTCAGCCCCAGGGCCAGGTCGAAATGCTGGAAGGAGCCGCAGGTGGGCTCCAGCAGCCCGGCCTGGAGCAGGAACTGCCCCGCCAGCCCCGCTCCGTAGGGCACCCAGAGCCCCGAGAAGAGCCACACCAGCCCGGCTCCACTCACCCAGCTCGCCCTGGAACCGGGCACGACCACCGCGGCCAGCAGCACCCCCGTGGGCATCAGCAGCAGCAGGCAGAGGCACAGGGAGAGGTGCAGCAGATAAAGCGGTGCCAGGATGCCCACACTGCGCTGGATGCACGCTGTGCCCGCTGCCACCCCGCTGACCAGCGCGGATGGTGTGGCCAAAACCAGCGCTGCCACCCACAGCATCACGGCCAAACGGCGGCTCCGGGGGTCCCACCGAGCCCAAACAGTGCCACGGGAAGTGCTGGCCGCGGTGGTCAGCTCAGCATCCCCCGGTAGTCCCGGGGACTCAGCAGTCCCGGAGCTCAGCATCCCCCCCGAGCTCAGCATCCCCCCGAGCTCAGCATCCCCCCGAGCTCAGCATCCCCCGGTACTCCCGGAGCTCAGCATCCCCCCGAGCCCAGCATCCCCCGGCAGCCCCGGTACTCCCGGATCTCAGCATCCCCCGCCACCCCCATCCCCGCGGCGGCATCCCCGGCCGAGCAGCACCAGCAGCGGCCCGATCCCGCAGTGCAGCACCCCCAGCGCCTCACTCAGCCCCAGGGCCAGGTCAAAATGCTGGAAGGAGCCGCAGGTTGGCTCCAGCAGCCCGGCCTGGAGCAGGAACTGCCCCGCCAGCCCCGCTCCGTAGGGCACCCAGAGCCCCGAGAAGAGCCACACCAGCCCGGCTCCACCCACCCAGCTCGCCCTGGAACCGGGCACGACCACCGCGGCCAGCAGCACCCCCGTGGGCATCAGCAGCAGCAGGCAGAGGCACAGGGAGAGGTGCAGCAGATAAACCGGTGCCAGGATGCCCACACTGCGCTGGATGCACGCTGTGCCCGCTGCCACCCCGCTGACCAGCGCGGATGGGGTGGCCAAAACCAGCGCTGCCACCCACAGCATCACGGCCAAACGGCGGCTCCGGGGGTCCCACCGAGCCCAAACTGTGCCACGGGAACCGCTGGCCACCAGCAGAGCTTGGGAGAACACGCTCCAGTGCCACAGGAGGTGACAGAGGCGACAAAACGCCGTGCCAAGGTGCCAACCCCACGCCACGCCCGCGGCCAGCGCTGGTAGAGGAGCAGCGAACAGCGCAGTGCCCAGTGCCAGCTGTGCCACCAAAGCGCGGCTCCGCGGCCACTGCCACGCGTGGGGACGCTTGGACAGAGCCACCAGCAAGGTGACAATGGTCAGAGTGGCCGTGGCGGTGGTGGTGGCCAGGAAAGGGGGAGCTACGCGCTGGAAGAGGGGACAGAAGTGGTTGTGGCACGGGGTGGCATCGTAGTCCAAGAAGGTGGCGTTGATGTAAGTGTCGTTGTAGGAGGAGATGTCGCCCATGATTTCCTCCAGGTCCAGCGTGCCCGGGGTCTCCAGGATGCCGGGGGTCTGCGGGTGAAGGGATGGGCATGGGGAAGGTGCCACAGCGCGCTGGCATCGCCAGCAGGGCAGGGCAGGGCAGGGCAGGGCAGGGTGGGTTATCAGGGAGGGACACGCGGTGGGCACGGCCGGGCTGCGGGATGGGGACGTTTGGTCACAGCGGGGACACGGGGAGGATGGGGGTGTGGGGGCATGGACACCCCCATGAGCCTGCTCGGAGTTGGGGACCCCCGTGATCCTGCTCAGAATTGGGGACCCCCATGTTCCTGCTCAGATTTGGGGACCCCCATGTTCCTGCTCAGAATTGGGGACCCCCATGATCCTGCTCAGAATTGGGGACCCCCAAGATCCTGCTCACAATTGGGGACCCCCATGTTCTTTCTCAGAATTGGGGACCCCCATGAACCTGCTCAGAATTGGGGTCCCCCAAGATCCTACTCAGAATTGGGGACCCCCATGTTCTTTCTCAGAATTGGGGACCCCCATGTTCCTGCTCAGAATTGGGGACCCCCATGTTCCTGCTCAGAATTGGGGACCCCCATGTTCCTGCTCAGAATTGGGGACCCCCCTGATCCTGCTCAGAATTTGGGACCCCCATGATCCTGCTCAGAATTGGGGACCCCCATGTTCCTGCTCAGAATTGGGGACCCCCGTGATCCTGCTCAGAATTGGGGACCCCCATGTTCTTGCTCAGAATTGGGGACCCCCATGTTCCTGCTCAGAATTGGGGACCCTCATGAGCCTGCTCAGAATTGGGGACCCCCGTGTTCCTGCTCAGAATTGGGGACCCCATGTTCCTATTTAGAATTGGGGATCCCCGTGGTCCTGCTCACAATTGGGGAACCTCATGAGCCTGCTAAGAATTGGGGACCCCCCTGATCCTGCTCAGAATTGGGGACCCCCAAGATCCTGCTCAGAATTGGGGACCCTCATGTTCCTGCTCAGAATTGGGGACCCCCATGAGCCTGCTAAGAATTGGGGACCCCCCATGAGCCTGATGAGAATTGGGGACCCCCCTGATCCTGCTCAGAATTGGGGACCCCCATGTTCTTTCTCAGAATTGGGGACCCCCATGTTCCTGCTCAGAATTGGGGACCCCTCTGATCCTGCTTAGAATTGGGGACCCCCAAGATCCTGCTCAGAATTGGGGACCCTCATGATCCTGCTCAGATTTGGGGACCCCCATGAACCTGCTCAGAATTGGGGACCCTCAGGGCTCTGCTCAGAATTGGGGACCCTCATGAACCTGCTCAGAATTGGGGACTCCTAAACCCCAAAACTCCCCTAAACCCCACTGAGCCCTGGGGATTCCTGTGGAATCGGCACCAGGGATCCCCAAAATTCCCCTAAACCCCACTGAGCCCTGGGGATTCCCATGGAATCGGCACCAGGGATCCCCAAAACCCAACTCCCCTAAATCCCACTGGGGATTCCTGTGGAATCAGCACCAGGGATCCCCAAAACCCCACTGAGCTCTGGGAATTCCCATGGAATCAGCACCAGGGACCCCCAAAACCCCACTCAACTCCCCAAAATCCCACTGGAGATTCCCTCCCACGAGGACCCCCACCCCTCCCCTCCCTCCCTGGTGATGGGACGGGAATTTTGGGGTGCTCACTCACCACGGGGATACAGTTGCCCATGCTGAATTCCTCACCAGGCTCCTCCGATTTTGGGGGGTCTTTGGGGTGGCCACTAAATAATTCAGTGGCCACTCAGGGTCAGGAGGTGCTCAGGGGTGACTTTTCTCCTCTCTCCCCGCCTCAGCTCCCCCAAAAATGAGCTGAGGAGTGCGGGCAGGAGATAAGAGGTGCCCCAGAGCCGCCCTGCCCTCCTCACCCTGGCACCCGGCGGAAAACAGGGAACGGCTCTGCCGGGAAAAGCCACAATTTCTCCAGCAGGAAACCATCAGTTTTCTTGGCAGGACAAATGAAATTAATTAGGAATTACCTTTCCAGCCGCTCCCGGGGTTTGTGCCAGCTCTAGGGAGGGGTTTGGGGTGCAGGATGGGGGTTGGCACTCGTGGCACCCCACTGGAGGTTGGAATTTCCCGGTTTTTCCTCGGAAGGAAGGGCTCCTGGGGGTCATCCTGTGACATTGGCCCAGCTTGGTGGCCTTGGTGGCCTTCAGAAACGTCACAGGGCTCTGGGGTTGGGAATTGGGGTAATTTAGGAGGAATTAGGGGGATGTTTTGGGGTGAAAAGTGCTGGGAAGTGACACTTTGGGAGGAAGGAAGGGCTCCCAGGGGCCATTCTGTGACATTGGCCCAGTTTGGTGGCTTTGGTGGCCTTCAGAAACGTCACAGAGCTCCGGGGTTGGGAATTGGGGTAATTTGGGAGGGGTTAGGGGGATGTTTTGGGGTGAAAATTGCTGGGAAGTGACATTTTGGGAGGAAGGAAGGACTCCCAGGGGTCATTCTGTGACATTGGGGCCAGCTTGGTGGCCTTGGTGGCCTTCAGAAACGTCACAGAGCTCTGGGGTTGGGGATTGGGGTAATTTGGGAGGGGTTAAAGGGATGTTTTGGGGTGAAAAGTGCTGGGAAGTGACACTTTGGGAGGAAGGGCTCCCGGGGGTGACCCTGTGACATTGGCCCAGCTTGGTGGCCTTCAGAAACGTCACAGAGCTCTGGGGTTGGGGATTAGGGTAATTTGGGAGGGGTTAAAGGGATGTTTTGGGGTGAAAAGTGCTGGGAAGTGACACTTTGGGAAGAAGGAAGGGCCATTCTGTGACATTGGCCCAGTTTGGTGGCCTTGGTGGCCTTCAGAAACGTCACAGAGCTCTGGGGTTGGGGATTAGGGTAATTTGGGAGGGGTTAAAGGGATGTTTTGGGGTGAAAAGTGCTGGGAAGTGACACTTTGGGAGGAAGGAAGGGCCATTCTGTGACACTGGCCCGGTTTGGTGGCCTTGGTGGCCTTCAGAAATGTCACAGAGCTCTGGGTTTGGGGATTGGGGTAATTTGGGAGGGGTTAAAGGGATGTTTTGGGGTGAAAAGTGCTGGGAAGTGACACTTTGGGAGGAAGGAAGAGCTCCCGGGGGTCATCCTGTGACATTGGCCCAGTTTGGTGACAGGGCTGGTGGCCTTGGTGGCCTTCAGAAGCATCACAGAGCTCCGGGGTTGGGAATTGGGGTAATTTGGGAGGGGTTAAAGGGATGTTTTGGGGTGAAAAGTGCTGGAAAGTGACATTTTAGGAAGAAGGAAGGGCTCCTGGGGGTCACCCTGTGACATTGGCCCAGCTTGGTGGCCTTGGTGGCCTTCAGAAATGTCACAGAGCTCCGGGGTTGGGGATTAGGGTAATTTGGGAGGGGTTAGGGGGATGTTTTGGGGTGAAAAGTGCTGGGAAGTGACACTTTGGGAGGAAGGAAGGGCTCCCAGGGGTCACCCTGTGACATTGGCCCGGTTTGGTGGCAGCGCTGGTGGCCTTGGTGGCCTTCAGAAGCATCACAGGGCTCTGGGGTTGGGGATTAGGGTAATTAAGGAGGAATTAGGGGGATGTTTGGGGGTGAAAAGTGCTGGGAAGTGACACTTTGGGAGGAAGGAAGGGCCATTCTGTGACATTGGGCCAGCTTGGTGGCCTTGGTGGCCTTCAGAAACGTCACAGAGCTCCGGGGTTGGGGATTGGGGTAATTTAGGAGGAATTAGGGGGATGTTTTGGGGTGAAAAGTGCTGGGAAGTGACACTTTGGGAGGAAGGAAAGGCTCCCAGGGGTCATCCTGTGACATTGGCCCGGCTTGGTGGCCTTGGTGGCCTTCAGAAACGTCACAGAGCTCTGGGGTTGGAAATTAGGGTAATTTAGGAGGAATTAGGGGGATGTTTTGGGGTGGAAAGTGCTGGGAAGTGACACTTTGGGAGGGGCTGTGGAGCAAATTTAGGGGGTGAAAGGCCTGGGGAGCCCCAGGGGTTGGGAATTGGGGTCACTGGGCTTTGGGGTTGGGATTTGGGTGTCTCTGAGGGGGAAATTTGGGGGGGAAAGGGCTGAGAAGTCTGGGAATTGGGAATTTGGGAGAGGCTGAGGAGGAATTTGGGAATTGGAAATTTGGGGGGATTGAGGGGCAGATTTGGGGGTGAAAGGGCTGAGGAGGAATCTGGGAATTGGGAATTTAGGGGTGAAAGGGCTGAGGAAGAATCTGGGAAATGGAAATTTGGGAGGGATTGAGGGGCAGATTTGGGGAGGAAAGAGTTGAGGAGGAATCTGGGAATTGGAAATTTGGGAGGGGCTGAGGAGGAGTCTGGGAATTGGAAATTTGGGAGGGATTGAGGGGTAGATTTGGGGGTGAAAGGGCTGAGGAGGAATCTGGGAATTGGAAATTTGGGAGGGGCTGAGGAGGAATCTCAGAATTGGGAATTTAGGGGGGAAAGGGCTGAAAAGGAATCTGGGAAATGGAAATTTGGGGGGATTGAGGGGCAGATTTGGGGGTGAAAGGGCTGAGGAGGAATCTGGGAATTTGGGAGGGGCTGAGGAGGAATCTGGGAAATGGAAATTTGGGAGAGATTGAGGGGCAGATTTGGGGAGGAAAGAGTTGAGGAGGAATCCAGGAATTTGGGAGGGATTGAGGAAGAATCTGGGAATTGGGAATTTGGGAAGGGCTGAGGAGGAATTTGGGGGGATTGAGGGGCAGATTTGGGGAGGAAAAGACTGAGGAGGAATCTGGGAATTGGGAATTTGGGAGGGATTGAGGGGCAGATTTGGGGAGGAAAGGGCTGAGGAGGGATCTGGGAAATGGGAATTTGGGAGGGGCTGAGGAGGAATCTGGGAATTGGGAATTTGGGAGAGGCTGAGGAGGAATTTGGGAATTGGGAATTTGGGAGGGATTGAGGAGGAGTCTGGGAATTGGGAATTTGGGAGGGATTGAGGGGCAGATTTGGGGAGGAAAGGGCTGAGGAGGAGTCTGGGAATTGGGAATTTGGGAGGGATTGAGGGGCAGATTTGGGGGTGAAAGGGCTGAAGAAGAATCTGGGAATTGGGAATTTAGGGGGGAAAGGGCTGAGGAGGAATCTGGGAAATGGAAATTTGGAAGGGATTGAGGAAGAATCTGGGAATTGGGAATTTGGGAGGGATTGAGGAAGAATCTGGGAATTGGGAATTTGGGAGGGATTGAGGAAGAATCTGGGAATTGGGAATTTGGGAAGGGCTGAGAAGGAATCTGGGAAATGGGAATTTGGGAGGGATTGAGGGGCAGATTTGGGGAGGAAAGGGCTGAGGAGGAATCTGGGAAATGGAAATTTGGGGGGGTTGAGGGGCAGATTTGGGGAGGAGGAATCTGGGAATTTGGGAGGGATTAAGTCAGATTTGGGCAGATTTGGGGGTGAAAGTCCCGGGGATCCCCAGGATTTGGGAATTGGGGTTACTGCTCTCCGTGGGGAGGTGCTGAGGGTCAGGATCAGGGTGACTTTGGTGGGTCTGGGGGCTCGGTGGGAGATTTGGGGGCTCAGGGGAGGTTTGAGGGGGGCTGAGCTCTGTCCCCCTGCCCCACACCCCCCACCCCAGCTCCCCCCCGACCCCCCAAACGCAGAGAGCCAGGCAGGTAACGGTGTGTGTGTGTAATCCAGATATATTTATAGGATTATTTTCCGAGATTAGCACAGGATATTAGAAAGGTTATAAAGTCACATCGACGGTCGTTGGCTCCTTTTATGTACAGACAAAAATTAAAAAAAAATAAAAAACCAAAATAAAACAAAAAAAATTACCCAAAAAACCACAGCACAACAACACAGCCTCTGCCCCCCGCCCCGGCCTCTCCAGAGCTCCCCAAAATACCAAAATATGGCTTTCGTGTCTATTGAGAGTTCAGTGCCGGCCAGGAAACCTCCCAGGGGGGTCCCAAATTTGGTTTTGGTGACAACCCCGTGGATGTGGGGCCACCAACAGAACCCCCACCCTGAGGACGGGGTGGTGGCCTTGGCTCTCCCCCAGACACGGTGACGCCCACCCCACCCTGTCACCCCCGGCCCTTGCTCATCTGTCACCCCAAAAGTGACCCCAAAAAAGGGCCAGGGGCTCGCTCGTCCCCCTGGCACAGCTTCCACCTGTTTGGGAGGGTCCCTGTCACCCCACGGCCACGCTGGGGTGACACTCCCGGTGTCGTTGTCACCCCCCAGGTGTGACACAAATCTCTGCTGCTCCCACCTCCAACGAAACTTTTGGATCCAGAAGTGGCCTCAGATGGAATTTCCGACCCTTTTCCAGCTCCTCTCTGTCAGCTCCAGGTGACACCGGGCCAGGTGACACCTCCATGTGTCCCCCTGCCTGATCCTCGGGCTGCCCTGTCACACCCCACAGCACGTGGCACCTCAAAACCACCTCAAAACCACCTCAAAACCACCAAAATCGCCTCAAAAGCACCTCAAAATCACCTCAAAACCACCTCAAAACTACCAAAATCACCTCAAAATCACCAAAACCACCTCAAAATCACCTCAAAACCACCTCAAAACCACCTCAAAATCACCTCACACCCACCAAAACCACCTCAAAACTACCAAAACCACCTGAAAACCACCAAAATCACCTCAAAACCACCCAAACCACCTCAAAATTGCCTCAAAAACATCAAAACCACCTCATAACTACCAAAATCACCTCAAAACCACCAAAACTACCTCAAAACCACCTCAAACCCACCAAAACCACCTGAAAACCACCTCAAAACCACCCAAACCACCTCAAAATCACCTCAAAACCATTTCAAATCCACCTCAAAACCACCAAACCCACTTCAAAATCACCTCAAAACCATTTCAAAACCACTAAAATCACCTCAAAACCACCAAAACCTTCTGAAAATCACCTGAAAACCACCAAAACCACCTCAAAATCACCTGAAAACCACTGCAAAACCACCAAAACCACTTCAAAATCACCTCAAAACCATTTCAAATCCACCTCAAAATCACCTCAAAACTACCAAAACCACCTGAAAACCACCAGAAAACCACCAAAACCACCTCAAAATGACCCGAAAATCACCTCAAGACGACCTGAAAACCACCAAAACCACCTCAAAATCACCCCAAAATCACCTCAGAACCACCAATCCATCCTGTTCTCCCTGGCACCAGCCCTTGGAGCAGCGGGACTGAATTCCAAGAGGGAAAATCTCCCACCCCGCTGCCATCCCTGCTCTGCCTGGCATCCCTCCAGCCCCTCCAGGAGATGGAATTTTGCTGGAGAAAACATCTGGGTGTTTTTATTTGCAGGAATTATTCAGTCCTGGCGATTTTTGGGTGTTGGCAACCCCAGGATTCATCCCCCAGCCCGAGCTCGGAGCTGCCCAAACTCCAAAATGTTGGAAAAGAGGAAAAACACCCCAAAAACGGCTGTACCCAGCAAAGGTAACCTCAAAAATTTCATTTTCCTGCTCCTTCCCAGTGCTGAGCTGGGCCCCCTCTGCCCCACCTGAGCCCCTCTCCTGCCCCACAGGTGACACAGGTGACACAGGTGACGGGGTTTGGGTGGGGGGTGACACTTCCAGCCCTGTGGAAGAGGTGAGAAAATTCTTCCTGCGCCTCCCAGGGGAGGTTTCCCACCCCATCTCCTTCCTGGAGGGTCCCCTCATCCTCCAGATGACCCCAAATCCTTGGGGTGACCCCTCCAGAAACCCCAAATCCTTGGGGTGACCCCTCCAGACGACCCCAAATCCTTGGGGTGACCCCTCCAGACAACCCCAAATCCTTGGGGTGACCCCTCCAGAAACCCCAAATCCTTGGGGTGACCTCCCAGCTGAGTTTATCCCTCTCCAAAGGTCCCCTCATCCTCCAAATTACCCCAAATCCATGGGGTGACCTTCCAGGTGAGGTCACCCCCTCCTCCAGACGACCCCAAATCCTTGGGGTGACCTCCCAGATGGGGTTACCCCTCCTAAAAAGCTCCTCCAGACAACCCCAAATCCTTGGGGTGACCTCCCAGGTGAGGTCACCCCCTCCTTCAGACAACCCCAAATCCTTGGGGTGACCTCCCAGGTGAAGTTACTCCTCCTAAAAAGCTCCTCCAGACAACCCCAAATCCTTGGGGTGACCTCCCAGATGAGGTTACCCTTCCTAAAAAGCTCCTCCAGACAGCCCCAAATCTATGGGGTGACCTCACCTGGTCAAATCTATGGGGTGACCTCCCCACAACCCCAAATCCTCGGGGTTCCAAGCCCAAGGGTGTCTCCTGCAGCCCCCCTCATGCCCAGAGCGGGATTTGGGGTGCCAGGAGCCCTCGTGCCAAGGCTGGGGGTGCCCTGAGGGATGCCAGGGGGTGCCTGGTTTGGGGAGGTGGGGAGAGGGGTTTGGTTTTTGGGATGTGAAGGTGAAAGAGGCAGGAGGAAGGACAAGGAAAAAGGGTGAACCCCACCTTGGAACACCTTCCAAGCCTTTGTGGTGACCCCAAACTCCCCAGACCCCAAATCCAGGAGTTTTGGGTGGGGGTTCTCAGAGCCAAGAAGAAAATCAGCCCTTTCCAAGCTCATCCCTGCCCTGGGAAGGGGCTGGGGAGGGGAGGGGGGCACAGAGACCCTGGCAGAGCCCCCAGCCCGGTTTTGGGGGTCCCAGGGAAGCAGCCCCAGCCCCGAGGGCGCTGCCTCCTGCACTGAACATCTCAATAGATGGTTAAAAATTGGCATTTCCAATCATCGGAGAATTTAAGAAAAATAAAAATAAAAAAAAATTAAAAAATTTGGGGGGTTTTTCCTTTGGATTTGCCCCCCCCAACATAAATCTCAGCCCTCCCCCCTCCCGCTGGGGTGGGACCAGGGAGCTGTGGGGGGCTCCTGGTTTGTGTGGGGGTCCCACCCTGGATTTTCACCCCCTTTCACACACTGACTGCACGAGGACAGCTCTGCTCCCGCACGGACACTGCTCCACAAGAACCACCAAGGATAAAACCGGGCCAGGGTCTCGCTCTGCTCCCAGCTGGGAGCCACAAACCCCCCCAGGGGGGCTTCCCCAAACTCACCCAGAGCTGATTTTATCCTTGGATATCAAAAAAACCAAAATGGAGAGAAACAAAGGGAAAGAGCTACATCGACCCCAGCCCAACACCCCAACCAAGGGCCCGAAGCAAAGAGCAGCCACGAAACCAAAGCCAAAAAAACAAATTAAAAATAAATAAAAAGTTCCAAAAAAAGGAAGGAGGAGGAGGAGGAGGAATTCGCTCACTCACGGGTTGGTCTGTTGGGGTCGGGGCGTGGGGATGGAGGTGCAAGCAAGCAAACGGGGCCGTTGGAGTGAAGGATTTGTACAAAGTTCCAGAAGCGTCAGCGACGCCTCGAGGCCGGTGGCTCTCCCTGCTCTCTGTCCATCCATCCCTCTGTCCGTCCGTCCGTCCGTCCGCCCGTGCCGGGCGCCGGAGAAAATCTGTTGGGTTTGGTGTGGGGTTTGTGGTCTGGTTGCCGTTGCCATCGGGGTTCTCTTGGCTCCATTTCTCTCTCTCTCTCTCTCTTTCTGCGACGCCTTTAGATGAAATATTCCTTCTTGTCGTCGCCGCCGGCCTGGCCGCCCTCGGCGTTGATGATGGCGGTGTCGGCGTCCGGAGCGTCGTCAGAGCCTTTGGCCTCGTGGGTCAGGTACGTGCCTGGGGAAAGGGAGGGGTGTTTTTGGGGTTTGGGGGTTTGGGGTCACCAGGGGGCTCTGACAGCGCCAATTCCCCCGTAAACGGGGTGTCTGGAGGGCTACGGGGGGATTGGGGGAGGTGGAGAAGTTACTGGGATGGGATTGGTGGGATGGGATTGGTGGGATGGGATTGATGGGATGGGATTGGGATCAGTGGGATGGGATTGGTGGGATGGGATTGGGATCAATGGGATGGGATCAGTGGGACGGGATCAATGGGATGGGATTGATGGGATGGGATTGATGGGATGGGATTGATGGGATGGGATTGATGGGATGGGATTGATGGGATGGGATTGATGGGATGGGATCAGTGGGACGGGATTGGGATCAATGGGATGGGATCGGGATCAATGGGATGGGATCATTGGGATGGGATTGGGATTGATGGGATGGGATGGATGGGATGGGATGGGATGGGATTGGTGGGATGGGATGGATAGAATGGGATCAGTGGGATGGGATCGATGGGATCAATGGGATGGGATCAGTGGGAAGGGATTGGGATCAATGGGATGGGATCAGTGGGATGGGATTGGGATCAATGGGATGGGATCAGTGGGATGGGATCGATGGGATGGGATCAATGGATGGGATTGGGATCAATGGGATGGGATCAATGGGATGGGATGGGATCAGTGGGATGGGATGGATGGGATGGGATCAATGGGATCAATGGGATGGGATTGATGGGATGAGATGGGATGGGATCAGTGGGATAGGATCAATGGGATGAATGGGATGGGATGGATAGATGGGATGGGATCAATGGGAGGGGATCGATGGGAGGGGATCGATGGGAGGGGATGGAATGGGATCAATGGGATAGGGTGGGATCGATGGAATAGGGTGGGATCAATGGGATAGGGTGGGATCAATGGGAGCTGAGGGGGACACAGGGACGGCGACAATCCCGGGACACAGAGATGGCGAACGGGGGTGGGAACTGCCTCCCCCTGCATTCCCTGGGACATTCTGAGCTGCCCCGAGACCCCCGAGCCCCCCTGGAGCCCCCTGCACCCCTCAGGGCCGTACCTTTGTGCCTGATCAGGTAATGTCCCAGCACGATGAGGAGGCTGAGCAGGAGGAAGACGATGACGGCCACCACGCCGCCGATCATGGCGTGGTACGTGCTGGAGGTCGAGGGCACCGGGCTGGCATCTGCCCAGGCAGGGGGACAGAAAAGAGACAAAAAAGGAGCTGAGACCCTGCAGGAGCTCCATCCTGTGCCAGCAGCTCCTCCTTGGGTCCTGCTGTGGGTCCTGGCAGTGAAAACGGGGGGAAACAAAGGGAGAAATCCCATCCTCCACCCCTTTTTTTTGGGATTTTGGCCCCAAAAAAAAAGGAGGATGGAGGGGACATGAAGGCTGGCACCCCGAGAGGTGACAACAGCAGGACCACAAAGGTGGTGAGAAGACATTCCGTTCCTGCTGGAATGGTGTGCCAGCCCTGGGCCACGGTGACAAATCCTCTTCCCACCAGCTCGGGGTGGGGACAGAGCCACCTCTGGGAAGGACAAGGTTGAGGAGACACAGGAGAGGCAGCAGGACAGAGGGACAACGCGGCACACGGACACACAGGACAAGGGACAGCTCGGGGAGCTGCTGCTCAAAGAGTTCCTGGTGGAAAAAACACCAAAATCCACAGGCACACACACCCCCCGAGGGGACTGGAGCCACCTGGGCAGGGCTGTCCCCTGGGACAGGGTGGGGACATCCTGAGGAGCTTCTCCAGGCCGGGCTGGGGTCCGCAAAGAGACAGAAAAGGAGGTTACGGTACCTTGGATGGGAGCTGGAGTGAAGGATGGAGCGGAGGCCATGGAAGCATGAGAGATGGGCTGGGAAGGGCCCCGGGTGGAGTGAACGTGTGGGGTGGGGAGCTGGGGAACATCTGGGGAGGACAACAAAAAACACAGGACAGGAATCAATGCCACGAAGGGCTCAGAGAGGTGGCAGAGACCTCCAGGGGACCTTCAGCGGGTCCAGCCGTGAGCTCACGGGTCGTTCTGCTTCTGCCACCAACCTTTGGGACACCGTGGCCATGTCCTGGTTACCCCTTGAGGGACATTCATGGGACACTGTGGCCATCTCCTGGTTACCCCCTGAGGGACATTCATGGGACACTGTGGCCATCTTCTCCTCCTGGTTACCCCCTGAGGGACATTCATGGGACACTGTGGCCATCTTCTCCCATCTCCTGGTTACTCCTTGAGGGACCCTCATGGGACACCGTGGCCATCTTCTCCTCCTGGTTACCCCCTGAGGGACACTCATGGGACACTGTGGCCATCTTCTCCTCCTGGTTACCCCTTGAGGGACCCTGGTGGTGTCATCCCTGGTGACCACAGGGTGTTGGCAGGGGTGGCACCAAGGTGGGCAAGGTGGTGGCTCCCAGGGCTGGAGACAGGAGTGGCTTTATGGGTCCTTCTGCTACTGCCACCAACCTTTGGGACACTGTGGCCATCTCCTGGTTACCCCTGAGGGACACTTGTGGGACACTGTGGCCATCTTCTCCTGGTTACCCCCTGAGGGACCCTCATGGGACACTGTGACCATCTTCTCCTGGTTACCCCCTGAGGGACCCTGGTGGGACACTGTGGCCATCTTCTTCTCCTGGTAACCCCTTGAGGGACCCTGGTGGGACACTGTGGCCATCTTCTCCTCCTGGTCACCCCCTGAGGGACCCTGGTGGTGTCATCCTTGGGGACCACAGGGGTGGCACCAAGGTGGGCAAACTGGAGGGCTCAGCTGGGCACGGAGGTGGCTTTAGGGACCCCAAAGGTCCCCCTGCTTCTGCCACCAACTTTTGGGACACTGTGGCCATCTTCTCCTGGTTACCCCTTGAGGGACATTCATGGGACACTGTGGCCATCTTCTCCTCCTCGTTACCCCCTGAGGGACACTGGTGGTGTCATCCTTGGGGACCACAGGGGTGGCACCAAGGTGGGCAAGGTGGTGGCTCCCAGGGCGTGGGACACGAGTGGCTTTAGGGGTCCCTCTGCTACTGCCACCAACCTTTGGGACACTGTGGCCATCTTCTCCTCCTGGTTACCCCTTGAGGGACACTCGTGGGACACTGTGGCCATCTTCTCCTCCTGGTTACCCCCTGAGGGACCCTCGTGGTGTCACCCTTGGGGACCACAGGGGTGGCACCAAGGTGGCCAAACAGGAGGGCTCAGCTGGGCACGGAGGTGGCTTTAGGGACCCCAAAGGTCCCTCTGCTTCTGCCACCAACCTTTGGGACACTGTGGCCATCTTCTCCTCCTGGTTACCCCCTGAGGGACCTTCGTGGTGGCACCTCTGTGCACATCCTTGGGGACCACAGGGTGTTGGCAGGGGTGGCACCAAGGTGGGCACGGAGGTGGCTCCCAGGGGTGGGACACGAGTGGCTTTAGGGACAAAAGCAGCAATGCCACCAAGCCTGGATACGGAGCTCGTCTGCCACCACGGGGTGGTGGCACCAGGTGGGCGAGGGACAGTGGGTGGCACCCGGGGTGAGCTCCTGGGTGTGTGCAGAGAGCTGTGGGTGCTCACACAGGGGACACGGGGGACACACGAGGGTGACACGGGAGCGACTGCAAAGCGTTGGGTATTTGGGGGCTGAGGGAGGGGACACGGGGGACAAAGTGCCACTGAGGTGGCACCGCAGGGGAAGGAGGCAGGAAAGGGAAGAGCTGGAACAGGGAAGTTCAAGGTGCGGGAGAGAGAGGGAGGAGAGCAGGAATTTGGACATTGCATGGGGACATGGGGACACAAAAATGGCCCTGAACCACGTGTGACACATGGCATGGGGACATGGGGACACAAACATGGTCCTGAACCACGTGTGACACTGCATGGGGACAGAAATGTGGCCCTGAACCATGTGTGACACTTCATGGGGACATGGGGCCCTGAACCACATGTGACACATGGCATGGGGACATGGGGACACAAAAATGGTCCTGAACCACGTGTGACATAGCATGGGGACATGGGGACAGAAATGTGGCCCTGAACCACGTGTGACACATGGCACGAGGACATGGGGACACAAACACGGCCCTGAACCACGTGTGACACGGCATGGGGACAGAAATGTGGCCCTGAACCACGTGTGACACTGCATGGGGACAGAAATGTGGCCCTGAACCACGTGTGACACATGGCACGGGGACATGGGGACACAAACACAGCCCTGAACCACGTGTGACACGGCATGGGGACAGAAATGTGGCCCTGAACCACGTGTGACACTGCATGGGGACAGAAATGTGGCCCTGAACCACGTGTGACACATGGCACGGGGACATGGGGACACAAAAATGGTCCTGAACCACGTGTGACACATAGCATGGGGACATGGGGACACAAATGTGGCCCTGACCACATGTGACACATGGCATGGGGACATGGGGACAAGCAGAGCACAGTCAGAGGACAGCACCATGTGCCCCTTCCACCCCAGGACAGGTGACAGGGGTGACAGGGTGACACTTTTTGGGCACAAAGAATGCCATAACCTCACCCAGAGGTGACACAGTGACACTTTTTGGGCACAAAGGATGCCGTGACCTCACCCACAGGTGACAGGGTGACACTTTTTGGGCACAACGGATGCCATAACCTCATCCACAGAGTGAGTGTGACACTTTTGGGGCACTAAGAATGCCATAACCTCACCCACAGGTGACACAGTGACACTTTTTGGGCAGAAAGGATGCTGTAACCTCACTCAGAGGTGACAGTGACACTTTTTGGGGCACAAAGGATGCCATAACCTCACTCAGAGGTGACACAGTGACACTTTTGGGACACAAAGGATGCAGTGCCCTCATCCACAGAGTGAGGGTGACACTTTTTGTGCACAAAGGATGCCATAACCTCACCCACAGGTGACACAATGACACTTTTTGAACACAAAGGATGCTGTGCCCTCACCCAGAGGTGACACAGTGACACTTCTGGGGTGCCCCAGGGCCACACTCACCGCTGACATCCAGGTTGTACTTGGCCACCACGCTGCCCATGGAGCTGGTGGCCGTGCAGACGTAGGTGCCACTGTCACTCTTGTTGAGGAAGGGGAAGATGAGGACGCTGTCGGAGCTGAGCTGCAGCGGCGCCTCGCTGCCCTCCTTCTCCCACAGGAACTCCTGCGGGCTGAGCGCGGCCCGGGGTCAGCGGGGCTGGGGGTGGGCTTTGGGGTTTGGGGGGTGGGTTTTGGGGTTTGGGGGGCTGGTCCTTGGGGTTTGGGGGGTGGGTTTGGGGTTTGGGGGGCTCCTCTGGGGTTTGGGGGGTGGGCTTTGGGGTTTGGGCTTTGGGGGGTGGGCTTTGGGGGGGTGGTCTTTGGGGTTTGGGGGCCTGCTCCTTGGGGTTTCTGCTCCTTGGGGTTTGGGGGGTGGTCCTTGGGGTTTGGGGGGTGGGCTTTGGGGTTTGGGGGGTGGGCTTTGGGGTTTCTGCTCCTTGGGGTTTGGGGGGTGGTCTTTGGGGTTTTGGGTTTCTGCTCCTTGGGTTTAGGAGCAGGGGTTTAGGGTTTCTGATTCTTGGGGTTTGGGTTTCTGTTCCTTGGGGTTTTAGGGGTTCTGGTCTGATTCTTTGGTTTTTAGGGTTTCTGCTCCTTGGGGTTTGGGGTTTCTGCTCCTTGGGGTTTGGGGGTTCTGGTCCTTGGGGTTTGGGGTTTCTGCTCCTTGGGGTTTTAGGGGTTCTGGTCTGATTCTTTGGGTTTTAGGGTTTCTGTTCTGATTTCTTGGGGTTTTTGGGGTTTCTGTTCTAATTCCTTGGGGTTTTCAGGGTTTCTGTTCTGACTCCTCAGGGTTTTAGCGTTTCTGTTTTGATTCTTTGGGGGTTTCATTGTTTCTGTTCTGATTCCTTGGGGTTTCTGGGTTTCTGTTCTGATTCTTTGTGATTTTAGGGTTTCTGTTCTGATTCTTTGTGATTTTAGGGTTTCTGTTCTGTCTGCTCTCATGGAACCCCCCCGGGGGACAGGGACACCCCAAATCCACCCAGCCCCTCCTGGGGTGGGCTGTGGGGCCTGGCAGAGGGAGGGGAGGCCCTGAGGAGGAGGAGGAGGAGGAGGAGGGAGGGGAGGAAGGCCTTACATGGGGTTGCCCTGCCCGTCACACTGCAGCTGCAGCTTCTCCCCCTCGCGTGGGTACTGCGGGTGAGGCTCGATCTTCGCCGTGGGCTTGTCTGGAAAAGGGGGAGAGAACAGTGGGGTGAGGGCCTGGAACCCCAAATCCTGCACCTGGAACCCCAAATCCTGCACCTGGAACCCCAAATCCTGCACCTGGAACCCCAAACCCTGCACCTGGTACTCCAAATTCTGCCCTGGAACCACAAATCCTACACTGGCATCCCCAATCCTGCACCTGGAATCCCAAATCCTGCACCTGGAACCCCAAATCCTGCACCTGGCACCCCAAATCCTGTCCATGTCATCCCAAATCCTGCCCTGGCACCCCAAATCCTGCACCTGGTATCCCAAATCCTACACCTGGAACCCCAAATCCTGCACCTGGAACCCCAAATCCTGCACCTGGAACCCCAAATCCTCCACTGGAACCCCAAATCCTGCACCTGGTATCCCAAATCCTGGACCTGGAAGCCCAAATCTCGCCGCTGGCACCACAAATCCTGCACTTGGAAACCCAAATCCCGCCCCTGGAATCCCAAACCCAGCACCTGGCACACCAAATCCTCCCCTGGAACCTCAAATCCTACACCTGGAACCCCAAATCCTGCACCTGGAACCCCAAATCCTGCACCTGGAACCCCAAATCCTCCACTGGAACCCCAAATCCTGCACCTGGTATCCCAAATCCTGGACCTGGAAGCCCAAATCCCGCCCCTGGCACCACAAATCCTGCCCTGGCATCCCAAATCCTGCACCTGGAACCCCAAATAATGCCCTGACAAGAAGGATTTGGGGACAGGGGTGGGAAGTGGAGCAGGGACAAACTCCTGGAGATGGGGACAAGGATTTGGGGACAGGGGTGGGAAGAGGTGAAGGGACAAACCTCTGGAGATGGATTTGGGGACAGGATGAGGGAAGTGGAGCAGGGACAAAAGTCTGGAGATGGTGAGAAGGATTTGGGGACAAGGACGGGAAGAGGTGCAGGGATGAACCTGTGGGAGATGGGGACAAACAGGATTTGGGGCCAGGACCCGTGTGGGGTCTCCTGAAGGTCCAATGCCACCCCAAATGTCCCCTGGCACCTACAGTGGACCTGCAGCTTCTGCGTGGTGGACCTCTCGGAGTTCTGCAGGGACTCGTGGTCCACGGTGCAGGTGACCTCGACCTCGTTGTCCTCCTTGGTGACACGGAACTCCACCCGGCTGGTCACCGTGAAGGTTTTGCCGTTGGGGTCCTCCACCACCTCGGTGCCCGAGTCTGAGGGACAGGGGACAGCGGGGACAGAGGGGACAGCGGGGACATTGTTAATGCATTATTACTGCACAATAATTGCATTATAATTGTATTATTACTGCATTATTAATGTATTATTAATGCATTATATCTGCATAAGAAGTGCATTATAACTGTATTATTACTGCACTATTAATGCATTATCACTGCATTTTAATAATATTATTGCTGCATTATTAATGTATTATTACTGCAATATTAATGCATTATTACTGCATTATTAATGCATTATTACTGCATTTAAATTGTATTATTGCTGCATTATAATTGTATTATTACTGCATTATAATTGTATTATTGCTGCATTATAATTGTATTACTACTGCATTGTTAATGCATTATTACTGCATAATAATTGCATTATAATTGTATTATTACTGCATTATTAATGTATTATTAATGCATTATATCTGCATAAGAAGTGCATTATAACTGTATTATTACTGCACTATTAATGCATTATCACTGCATTTTAATAATATTATTGCTGCATTATTAATGTATTATTACTGCAATATTAATGCATTATTACTGCATTATTAATGCATTATTACTGCATTTAAATTGTATTATTGCTGCATTATAATTGTATTATTACTGCATTATAATTGTATTATTGCTGCATTATAATTGTATTACTACTGCATTGTTAATGCATTATTACTGCATAATAATTGCATTATAATTGTATTATTACTGCATTATTAATGCATTATTACCGCATAATAATTGCATTATAACTGTATTATTACTGCACTATTAATGCATTATAACTGCACTATTAATGCATTATTACTGTATTTTAATTGTATTATTACTGCATTATAATTGTATTATTGCTGCATTGTTAATACATTATTACTGCATAATAATTGCATTATAACTATTATTACTGCATTATTAATGTATTATTACTGCACTATTAATGCATTATAACTGTATTATTACTGCATTATAATTGTATTATTACTGCATTATATTTGTATTACAACTGTATTATAAATGCATTATATTATCTATATAATTACATTTATATTATATTATACTATATTATATAACACGGTATTATACTATATTAGATTACATTGTATTATACTACACTATATTATATTATGTTATTTTATATGATTATGTTATAATATCTTATGTTATGCTATAATATGTTATAATATATATTACGGTTTAATATAACAGTTATAATATATTATAATAAAATATATTATGTTATATTATATTGCTATATTATGTTATATTATGCTATATTATATTTTATTATGTTACATTCTATTACTTTATATTATATATTATAACAAATAATAGCAGTGCCACCCACCCCATGGTGACAATGCCACCCCACGGTGACAATGCCACCCATCCAATGGTGACAATGCCACCCACCCCACGGTGACAGTGCCACCTGTCCCATGGTGACAATGCCACCAATCCCACAGTGACAGTGCCACCCATGCCACGATGACAATGCCACCAATCCCACAGTGACAATGCCACCCCATGGTGACAATGCCATCCATTCTACAATGCCACCCACCCCATGGTGACAATGTCACCCCACGGTGACAGTGCCACCTGTCCCATGGTGACAATGCCGCCCATCTCACGGTGACAATGCCACCAATACCACAGTGACAATGCCACCCATCCCACAGCGACAATGCCACCCATCCCACAGCGACAATGCCACCCATCTCACGGTGACAATGCCACCAATACCACAGTGACAGTGCCACCCATCCCACAGCGACAATGCCACCCATCCCATGGTGACAATGCCACCCCACAGTGACAGTGCCACCTGTCCCATGGTGACAATGCCACTCATGCCATGGTGACAATGCCACCCCATGGTTACAATGCCACCCATCCACGGTGACAATGCCACCAATCCCACGATGACAATGCCACCCATCTCACAGTGACAGTGCCACCAGTCCCACGGTGACAATGCCACACATCCTATGGTGACAATGCCACCCATTCCACAATGCCACCCACCCCCATGGTGACAATGCCACCCCACGGTGACAATGCCACCCACCCCACGGTGACAATGCCACCAATCCCACGCTGACAGTGCCACGCATCCTATGGTGACAGTGCCACACATCCCATGGTGACAATGCCACCAATCCCACAGCGACAATGCCACCCATCCCACGCTGACAATGCCACACATCCCATGGTGACAGTGCCGCCAATCCCACGGTGACAATGCCACCCATCCCATGGCAACAACACCGCCCATCCCACAATGAAAGTGCCACCCCATGGCAAAAATCCCACCCCACAGCGACAATGCCACCCTGGTGACAGTGCCACCCTGGTGACAGTGCCACCCCACACCCTGGTGACAATGCCACCCCGGTGACAGTGCCACCCCGGTGACAGTGCCACCCTGGTGCCAGTGGCACCCACCCTTGATGTCGCGGTTGCCCTTCCTCCAGCGCAGCTGCGCCGCGGGTTTGCTGCCGGAGGAGCGGCACAGCAGCCGCGCCACCTTCTCCTCGTCGATGGGCTGCTCGTGCCCGAAGATCTGCGGCTTCTGCGGGATCCCTGCAGGGGGAAAGGGAAAAAAACCCCAAATGTGGCACAGGAGGGGGCAGTGCCACCCCGAAATGGGGCACGGGCACCGGGATGGCATCTGGGAGGGGCTGAAATCCTGTCCCGGTAGCTGAAATCCTGGCCTGGTATCACAAATCCACCCCAAATCCTGGCCTGGGATCACAAATCCACCCCAAATCCTGTCCTGGTATCACAAATCTACCCCAAATCCTGCCCTGGTATCCCAAATCCTGCCCCTGGTACTCCAAATCTTGCCCCTGGAACCCCAAATCCACCCCAAATCCTGCCCTGGTATCACAAATCCACCCCAAATCCTGGCCTGGTATCACAAATCCACCCCAAATCCTGGCCTGGTATCACAAATCCACCCTAAATCCTGTCCTGGTATCACAAATCCATCCCAAATCCTGCCCCTGGTACTCCAAATCCTGCCCCTGGTACTCCAAATCCTGCCCCTGGCACTCCAAATCCTGCCCCTGGAACCCCAAATCCACCCCAAATCCTGCCCTGGTATCACAAATCCACCCCAAATCCTGTCCTGGTCTATCAAATCCTGCCCTGGCATCCCAAATCCTGCCCTGGCATCCCAAACCCTGCCCCTGGAACCCCAAATCCTGCCCCTGGCACTCCAAACCCTGCCCCTGGCATCCCAAATCCTGCCCCTGGAACCCCAAACCCTGCCCCTGGTACTCCAAATCCTGCACCTGGAACCCCAAATCCACCCCAAATCCTGCCCTGGCATCCCAAATGCTGCCCCTGGCATCCCAAATCCTGACTTGGCATCCCAAATCCAGCCCTTGGAACCACAAATCCTGCCCCTGGCACTGGGAAATCTTCCAGCCAGGCTGTCCCAACCTGAATTTTAGGGCACAGAGGACAATCCTTCACCCAGGCTGTCCCAATCTGAATTTTAAACACAATCTGAATTTTAAGCACAGATTTTTTAAGGAAATCTTCCAGCCAGGCTGTCCCAATATGAATTTTAGGGCACAGGGGGCAATCTTTCACCCAGGCTGTCCCAATCTGGATTTTAGGGCACAGAGGACAATCCTTCACCCAGGCTGTCCCAATCTGAATTTTAAACACAATCTGAATTTTAAGCACAGATTTTTTAAGGAAATCTTCCAGCCAGGCTGTCCCAACATGAATTTTAGGGCACAGAGGGCAATCCTTCACCCAGGCTGTCCCAATCTGGACTTTAGGAACAGTGAGACATCTTTTAACAAGAGTGGCACAATCTGGATTTTAGGGACAATCTGGATATTAGGAACAGGGGGCAATCCTTCACCCAGGCTGTCCCAATCTGAATTTTAGGGCACAAAGGACAATCCTTCCCCCAGGTTGGCACAATCTGAATTTTAAACACAATCTGAATTTTAAGCACAGATTTTTTTAAGGAAATCTTCCACCCAGGCTATCCCAATCTGGATTTTAGGGCACAAAGGACAATCTTTCACCCAGGCTGGCACAATAATTTTAGGAACAAAGGGCAGTCCTTCAGCCAGGCTGTCCCAATCTGAATTTTAGGGCACAGAGAGAAATCTTTCACCCAGGTTGTCCTAATCTGGATTTTAGGGCACAGAGGGCAATCCTTCACCCAGACTGGCACAATCTGAATTTTAAGCACAATCTGAATTTTAAGCACAGATTTTTTAAGGAAATCTTCCAGCCAGGCTGTCCCAACATGAATTTTAGGGAACAGAGGACAATCCTTCACCCAGGCTGTCCCAATCTGGACTTTAGGAACAGTGGACAATCTTTTAACAAGAATGCCACAATCTGGATTTTAGGGAAAACCTGGACTTTAGGGACAGTGGAAAATCCTTTAGCAAGGGTGGCACAATCTGAATTTTAGGGCACAGAGGGCAATTCTTTCACCCAGGCTGTCCCAATCTGAATTTTAGGGCACAGAAGACAATCTTTCACCCAGGTTGGCACAATCTGAATTTTAAGCACAATCTGAATTTTAAGCACAGATTTTTTAAGGAAATCTTCCAGCCAGGCTGTCCCAACATGAATTTTAGGGCACAGAGGACAATCCTTCACCCAGGCTGTCCCAACATGAATTTTAGGGCACAAAGGGCAATTCTTTCACCCAGGCTGTCCCAATCTGGACTTTAGGAACAGTGGACAATCTTTTAACAAGAATGCCACAATCTGGATTTTAGGGACAATCTGAATTTTAGGAACAGGGGGCAATTCTTTCACCCAGGCTGGCACAATCTGAATTTTAAGCACAATCTGAATTTTAAGCACAGATTTTTTAAGGAAATCTTTCAGCCAGGCTGTCCCAATCTGGATTTTAGGGCACAGAGGGCAATTCTTTCACCCAGGCTGTCCCAATCTGAATTTTAGGGCACAGAGGGCAATTCTTTCACCCAGGCTGTCCCAATCTGAATTTTAAGCACAGTGAGAAATGTTTCACCCAGGCTGTCCCAATCTGGATTTTAGGGCACAGAGGGCAATCCTTCACCCAGGCTGTCCCAATCTGAATTTTAAGCACAACCTGAATTTTAAGCACAGATTTTTTAAGGAAATCTTCCAGCCAGGCTGTCCCAGTATGAATTTTAGGGCACAGAGGACAATTCTTCAGCCAGGCTGTCCCAATCTGGATTTTAGGGCACAGAGGGCAACCTTCCAGCCAGGCTGGCACAATATGAATTTTAGGAACAGTGGACAATCTTTTAACAAGAGTGGCACAATCTGGATTTTAGGGAAAACCTGGACTTTAGGGACAGTGGAAAATCCTTTAGCAAGGGTGGCACAATATGAATTTTAGGGCACAGAGGACAATCCTTCACCCAGGCTGTCCCAATCTGGATTTTAGGGCACAAAGGGCAATTCTTTCAGCCAGGCTGTCCCAATCTGGATTTTAGGGCACAGAGGACAATCCTTCACCCAGGCTGGCACAATCTGAATTTTAAGCACAATCTGAATTTTAAGCACAGATTTTTTTCAGGAAATCTCCCAGCCAGGCTGTCCCAATCTGAATTTTAGGGCACAGAGGGCAATCCTTCACCTAGGCTGTCCCAATCTGGATTTTAGGGCACAGAGGACAATCTCTCACCCAGGTTGGCACAATAATTTTAGGGCACAGAGGGCAATCCTTCACCCAGGCTGTCCCAGTCTGGATTTTAGGGCACAGAGGACAATCCTTCACCCAGGCTGTCCCAGTCTGAATTTTAAGCACAATCTGAATTTTAAGCACAGATTTTTTAAGGAAATCCTTCAGCCAGGCTGCCACAATCTGAATTTTAGGGCACAGAGGACAATCCTTCACCCAGGCTGTCCCAATCTGAATTTTAGGGCACAGAGGACAATCTTTCACCCAGGCTGTCCCAATCTGGATTTTAGGAACAGTGAGAAATCTTTTAGCAAGAGTGGCACAATCTGAATTTTAGGGCACAGAGGACAATCCTTCACCCAGGCTGTCCCAATCTGAATTTTAAGCACAATCTGAATTTTAAGCATAGATTTTTTTAAGGAAATCTTCCAGCCAGGCTGTCCCAATATGAATTTTAGGGCACAGAGGGAAATCCTTCACCCAGGCTGTCCCAATATGAATTTTAGGAACAGTGGACAATCTTTTAACAAGAGTGGCACGATCTGGATTTTAGGGACAATCTGGATTTTAGGAACAGGGGGCAATTCTTTCACCCAGGCTGTCCCAATCTGAATTTTAGGGCACAGAGGACAATCTTTCACCCAGGCTGTCCCAATCTGGATTTTAGGGCACAAAGGGCAATTCCTTCACCCAGGCTGGCACAATCTGAATTTTAAGAACAATCTGAATTTTAAGCACAGATTTTTTAAGGAAATCTTCCAGCCAGGCTGTCCCAATCTGGATTTTAGGACACAGAGGGCAATCCTTCACCCAGGTTGGCACAATAATTTTAGGGCACAGAGGGCAATCCTTCACCCAGGCTGTCCCAATCTGGATTTTAGGGCACAGAGGACAATCCTTCACCCAGACTGGCACAATCTGAATTTTAAGCACAATCTGAATTTTAAGCACAGATTTTTTAAGGAAATCTTTCAGCCAGGCTGTCACAACCTGAATTTTAGGGCACAAAGGGCATTCTTTCACCCAGCCTGGCACAGCCGAGGGCCGTGCCCGTGTCGTACCCAGCACGGTGACCAGGGCCTTGGCAGTCCTGACGGGCATGGTGAAGATGGAGCAGGTGTACTCGCCCTCGTCCGCCAGCACCACGTCGCTGATGCTGATGGTCAGTTCGTTGGGGGTGGATCTCTCCAGCTGGATCCGGTTATCCCGCAGGGCTGGGGGCGAAAATAAAGGATAATAGAGTGAAAAAAAAAGGGAAAAAAAAAAAGAAAAAAAATGAAAAAACAAGGGAAAAAAAAGATGGAAAAAAAAAAGAAAAATGAAAAAACAAGGGAAAAAAAAAGACGAAAAAAAAAAAAAAAGAAAAAACAAGGGGAAAAAAAAAAAAAAAGACCGGAAAAAAACCCCAAATAATACCGGAAAAAGACCGGGAAAAGGCCCGAAAAAGGCCTGAAAAACCAGGGGAAAAAACAGGAGGAAAAAACAGGAGGAAGAAACAGGAGGAAGAAACAGGAGGAAGAAACAGGAGGAAGAAACAGGAGGAAGAAACAGGAGGAAGAAATAGGAGGAAAAAACAGGAGGAAAAAACAGGGGGGAAAAAAAAAAGGGAAAAAAAAAGAGGGAAAAAAAAAAAGGGGGGAAAAAAAACAGGGGGAAATAAAGGGGGGAAAAAAAACAGGAGGAAAACCAAGGGAAAAAAACAGGGAAAAAAACCAGAAAAAAAAACAGGGAAAAAAACCAGGGAAAAAAAAAAACACAGGGAAAAAAAAAACAGGAAAAAAAAAAAAACGAGGAAAAAAAAACAGGGGAAAAAAAACCAGGGGAAAAACAGGAAAAAAAAACCCAGAAAAAAAAAAAAAACAGGGAAAAGAAAGAAAGGGAAAAGAAATTGTGACTTTATCTCCTTTTTCCCCAACTGTGGAATTTTACCTCAAATTAGGATTTTATCTTGTTTTTTCCCCAGCTATGCGGTTTACCTTAAATTGGGATTTTTACCTCGAATTGGGATTTTACCTCTTTTTTCCTCAACTATGGAATTCTACCACAAACTGGAATTTTACTTTTTTTTTTTTTTTCCCCAACTGTGGGATTTCACCTCAAACTGTGATTCCACCTTTTTCCCCACCTATGGAATTTTACCACAAACTAGAATTTTACTTCTTTTTTCCCCCAATTTTGGGATTTTACCTCTTTTTTCCCCGAAATACAGGGTCTGCTGGGCAGGGTTGGACCATTGCAGGGAGGAATCGTCGGGATCTTCCACCTGGCACTTGAGCACCACCGTGCCCCCGGCCACCACGGTCTCATCTGACGTCGTGGGCTGGCTCTCTGCACAAAAAAATGAAATTATTGTCCCCAAAATGTGCCCTCTGCAGAAAAAAATTGAATTATTGGCCCCAAAATGTGTCCTCTGCACAAAAAAATGGAATTATTGGCCCCAAAATGTGTCCTCTGCACAAAAAAATTGAATTATTGGCCCCAAAATGTGCTCTCTGCACAAAAAAATGAAATTATTGGCCCCAAACGGTTCCCTCTGCACAAAAAAATGGAATTATTGAAACCCTCAGTGTCCCCAAAATGTGCTCTCTGCACAAAAAATGGAATTATTGTCCCCAAAATGTGCCCTCTGCACAAAAAAATTAAATTATTGTCCCCAAAATGTGTTCTCTGCATGTGGAAACTGGGATTAAAACCATTCCCAGAGAAGCCTCAAATTTGGGATTTAAACCATTTCCAGAGAAGCCTCAAATCTGGAATTAAAATAAATTCCAGAGAAGCCTCAAATTTGCAATTTAAACCCTTTCCAGAGAAGCCCCAAAATGGGATTAAAACCATTCCCAGAGAAGCCTCAAATTTGGGATTAAAACCGTTTCAAGAAAAAACCCAAATTTGGGAATTTTTTTTTCAAAATTTCCTGAGAAGCCTCAAACTGGGATTTAAAACATTCCCAGAGAAGCCTCAAATTTGGGATAAAAAACCATTTCCAGAGAAGCCTCAAATTTGGGATAAAAAAACCATTTCCAGAGAAGTCACTTGCTGTCCCCAGCCAGAAATTACTGTCCCCAAAAAGCAGGGACTGTCCCCAACCTGAAATTACTGTCCCCATCCTGTAACGAGTGTCCCCAACGAGTGTCCCCATCTAGAAATGACCGTCCCAATCCAGCAGGAACTGTCCCCATCCCCATTTCCCCCCTTTCCCAAAAAACATTTCTCATTTCCCTCCTTCTCTCCCTAAAACCCCTTCTCATTTCCCTCCTTCTTTCCCAAAATTTCCCTCCTTCTTTCCCAAAAAAAACCCTCTCATTTCCCTCTTTTCCCAAAAAACATTCCTCATTTCCCTCCTTCTTTCCCAAAATTTCCCTCCTTCTTTCCTAAAAATCCCTTCTCATTTCCCTCCTTCTTTCCTAAAAAAACCCTTTTCATTTCCCTCCTTCTTTCCCAAAATTTCCCTCCTTCTTTCCCTAAAAACCCTTCTCATTTCCCTCCTTTTCCAAAAAACTTTTCTCATTTCCCTCCTTCTTTCCTAAAAACCATTTCTCATTTTCCTCCTTCTCTCCCAAAAAACCCTTTTCATTTCCCTCCTTCTTTCCCAAAATTTCCCTCCTTCTTTCCCAAAAAAAAAAAACCCTCTCATTTCCCTCCTTCTTTCCCAAAAAAACCCCTCTCATTTCCCTCCTTCTCTCCCAAAAACCCCTTTTCATTTCCCTCCTTCTTTCCCAAAATTTCCCTCCTTCTTTCCCAAAAAAACCCTCCTCATTTCCCTCCTTTTTTCCCAAAATTTCCCTCCTTCTCTCCCAAAAAAAAAACTCATTTCCCTCCTTCTTTCAGCATCACAAAGCTCCAATTCATCCCTTTGGGCACAGATGTTTTTCCAAAGCTCCTTTTTCTTTTTATGTCCCAGGAATTCCCTCCTCAGCTCCATCCCCACTTTTCCCTGCAGGAATCGGTGGGAATTTTAAACTCACGGATCGGGAAACCTCCGACATCTGCTGTGCACATCCTTTTTTTAATTTTTATTTTATTTTTTTTTGCAGGGTGTGAATCCACAATCTGGAACACCCAGAACTCAAATTTCCAGGCAGATGAGCAGCTTCCAGATTTCCCAGGAGAGGGAAACCTGCTCCTTTTTTTGGGTGCTGTGACATCTCATCCCTCTAGGAACTCCTACAATTCCAAGGTTGGTTCCTTCCTCAATCCAGTGACACCCAAATATCCCCAAAAATGCAGATCCAGGCAGGGAGAAGATGCTGGAGCAGCCTCGGAGTGAAAAGTGGAGTGGGAAGGATCCAACTGATCCAGGACAAGGCTCCAAGTGGATTTAATTAAATGCTGTGTTCTCTTTGGGGTCAGAAAATTGAAATTTTCAGTGTTTAGGACTCCAAAAATCATCCCTGTGTGTGTGAGGTACGGGCAGGACGCAGGAAATGCAGAATTTTGGGAGTTTCTGTTCTCCTAACGGGGATAAATCCACCCAAAAACTCCACTGGTGCCTCAATTTCCTACTGGCAGCTCCCACCTTTTGCACCTCCAGCCCCCACAGCCACTCCCTCCCTCCCACACTGGCACAGGAAGGGAAAATATTCCCTAAAAGTGGGAAATATTTGAGGAATATTCAGGAATATGCAGCCCTGAGGGTGCTTGGCTCTGCCAGGGGCAGGGGGGATGGGAGATCCAGAGGTTCAGGGGGGATCCAGATGTTCCAGCAGGGTGGGATCCCCCTCCCTGTGACCTTCCAAATGAAATATTCTCACCCCAAACCCCAAATTCCAGAGGAATTCCCTGTAAATGAGCATTTCTGGGAAGGGGAACAGCAAGAGGATGCAGCTTCCCACATGAATATTATCACCCTAAATCCCAAATTTCCGATTTTAAATGAGCATTCCCTGATTCCAGGGGCCTCACACCTTCCCACATGAAATATTCTCATCCTAAATCCCAAATTCCAGAAGAATTCTCTGTAAATCAGCATTTCTGGGAAGGGGAACAGCCAGAGGATGAAACTTCTCGCCCCAAATCCCAAATTCCAGAGGAATTCCCTGTAAATGAACATTCCTGGGAAGGGGAACAGCAAGAGGATGAAGCTTCTCGCCCCAAACCCCAAATTCCAGAGGAATTCCCTGTAAATCAGCATTCCCTGATTCCAGGGGCCTGACACCTTCCTACATAAAATATTCTCAGCCTAAACCCCAAATTCCAGAGGAATTCCCTGTAAATGAGCATTTCTGGGAATGAAAACAGCAAGAGGACGCTTCCCACATGAATATTATCACCCTAAATCCCAAATTCCCAATTTTAAATGAGCATTCCCTGATTCCAGGAGCCTGACACCTTCCCACATGAAATGTCCTCACCCCAAACCCCAAATTCCAAATTGTAAATGAGAATTCCCTGATTCCAGGGGCTTCACACCTTCCCAAATTAAATATTCTCACCCTAAATCCCAAATTCCAGAGGAATTCCCTGTAAATGAGCATTCCTGGGAAAGGGAAAAGCCAGAGGACGCTTCTCACATGAAATATTCTCAGCCTAAATCCCAAAGTCCAGAAGAATTCCCTGTAAATCAGCATTTCTGGGAAGGGAAACAGCAAGAGGACGCTTCTCACATGAAATATCTTCACCCTAAATCCCAAATTCCAGAGGAATTCCCTATAAATGAGCATTTCTGGGAAGGGGAAAAGCCAGAGGATGCTTCTCACATGAAATATTACCACCCTAAATCACAAATTCCCAATTTTAAATGAGCATTCCCTGATTCCAGGGGTCTGACACCTTCCCAAATGAAATATTCTCACCCTAAATCCCAAATTCCAGAGGAATTCCCTGTAAATGAGCATTTCTGGGAAGGGGAACAGCAAGAGGACGCTTCCCACATGAATATTATCACCCTAAATCCCAAATTCCCAATTTTAAATGAGCATTCCCTGATTCCAGGGGCCTCACACTTTCCCACATGAAATATCCTCACCCCAAACCCCAAATTCCAGAGGAATTCCCTGTAAATGAACATTCCTGGGAAGGGGAAAAGCCAGAGGACGCTTCTCACATGAAATATTCTCATCCTAAATCCCAAATTCCACAGGAATTCCCTATAAATGAACATTCCTGGGAAGGGGAACAGCAAGAGGACGCTTCCCACATGAATATTATCACCCTAAATCCCAAATTCCCAATTTTAAATGAGCATTCCCTGATTCCAAGGGCTTCACACCTTCCCAAATTAAATATTCTCACCCCAAACCCCAAATTCCAAATTGTAAATGAGAATTCCCTGAATCCAGGGGCTTCACACCTTCCCAAATTAAATATTCTCACCCTAAATCCCAAATTCCAGAGGAATTCCCTGTAAATGAACATTCCTGGGAAGGGGAACAGCAAGAGGATGCTTCCCACATGAAATATTCCCACCCCAAACCCCAAATTCCAGAGGAATTCCCTGTAAATGAGCATTTCTGGAAAGGGGAAAAGCCAGAGGATGCTTCTCACATGAAATATTCTCAGCCTAAACCCCAAATTCCAGAAGAATTCCCTATAAATGAGCATTTCTGGGAATGGGAAAAGCCAGAGGATGCTTCTCACACAAAATATCCTCACCCCAAACCCCAAATTCCAGAGGAATTCCCTGTAAATGAACATTCCTGGGAAGGGGAAAAGCCAGAGGACACTTCCCACATGAAATATTCCCACCCCAAACCCCAAATTCCAGAGGATTTCCCTGTAAATCAGCATTCCCTGACTCCAGGGAGCCACAAACCAGCTGCTCACACCCTGATCTCTGAGGGGGGGGGCAGAACACAGGAAAAAAAAAAACCCAAAATTCTGAACCACCCCAAATCCCCCAAGCTTGTCACACACAAAAAAAAGGAGAAAATTCCCCCAAAACTTGGGGGCGCAGGGGGTGACCCCGGTGCCAGCACCCTCCTCCTCTCAGGAGCTGAAAATTCCGATTTTTGAGTGGGTTTTTAGCTCCTACCCTAAGGCCAATTCCAACATGACTGTTGCCAAGGGAACGAGCTCCCTGCTTTTTTTTTTTTTTTGACAATTCTGTTTTTAAGGATCTCCCTGCCCAAATGACAAAAAAAAGGGTTTGGTGGCCCCAAAGCCACCCCAAACCTGATGTCCTGAGCTGTTGTCACCCCCCAAAAGTGCTCCAGGATGAGGTTGTGGGAGAGGATTTTTATTTTTAAATAAAATTCAGGCATGGGGAAGCTTTGGCAGCTCTGCTCCTCTCCTGCCAACGCCTCCTTCATGACCTGCCTAAAATAAAATTGTGGAATGGTCAGAGTGGAAAAGGATCCACAGATACCCCAAAAATCCCAGCTCGTGCCTGGGAATGTTGTCCAAATTCTCCTGGAGCTCCAGCAGCTTTGGGAATGGGATAATTCCCTGAGGAGCTTCCTCAGAGCTTCACCACCCTCTGGGGAAAGATGGATTTTCCCAAATATCCAACCTCAACCTGCCCTGAGACAACTCCAGCCAGTCCAGCAGGTCCTGGAGACTCCCCACATCTCAAAGCACATCCCAAAACTCTGGAACACCTCCAAAACACATCCCAGCTCTGGAACATCTCCCCAGGCTGTCTGTGGACACCCAGACAGTCCAAAGCACATCCCAAAACTCTGGAACATCTCCCCAAGGTGTGGGGGGACACCCAGACAGCCCAAAGCACATCCCAAAACTCTGGAACACCTCCAAAACACGTCCCAGCTCTAGAACATCTCCCCAGGCTTTGTGTGGACACCCAGAAAGCCCAAAGCACATCCCAAAACTCTGGAACATCTTCCTGGGGTCTGTGGGGACACCAGTGCAGACACCTCAAAGCAAATCCCAGCTCTGGAACATCTCCCCAGGGTGTTTGGGGACACCCAGACAGCCCAAAGCACATCCCAAAACTCTGGAACATCTCCCCGGGGTGTGTGGGGGTCCAGCTGATACCCCAAAGCACATCCCAAAACTGTGGAACATCTCTCCAGGGTGTGTGTGGGTCCAGTGCAGGCAGCCCAGAGCAAATCCCAGCTCTGGAACATCTCCCTGGGGTGTCTATGGACACCCAGACAGCCCAAAGCACATCCCAAAACTCTGGAACATCTCCCCAGGGTGTGTGTGGACACCAGTGCAGACACCTCAAAGCACATCCCAAAACTCTGGAAACATCTCCCCAGGGTGTGTGTGGACACCCAGACAGCCCAAAGCACATCCCAAAACTCTGGAACACCTCCAAAACACATCCCAGCTCTGGAACATCTCCCCAGGGTGTGTGTGGACACCAAAGCAGACAGGCCAAAGCAAATCCCAAAACTCTGGAAACATCTCCCTAGGGTGTGTGTGGACACCAGTTCAGAAACCTCAAAGCACATCCCAAAACTCTGGAACATCTCCAAAACATGTCCCAGCTCTGTGGACACCAAAGCAGACAGCCCAAAGCACATCCCAAAACTCTGGAACATCTCCCCAAGGTGTGTGTGGACACCAGTGCAGACACCCCAAAGCAAATCCCAACTCTGGAACATCTCCAAAGCACATCCCAAAACTCTGGAAACATCTCCCCAGGGTGTGTGTGGGTCCAGTGCAGACACCTCAAAGCAAATCCCAAAACTCTGGAACATCTCCCTGGGGTCTGTGGGGACACCAATGCAGACACGCCAAAGCACATCCCAAAACTCTGGAAACATCTCCCCAGGGTGTGTGGGTCCAGTGCAGACATCCCAAAGCAACTCTGGAACATCTCCAAAGCACGTCCCAGCTCTGGAACATCTCCAAAGCACATCCCAAAACTCTGGAACATCTCCCCAAGGTGTGTGGGGACACCCAGAAAGCCCAAAGCACATCCCAAAACTCTGGAACATCTCTCCAGAGTGTGTGTGGGTCCAGTGCAGACACCCCAAAGCAAATCCCAACTCTGGAACATCTCCAAAGCAAATCCCAACTCTGGAACATCTCCCCAAGGTGTGTGGGGGTCCAGCTCTGGACACCAGTGCAGACACCCCAAAGCACATCCCAGCTCTGAAACATCTCCAAAGCACATCCCAGCTCTGGAAGATCTCCCCAGGGTGTGTGTGGACACCCAGACAGCCCAAAGCACATCCCAAAACTGTGGAACATCTCTCCAGAGTGTGTGTGGGTCCAGTGCAGACACCCCAAAGCACATCCCAAAACTCTGGAACATCTCCCCAAGGTGTGGGGGGACACCCAGAAAGCCCAAAGCAAATCCCAACTCTGGAACATCTCCCTGGGGTGTCTATGGACACCCAGACACCCCAAAGCACATCCCAAAACTCTGGAACATCTCCCTGGGGTGTCTATGGACAGCCACACAGCCCAAAGCACAACCCAAAACTCTGGAAACATCTCCCCGGGGTGTTTGGGGACACCAGTGCAGACACCTCAAAGCACATCCCAAAACTCTGGAACATCTCCCCAAGCTGTCTGTGGACACCAGTGCAGACACCCCAAAGCAAATCCCAACTCTAGAACATCTCCCCAGGCTGTCTGTGGACACCAAAGCAGACAGCCCAAAGCAAATCCCAACCCTGTAACATCTCCAAAGCACATCCCAAAATTCTGGAACATCTCCCCAGGCTGTCTGTGGACACCAGTGCAGACACCTCAAAGCAAATCCCAACTCAAACTGAAAAATTGCTTTTAGGGACATAAAACAATCGTGGGCCTCCTCTGCTCTGAAACCAACTGAAGACAAGAATGGGAGTCCTACCAAGAGTTCATTTGTCATATTGGCTGTGAAAAGGTAGAAAGGTCAGAAGGAGGAAGACTTCATTGAGAGGAGATTTTTGGGAGGGGGGGAGGGATGGAGAATCGCAGCCCCTCGCAGGTGGGTGGAGGAGTTGGGGCATCAGAGAGGGTCACAGCCAGCCTGGCATCACCACCTGATGAAGACTCTGCTGGTTTCTACACGATGAAGACTCTGCTGGTCTCCACACGATGAAGACTCTGCTGGTCTCCACACGATGAAGACTCTGCTGGTCTCCACACGATGAAGACTCTGCTGGTCTCCACACGATGAAGACTCTGCTGGTTTCTACTTGATGAAGACTGTGCTGGTCTCCACATGATGAAGACTCTGGTGGTCTCCATCCAATGAAGACTCTGCTGGTCCCCACCCGACGAAGACTCTGCTGGTCCCCACCCGACGAAGACTCTTCAGGTTTCTACTTGATGAAGGCTCTGCTGGCCATGAGCAGAGTGGCCAGAACTGGACCAGATGGTTCAAGCTGAGCTGCCCCAGTAACTGGGAGGAGGAGGAGGAGAAGGAGCAGATCCATCTGACTGTGGAGGATGAAGAATTGCAGCCCCTTGCAGGTGGGTGGAGGAGTTGGGGCACCAGAGAGGGTCACAGCCAGCCTGGCATCACCACCTGATGAAGGCTCTGCTGGTCCCCACCCGATGAAGGCTCTGCTGGTCCCCACCCGATGAAGGCTCTGCTGGTCTCCACATGATGAAGACTCTGCTGGTCCCCACCCGATGAAGACTCTGCTGGTCTCCACACGATGAAGGCTCTGCTGGTCACGAGCAGAGTGGCCAGAACTGGACCAGATGGTTCAAGCTGAGCTGCCCCAGTAACTGGGAGGAGAAGGAGGAGGAGGAGGAGCAGATCCATCTGACTGTGGGGGTGTCACAGAGCTGGCAGCACCTTCCAGGCCAGCACACGTCAGGCACGGGGAGAAGAAACAGCATCTTGCAGGCAGGAGAGCTGCCAGGCAGGAAATCCTGGGCAAAAAGGGCTTTTTTCCCCTTTTTTTTCCCTCCAGAGGAGGGTGGGTATCCACACCTGGGGATGCTCCGGCAGCATCACCCCATTCCTTTGGGATTTCTCCTCTGCAAACAGCACCAACAGAGGTTTTGGCCGTGCCAAACCCCACGGTGTTGCCAGGCCAGAGGCAGAATTCCTGTCCTGGCAGCGATGCCAACACATCCCTCACCGTCTGGGCACCTCTGCAGAGCCTGATCCCGGGGCTTTGGCCTCAAATCCAGCCTAAGAGCCGAGGGGAGGATTCCGTGGGATGCTCTGCTCCCTCCCCTTTGCCTGAGCGCTGATCCCAGAGCTGGAACAGCTCCTTTCCTCCAGGCAGCTGATCCAAGTCATCCAAAATCAGGCCAAGCAGGTAGTGAGTGATGCAGAGAGGTCGCCCTCCTTCTTTTTCGTGCTTCCTGAGCTCCAGAGCCAAGGGCTGCTGCTGGCACGGGCACTGGGAGCATATGGAGAGCCCTAATGGCACTGGGAACGGGGCCCTCACACGGATCCCTTGGAGGAAAAGCACCAAAAAAATCACCAAGCAAAGAATTCTGCTGCTCCAGACAACATCAGCCTCCCACCACGCCCCTGGGATCTCCCACCTTCCAGCAGGACACGCAGATGGCACCTTCTTGGAGGTTGGGGGTGGGAAAAGCCTCGTGGAACCCCATCCCACATGGGCAGGGCAGCAGGGCATCATCTCCTCAGGTCACAGGAGCTTCTCTGGGTGGCCTGGCCAAGCAGAAAGCTCCAGAAATAAAAAATCACCCTGCAGGACACAGATAATGTCCTGAAAGTGGTTCATCTCAGCAGGCTGAGGACATCTCCCCATGTCCTCCAGTGCTCCAAGGAAAAAAACTGCCCCAAGTGATCTGGTGGCCTCCCAGGGCATTGTCCAAAAAATGGGTTTGGACCTGTAAATGTCACCTGGGCATGACAAAAAAGCCATCCCACATGGACAGGGCATCTCCTCAGGCCACAGGAGCTTCTCTGTGTGGCCTGGCCAAGCAGAAAGCTCCAGAAATAAAAAAATCACCCTGCAGGACAGGGACATCACCCTGAACATGTCCTCCAGTGCCCCAGGGAAAAAAAAAACCCAAAAAAACAGCCCCAAACGATCTGGCTTTGGCCCCATGGTGGCCTCCCAGGGCATTGTCCAAAAAAAGGGTTTGGACCTGTAGATGTCACCTGGGCATGACAAAAACCCATCCCACATGGGCAGGGCATCTCCTCGGGTCACAGGAGCTTCTCTGGGTGGCCTGGCCAAGCAGAAAGCTCCAGAAATAAAAAATCACCCTGCAGGACACAGTAAATGTCCTGAAACTGGTTCATGTCAGCAGGCTGAGGACATCTCCCCCAAGGTAAAAACCAGTCCTAAGTAATCCCAGGATATTGTTCAAAAAAAAGGGTTTGGACCTGAAGATGTCACCTGGGCATGACAAAAACCCCATCCCACATGGGCAGGGCAGGTTGGGAGGCAGCAGGGCATCATCTCCTCGGGTCACAGGAGCTTCCAGGGGTGGCCTGGCCAAGCAGAAAGCTCCAGAAATAAAAAAATCACCCTGGAGGACACAGTAAATGTCCTGAAGCTGCCTCATCTCAGCAGGCTGAGGACATCTCCCCCAAGGTAAAAACCAGTCCTAAGTAATCCCAGGGTATTGTCCAAAAAAAGGGTTTGGACCTGTAAATGTCACCTGGGCATGACAAAAACCCCATCCCACATGGGCAGGGCATCATCTCCTCAGGCCACAGGAGTTTCCATGGGTGGCCTGGCCAAGCAGAAAGCTCCAGAAATAAAAAATCACCCTGCAGGACACAGTAAATGTCCTGAAACTGGTTCATCTCAGCAGGCTGAGGACATCTCCCCATGTCCTCCAATGCCCCAAGGAAAAAAACTGCCCCAAGTGATCTGGTGGCCTCCCAGGGCATTGTCCAAAAAATGGGTTTGGACCTGAAGATGTCACCTGGGCATGACAAAAATGCCATCCCACATGGGCAGGGCAGGTTGGGAGGCAGCAGGGCATCATCTCCTCGGGTCACAGGAGCTTCCATGGGTGGCCTGGCCAAGCAGAAAGCTCCAGAAATAAAAAATCACCCTGCAGGACACAGTAAATGTCCTGAAAGTGGTTCATCTCAGCAGGCTGAGGACATCTCCCCATGTCTTCCAGTGCTCCAAGGTAAAAACCAGTCCTAAGTAATCCCAGGATATTGTCCAAAAAAAAGGGTTTGGACCTGTAGATGTCACCTGGGCATGACAAAAGCCCCATCCCACATGGGCAGGGCAGCAGGGCATCATCTCCTCGGGTCACAGGAGGTTCTATGGGTGGCCTGACCAAGCAGAAAGCTCCAGAAATAAAAAATCACCCTGCAGGACACAGTAAATGTCCTGAAGCTGCTTCATCTCAGCAGGCTGAGGACATCTCCCCATGTCCTCCAGTGCCCCAAGGAAAAAAACTGCCCCAAGTGATCTGGTGGCCTCTCAGGGCACTGTCAAAAAAAGGGTTTGGACCTGTAAATGTCACCTGGGCATGACAAAAAACCCATCCCACATGGGCAGGGCATCTCCTCAGGCCACAGGAGCTTCCATGGGTGGCCTGGCCAAGCAGAAAACTCCAGAAAAAAAAAAAACCAAAACAAAACAGCCCCAACCGATCTGATTTTGGCCTCCCAGGGCACTGTCCAAACAAAAGGGTTACACAACTCCCGAGTGGAATAACCCCGCCGAGAGAAAATGATCCTCACACAAGGACAACCACGCACAGCCCAAACAGCCGAATGTGCCGACAGCAGCACAACGGCGGCCAAGAGCTCAGACAGGGCCCTCTTGTGCACCAGCAGGACCTGGGTGGCTTCCAGAGGTTCCTCCACACCCCACCATGGGTGTAGTGGAGCTCTGGAGGAACCTTCTCCAAGGAGGAGACTCCATCCCTCTCCCCCAGGACAGGGGATGGCTCCAAGATGAGGCACCGACCATGAAAACACAACAACTTCTTTCCAAGCATCTCCTCTGCTCCTAAAGGGATTTTTTTTAGGGGGGATCTGTTTGTCCAGCTGTGGGTTGGGCCACAGCACAGCCAGCCCAGGAGGAAATCTTGCAGTGTCACCATCCTGTCCTGCCCCAGGACAGCTCCAGGTCACAGCCACCCCCAGCCCCACGGGCTGAGCATCACCCACACCCAAATGACTCTTTCGGGTGCCCGTGGGAGGATCGTGGCCAAAACCAGCAACAAATCCGCGGGATTCGTGGATGGGAACGCAGCCACCAGCCCCCAGAGGCTGTGACAGCAACAGAGATGGGTGCGTGGGCTCAGCCGTGTCCCCACAGTGTCACCTCCCACCCGGCACAGCCCTCGGGACCCCCTCCCGGCTCCGCAGGGATGCGGGTGGAGACCCCCCAGCACCCCCAAACCCAACGAGACGGGTCCAGCCCAGCCCAGCCCAGCCCCCGGCCGCACCTCCCCACCCAAACACACGCAGCGGCATCGCTTCTGTCGCGACAGGCGACTCCCGACACGGCAGAATCCCCGGTGAACCGGCTTTGTCTGCCGAGCATCCCGGTGGGACCGGGGAGCGGCCGCCGCTGCTGAGCATCCCCCACCCCGCTTATCCCGGGGGGGAGGCGGCGGCTCCCACCGGAGGCACCGGGGAGCCGCCCTACCCCGGTATGGATGTCCCCGTCGGTGCCCCGGGGGGCTCCATCCGCCCCTCCGGTGCTCCGGGGGGCTCCATCCGCCCCTCCGCTGCCCCGGGGGGCTCCATCCGCCCCTCCGCTGCCCCGGGGGGCTCCATCCGCCCCTCCGCTGCCCCGGGGGGCTCCATCCGCCCCGCCGGTGCCCCGGGGGGCTCCATCCGCCCCTCCGCTGCCCCGGGGGTCTCCATCCGCCCCTCCGGTGCCCCGGGCGGCTCCATCCGCCCCTCCGCCGTGTTCCCTCCGCTGCCCCGGGGGGCTCCATCCGCCCCTCCGGTGCCCCGGGGGGCTCCATCCGCCCCTCCGGGTGTCCCCGCCGCTGCCCCGGGGGGGCTCCATCCGCCCCTCCGGTGCCCCGGGCGGCTCCATCCGCCCCTCCGCGGTATCCCCGCCAAGCTCCGCCACCACCGGGGATTCTCCATCCTCCGCCGCCGCCCCCCCCGCCCCGCGGGCAGCGCCGGGAGGGGCCGAGCGCCGCCGCCGCCGCCCGGCGGGGCCTGTCTGGAACGTTCCGCCGCGGCCATGGGGGGACACGACGGGCAGCACCGGCGCCGCCGTGACCTTGAGCCCCGCCGGCCGCCCCGGGGAGCCGCACCCGCACCGAGGGCCGGGCGGGGCGGGGCGGGCGGCACCTGCCTGACCCACATAACGGCACCGCCGCCGCTCCCCGCACCTGTCGCTCGGTCCCCGCATCACCCCACGGCTCACGGCGGGGATGGCGATGGAGCTTATCCCGCTGGCGGTGCCGCCACTCACCGTCGCGGGAGAGGTTTCCGCGGGCGCTGGCGAAGCAGGCGATGAGCAGGAGGATGCGGAGGGCGGGCGGCTGCATGGTGGCGGCGGGAGCCGGCGGGGCCGGCCGAACCGAGCCGCGGCGCGGGCGGCGGGCGCTGCTCCCTCCGCTGCTCCTCCGCTCTGGAGCGCCGGTGCGGCAGCGGCGGGGCTTAAATAGAGCGCGAGGAACAGACCATTCCTGCCGGGGGGTGTGGGGGGGTGGAGAGGGGAGGGGGGGGGTTAACGCGCCGATGCCGCCCCCCTCGGCCCCCGTGTAAACACGCCCGCTCCGGCCGCCGGCCCCCCCCGCGGGCTGAGGAGGGGTGGTGCGTGCCGCGCGCGCGGCTCCCCGCGGGAGGCAGGTGCGCGCGGGGCGGCGGCGGCGGGAACGGCGGGAGCGGGGCTGGACCCGGTTACCCCCGGTCACCGAGAACCCCCCGGTTACCCCCGGTCACCGAGATCCCCCCGGTTACCCCCGGTCACCGAGATCCCCCCGGTCACCGAGATCCCCGAGGAACCAAAGATCCCCCCGGTCACCGAGATCCCCCAGAAACCAAAGATCCCCCCGGTCACCGAGATCCCCCCGGTCACTGAGATCCCCCCGGTCACCGAGATCCCCCCGGTCACCCCCGGTCACCGAGAACCCCCCGGTCACCGAGATCCCCGAGGAACCCGAGGTCCCCCCGGTCACCGAGATCCCCCCGGTCACCGAGATCCCCCCGAGGAACCCGAGATCCCCCCGAGGAACCCGAGATCCCCCGGTCACCGGGATCCCCGAGGAACCCGAGATCCCCCCGGTCACCGAGATCCCCCCGGTCACCAAGAACCCCGAGGAACCCGTGATTCCCCCGGTCACCGAGATCCCCGAGGAACCCGAGGTCCCCGAGGAACCCGAGATCCCCCCGGTCGCCGTGATTCCCTCGGTTCCCCCGGTCACCGAGGTCCCCGAGATCCCCGAGGTCCCCACGATCTCCTCGGTTCCCGACGTCCCCGCGGTCCCCGAGATCCCCGCCATCCCCGCGATTCCCTCGGTTCCCCTCGGTCACCGTGATCCCCTCGGTCCCCCTCGGTCCCTTCGGTTCCCCTCGGTTCCCCTCGGTCTCCGCGATCTCCTCGGTTCCCTTCGGTCCCCGCGATCCCCTCGGTGTGCCCGGGATGGGCCCTGTGCTGGGGTGTCACCCTTGCTAGGATGTCACCTATGCCAGGGTGACACCTGTGCTGGGGTGTCACCTGTGCTGAGATGTCACCCTTGCTAGGATGTCACCAAGGTGTCACTGTCACCTGTGCTGGGGTGTCACTCTTGCTGGGATGTCACCTGTGCTGGGGTGTCACCCTCACTGGGATGTCACCTGTGCTGGGGTGTCACCCTCACGGGGATGTCACCCATGTTAGGATGTCACCTATGCTGGGGTGTCACTCTTGCTGGAGTGTCACCCTCACTGGGATGTCACCTATGCTGGGGTGTCACCCTCACGGAGATGTCACCCATGTTAGGATGTCACCCATGTTAGGATGTCACCTCTGCTGGGGTGTCACCCCCAGCTCTTTTCCCGAGGAGCATTAACCCCTTGTGGCACCGTTCACCTGCAGCCCTTCCCCAGTTTGGCATCTGTCACAAAATTCCCTTTTTCTGCCCCATCCATGGGGCAACCGAGAGGCTCTTCCAGAACTTTTATTCCAATTAACCTAAAAACTCTTTACAAAATCCATTTCCCGCATCACCGACCCCTCACGGCTCCTCTGAGGAGCTGCTCCGAGGCTCCGGCACCGGAGCTGTGCCAGGGACGGCTCCGTTAGTCACAATCCCCGTGGGAAGCACCGTGGGAGGCAGGAACAGCTCGGTGCCGTTCCCAGCCCGTCCCCGAACCGCCTCCATCCTCTGGAGGGGACTAAAATCACCTGGTGGGGTCAGATTTGGGGTCAGATTTAGGGTCAGGAGGCTTTTCCCAGATTTTCAGTCCTTGTCTGGTTGGAGAAGGGCTCGGGAAGCACCCCGGGATGTGGGAGCAGCAGAGGGAAGCCAAGTTCAGCTCCTGGAGCAGGGATGGGATGGGATGGGATCGATGGGATGGATGGGATGGGATCGATGGGATGGGATTGATGGGATCTATGGGATGGGATCAGTGGGGTGGGATGGGATGGGATCAGTGGGGTGGGATGGGATGGGATTGATGGGATGGGATCAGTGGGATGGGATCGATGGGATCAGTGGGATGGGATAGGATTGATGGGATGGGATGGGATGGGATGGGATGGGATGGGATGGGATGGGATGGGATGGGATGGATGGGATGGGATGGGATGGGATGGATGGGATGGGATGGGATGGGATGGGATGGGATAGGATGGGATGGGATCAGTGGGATGGGATCGATGGGATGGGATGGGATCGATGGGATGGGATGGGATTAGCGGGATGGGATGGGATTGATGGGATGGGATCGATGGGATCAGTGGGATGGGATGGGATTGATGGGATGGGATGAGATCAATGGGATGGGATCAGTGGGATGGGATGGGATGGGATGGGATGAGATGGGACTGATGGGATGGGATCAATGGGATGGGATCAGTGGGATGGGATGGGATGGGATCAGTGGGATGGGATTGATGGGATGGGATCACTGGGATAGGATCGATGGATAGGATAAATGGGATGGGATCAGTGGGATGGGATCGATGGGATGGGATCAGTGGGATGGCATGGGATCGATGGGGTGGGATCGATGGGATTGATGGGATGGATAGGATGGATGGGATAGGATCAGTGGGATGGGATGGGATGGGATTGATGGGATCAATGGGATGGATGGGATTGGGGGTTCCAGGACAGCTCTGTGGGGCCATGGGTGGCTCCCGGCCCCTCACGCAGCACTGGTGGGACGTTTCCTCTGGAAAAGGGGAATTTGGGTACCGCTGGCTCTCCTGGGGGTTTTTTTTTGGGGCTGTCCCCTGTCACTGTCACACCCGGGGGGAGCTCCCTATTAACCCTTTCCCTGCCTCCTCCTGCCGCCCGCGTGGGTGCAGCGCCCACTCGGCATCACTCGAGGAGGGAGGAAGAGGAGGAAGAGGAGGGAGAGGAGGAGGAGGAGGGAGAGGAGGAGTTCGGCGTGCAGCAGGTGCCGCCACAACAAATCGCGCTGATTCAGCCCCGGAGCCGCTGGCACGGAGCCGCTCTGCCGGAGGCGCCGGTAACGGGACTGCCCGCGCGGAACCGGGGGAAGGAACCGGGAGGACGGAGCTGCTCGGTTCCCGTTTCCCGAGCTGTGTCTCGGGGTGACACCTGTGTCACCTCCTCGCTCCAAAGACTCCAAAGCCAATCCAGGGGTCTGGAGCATCCCTCAGCCAGGTGGGAAGGGCTGGGCCAGGTGTGGGGATGTAATGTAATATAATGTAATATAATGTAATATAATGTAATGTAATGTAATGTAATACAATATAATGTAATGTAATGTAATGTAATGTAATGTAATGTAATGTAATGTATATTATATTATATTATATTATATTATATTATATTATATTATATTATATTATATTATATTATATTACATTATATATATTACATTATATTATATTATATTATATTATATTATATTATATTATATTATATTATATTATATTATATTATATTATATTATATTATATTATATTATATTATATTATATTATATTATGTAATATAATAAAATGTAATAAATATAATATAATGTAATGTAATAAATATAATATAATATAATGTAATAAATAGAATAGAATAGAATAGAATATGTCATAGAATACAATGTAATATAATATAATACAGTGTAATGTAATATAATGTAATATAATAAAATGTAATGTAATGTAATAAATATAATACAATATAATATAATATAATATAATATAATATAATATAATGTAATATTATATTATATTATATTATATTATGTTATGTAATGTAATGTAATATAATAAAATGTAATGTAATGTAATAAATATAATATAAATAATATAATAAAATATGTTATATAATGCAATGTAATATAATACAGTGTAATGTAATATAATGTAATATAATATAATGCAATGTAATACAATATATACAATGAATCCTTCCAAATCACCCAAAAATCGTGTTTGCCACCACCCTAAGCATGGATGGCGTCTCCCTGGAGGCCCTGAAAGGCCCAAAAATCTCCGGGGTAAACATGGGAGATGTTTCCAGCATCCCTGGGAGCTCCTCAGTGCCCAAATTCCTTCATTTTCCCCCCGGGCCTGGCTGGAATGTGGAACTAAAACACTTCCCCAAATCCCTGGGCAATGCCAGGTGGGATCTTCCACCTCTCTGCCCTGGATTTCAAAAATCTGATCTGTCTGAGCGTTCTTTCCTCTGATCATCTCCATTTAATGATCTCTTGGCTTGCCACCCATCTCCTGACTTTTAGGATCAGGCCAGAAGCTCCATCCTTCCTTTTGCAATCCCTCCAGTGCCTGCTATGTGTGGGATTGCGGCTGGAAAATGGAATAAATCCTTCCAAATCACCCAAAAACCGTGTTTGCCACCACAATAAGCATGGATGGCGTCTCCTTGGAGGCTCTGAAAGGCCTGAAAATCTCCGGGGAAAACATGGGAGATGTTTCCAGCGTCCCTGGGAGCTCCTCGGTGCCCAGAATTCCTTCATTTTCCCTCTGGGCCAGGCTGGAATGTGGAATTAAACACTTCCCCAATCCCTGGGCAATGCCAGGTGGGATCTTCCCCTTCTCTGCCCCGGATTTCAAAAATCTGATTTGTCTCAGCGTTCTTTCCTCGCAGCTCCCGAGAATTTCCTCTCTGATCATCTCCATTTAATGATCTCTTGGCTTGCCACCCATCTCCTGACTTTTAGGATCAGGCCAGAAGCTCCATCCTTTCTTTTGCAGTCCCCCCAGTGCCTGCTGTCTAGAAAATGGAATAAATCCTTCCAAATCACCCAAAAACCGTGTTTGCCACCACCCTAAGCATGGATGGTGTCTCCTTGGAGGCTCTGAAAGGCCCAAAAATCTCCAGGGAAAACGTGGGAGATGTTTCCAGCATCCCTGGGAGCTCCTCGGTGCCCAGAATTCCTTCATTTCCCCCCGGGCTGGGCTGGAATGTGGAATTAAACACTTCCCCAAATCCCTGGGCAATGCCAGGT